GCCCGCCATCTTGGATGTAGAAATGAGTGCCATATTCGTCATGAGCACCCCCAAGTACCTCGAAAATGATACCCATATTGCATTTATTTCAAAACTCGTGTCCGCCATCTTGGATTTAGAAATGAGTGCCATATTCGTAATGAGCATCCCCAAATACCTCGAAAAGGATACCCATATAGCATATTTTGAAAAATCGTGTCCGCCATCTTGGATTTACAAATAAGTGCTATATTCGTTTTTCATCGACAAAACCGAGCATATCTGTAGGCACCTGATCGACAATGTCGGGCAAATCTGTAGGCACCTTTAACTTAATGATGAGTTAAGCAAGATACAATTTCCCCACTTTTGAGGGAAATGTTATTCCATGGCATCATTATTTGTATATTTGTGTGCGTGCCGACGAGCGTAGTTACAAGTTCCTTACGCCTACATGAATTTGGTTTTTGCCTCACTTGTGACAGTTCGTTTGATATGAAACTATCATTCTATGCGTTATTATTCTAAGTTTGTAAGTCAATGCATCAGAAAGTCATATTTTAATAACTTTTCAATTTTCTGTTTAACTAAATATTTTTTGTTACAAGAAACGAAAGTAAAACTTATAACCCTGCAATATGGTCGCTTCTTTTTTGGAAAACTAAATAAATAACTCCAACTCGTCGTCGCTCAGCAACTAACCACTAGATGGCAGCACATTGATGGATATTTCATTATAATATCAAAACGTCGTAACTTGCAATAATAGGTGTTGATGGTATTGAACTTTCAACGATGTACTGATAGGCCAACAGGCTAAAGTTTAAATTATTTTAACAATCCAGAATTTGTTATTTCTTTTTAAATTTGAAACTACGACCAATCAGTATCAAGATTTTGCAGTGTTTCAAATTAAGAATATGTGAGTTTTGACGACATCGGTTCTGATAGTAATCGAGGGTTACGACCATTGTTTTTTTTTCTTCCGTGTGAATCAAAGCCAACATAGTTGCTGTACACTGTTGAGGAGTTCCTCGCACCTATCTGCCATAACATTTTATTTTCATTAGAATTACATTATGTGCCAAGTTTTAAGGAAATCGGTTTACGGAAAATGGGTAAAATTCAGTAAATCGGATTCATCCCCCAATTTGCTACCCTTGGAAGTGGAATATTTTTTCATGTTTAAATGGGACCACTACTGACCCTTTCGTATAAAAAAAGAATCAGGAAATCGGTTCACAAATGTCGGAGTAATCGCGTAACATACACACATAAAAAGTACAGACAAATTGCCTCCTCCTTTATGAAGCCGGTTAAAATTTCATTCCATTGATTCTGAATCAAGTTATTTATCGTCAACAGATTCATTAAATCATTTATTTCTTTTTAATGGATTATAAAGACGTTACAAGAATGTATTTAGTCACTGTGATGCCTTGCGGCTTACAAAGTTTTCATAAATTGATTTTTTTATTTTTTAATAAATTGAAATAAAGTAACTAATAAATTTTAAGAAAATAACGCTGTACTCACGTTTCCAACTTTCCTGCTGGATTGCCACCAAAATTAGCCAGAAATAATTTAATTAATATCGGTTAAAAGAAATGAGTATGAAATGTATTTCGATCAATACCTACATATATTCAAACTTAGTTAATAATCAGCAAAAGTATTTGACGTTATTGACAAAACAAAATTTGCTTATTCGAGCACCTATGTTACTCAATAACTTTAGTTAATAAATAATAAACTTAGTTATTACGAACACGAAGCCAAATACTGTCCGTAACTCAAAATTGTGGTATTGAGAATACACGATTTGAAAGTTAAAAAAAATATATATTCTCGTTTATAAATGGATAACTAATTATTGTGTATAAATAAAAATAATCACAACATTTGCAGTAAGAAGATCCATTCAATATTTTTTTTATAATTTGCAAAATTTTGTTTTCTCAATTCCACAATTTTGAGTTACGACAGCGTTTGGTTTCATGGGCGCTGTGTTAATAAATAACTTTAGTTAATAAATAATAAGCTAGTTATTACTTCCTGCTTTGAGACACCACAAGACATTATACTGTAAATAGTAACTTTGGTGTCGAGCGGTTGGCGCTACTTATAATTAATTTAGTGCAAAATGGTAACAGTAATTGTAAAATCGCATTTAATTTATAGGAATGGTTGATTTGGTTGTCAATAGAAGAGATGCCTTTAATGTAACTATAATTTGTATTTTATGCGCTATTTGAAAATATACCATTAGAAACCTTAATGAAATACGATATTTGAACTTGTCTTCTAATATAAATTATTTCCATCTTTACAGGTAGCGGGAGTAGTCGGTAGAGCAGACGTGCTGGCCTGCGTGTTCTTCCTCTCATCACTGCTCCTCTACCACGGGTATGAATATATAATTTAAAAAAGTTATACTGTGATAAGGCCACATCTGCAAAATGACAACTTTTCAGTAGAGACATTTAAAGATTCTATGAGCTAAATTAATCGATAACTTTTGTGCTCAAATAGGAGTTACAATATTTCACATATACATTTGTATAACTGCCTCCGTGGCCGAACGGTTACCATGCTGTACTGCCAAGCAGAGGTCCTGGGTTCGATGCCCGGGCCAGGAGGACTATGTGTATGGCCTACATTTATTTCTCTCGTATGAATGCATGTGAATTTTCTACTCTTTGGGGTAATTTTTCTCCCAGAAGGAGTGCGAGGGGGTAAAAATGATGTAGGGGAATTATAGTCGGACGGGTTTGGTGAGTATGAAGAGGTACAGTAATCTTCAGAAAGTGCTCCGCATCAGGTAGGACCCCAGCTGCCCGGCCAAAATATACATCCTGGCTCAAAGTCTCCAAACAAATATTTATCCACAACCTGGGCAATTTCTACAGGGAGGAGAAAAAATTCTAAATTCGAAAAACAAAATGGCCGCCATACAAATTTCGGGGGGCTGTACCTCTTAAACTATTGGAGATAAGTAGATCGTGTTCAAACTAATATTATGGAGAGCGATAGGATCTAACTGTCTGTCAAAATATTTTTTTCAAAATGGCCGATTCGACATTGCGGCCCGGCAAAAAGGTGAATATAAAATTTCAGCCGGATCGGATCCGGCTGATATTTTATATTCTTCCATGTTTGGGAGCCCATAATACGAATTTGTGGTCAAATTCTAGATTCCGCCATTTTCCAATATGGCCGCCATACATTTTCAACAGTCCACTATGTTCTGAAGTCTACATCTCTGCGAGTATTGGGAGATAGATGAGAGGCGCTCAAACAAATGTCGTGCAGAATAGTACAGAATAGTAGCCAATTGCAGGTAAAAAAAATTTTCAAAATGGCAGACTCAAAATGGCGAACCGAAATAAAAGTGCTCCGATCCGACTGAAATTTGACAACAGATCGTGTATGGAGGTTCATAGTATGTATCTGCGAGCGAAATTTGGATCCCGCCATTTTCCAAGATGGCCGCCATACAAGTGAATTTTCGGTTTTTTGACCAGCATTTTTCTCCCAGTTTATAAGAGTAATGTATGCGAATAATCTTCTTTACTCTAGAATACATGGTGTAAAGGGATTTGGCATGGTGTTTTATGACCGGCCGCCTGCCTAACGTCGACCCTCCTTGGGAATACTCGGTTTAATTTTGGTCAGAATGTATGCGAATAATCGTTGGGTGGATTTGGTGAGTATCAGAAAGTACCAACATCTTCGAAAAGTGCTCCACGTCAGGCAGAATCCCAGCTGCACGGGCGAAGTATATATTGGCCCCGAGGTCTCCAAACAAATGTTGCTCCACACCCTGTGCAATATTTACAGCGAGTAAAAAAACAAAATTCGCAAAACAAAATGGCCGCCACTCCCACTCAAAGTCAAACAAAGAGAATTCTCTATTGAAGTTCAACTTCCAATTTCTCATCAGATATAAAGAAAGCCCTCGCGGACCGTTTTGGCGGCCCGGCGCAACGCGCGCCATCTAGTTATTATTGTATAATACACAAAACGAATACCAACAAAAATTCCTTCGATCCGGCTGGATTGGAACCAGTATCTTCAGCAAACTGTGCCTGACGCTCTCCCAACTTAGCTACACAATGAACTTACAAACTGTACCTTACAAATTTTTCTGTGTCATTGTTGCAGATCCTTGTTTTTGGTTTTTAACAATATTAGTAAGGAGTTAACTTTGAGCAAAACACACTATTGACCGAGTGCTAATCTTGGTAGGAATCGGATCTGAAACAATTTGTCCACAGCGCTTTTAAAAGCTGATCAACTGAAATGTTTTTTCAACATTATAACTACTGCCACTTTACTTATTACTGCCGCCAAGCAGTAATGTGAGCATTACTGCGTTCCAGTTTTGAAGAGTAAGGGTGCTAGTGAATTTACAGGCACATGGGACTTGTCAACATATGTTCCAGAGTGGCGGGCACAGTAGGAGTACCCCTCAGAATGTTGAGATTTAAAGCTCTGAGTGGCGTTGCAGGTGTTGTAGACAGACGTGTCGCTATCCACTAGACGCACGACTTGTTTGTCCCGTCTCTTAGTATCATAAAAAAGTCGAATATAGTTATATAGATGCTCATCCTAATGTACTATAATTATATTTTATATCACTATCACACACGTCAAACGTCGCAGTCCATACGTGTAAAAATAAGGTCTGTGTTTATGAGTCTTTTGTAACCTGAACATAAATAAAAATGAAAACATATATATAAATAGCATTACAATACATTATCAAATCTGCGCAGTTCCACGTCATAACATTCCAATTGTCGTGCAAACGAAGCCTTTAGCAACCTAATATTACCTAATGACCAATCTAGTTCTACTGAATAATTACTTGTGGGAATACGCAGCTGCGTTAGACCTCAACTCCTACAATATACATACCTACTTACATTGTACAGGATATTTCAAAAGTGTAATTTAATTAACGGGTGCTTTTTATTCGTTAATAAATTCAACTTCGTTGAAGATTTTTTAAATATTTAAAGCGGTTATACACGGCGACTTTTAGCAGCGATGCAAACGCGACGCAAATGCGATGCAAACGCTATACAGCAGCGATGCAGTCGCCAATCGTCTACCTTTACATACGCGCGCGTGATTTTAATTACAAACGCGCGATTGCATCGCTACACTTTGAATTTATAGGCGTTTATTTATTATGCAATCGCCTATAAATCGCAAGTATAGCGATGCAATCGCGCATTTCACGAACACGCGTTTACATCGCTGCTAAAAGACTCTTAGAATTATATTTATTGAGATTATTTGTGAAATAACTCCGCCAGTTTTGTTTCAAAAGTCAGGCAAAGATCTATAACAAAATCACATAGGAGAATTTCGACGACTCGTAACAGGACCCGTGGCTCAGACGGTTAGAGCAATCCTACGGTGCAACATGCACGTGGGTTCAAGTCCCACCAGGTCGACGAAATTTTCGAGTCGAATACAAAATATTCATAATAGTATTTAGAATTATTTTAAGTCGTGAGAACCTAAGTGGTTTGACCGTCGTCTCTCAAACAAAGGCCGTAAGTTCGAATCCGGGCTCGCACCTCTAAGTTTCTTGGAATTTACGTGCGAAATTTAATTTGAAATTTACCATGAGCTTTTCGGTGAAAGAAAATATCGTGATAAAACCTGCCGGTAGAACGGACAACCTGTGAAGTCACCAACTCGCGACGATAGTCCAAACTCTCGCCCGAAAGGAGACCCATGCCCAGCAGTGGGACGTATACATTTTTGACGAATTGATGTTGAAAATTATTTTGCCGTACAAATTTCTTAGAAAATTTTTAGCTGTTACATTGTCGGTTGCTAAATTCATCGCAAAAAACAATTTAGTATCACATTTATATGTAGAAATATTTAAAAAACCCTCTCGTGAAAAAGAATTATTTTTGTTGCTTACATTAAGTAAAGGCTCGACAAACTCTACCCCTATAATAATAAGCTCCTAAACTGACCCTTTTACAACAACCTGTATATGTACTTACAACTCCATAATGTAGGCATATCTTTCAAAGTAAATGTGTCTACTACGTGTAACGCAGGCTGATATCCCCAATATCTCACAGAGACAGTGATCGATTCCAGTAACAGCACCCGTACATCCCGGACACGCAACTTTTAATTTAAACCATTTGTCACTTGCCTAGAACCAGCTCCGCCGTCGGATAGGCAACCAGTTATAAGGAACCTTACATTCGTAATCTTACACTATCATGCGTAGTCTGATTCTTCTTGCCTAAATAAAAACTCATTTTTCATCTCATTTTCATTATATTTTTTATGAAAGTTACATGGAAATGTTATCATTGTTATCAAATATAGAAGGACAAACGTAACTGTATTATTGGTATGGCATGCCTAGGCCGGCTTTTCATTACTCACGTCCTAAAAAATTTAAGTCTGTTTTCAATTAAACTTAGACTGCTTCCAGACAAGAGTATGGACTCGCTCAAGGGCGCGAAGGCGATATTTTTGCAAGCAGTTATGTCTAAATGGAAGCTCAAATGTTACTTGTAGCTTGTCACCGTATTCAGAACATTTATGATTACAAATGGTGACTTTACTTTTTATTAAAGAATTAAAAATATCACTACCGAAATCCTCTATTTTTATTTGTCAACAGATTCAAGTCTGTAATCCGTATACGTTGAAATTTCCGATAAAATCTAAATAAAAATTCCATTGCAAGACAAATATTGTAAGAGTTAAAAGAATAATTAGAAAAAAAAAGAATTGTGAAAAAAATCTTTTGGGAAAAATTTCACTAGTTGTGTTTTGTGTTACCATTATGATGATTAAGCCCTCAAGTAACCGTTACCTTTTGTCGTTACGGAAAAAATCAAGTTATTTCACCAAAAAAAATCATATAATCCTTTTAAGCATTTCAATTCAAGTTTTCGATTCATGGGCTATTTTTCATTTTGACTGCAGCTGACGCTTGCAGTAGAAGTCTCTTCTCCACGCAGTTGATCACGCATGCAGTATATCTGTTAGCAGCCTAAGCTAGGACTTAAGCAAGCTTATTGGAAGCCGAGTGCTTGCGCTCTAGCTGTAAGTGACTAAATAAAATTATCTGGTTGAAAAGTAAAAAAGTAGTAAAGTATCTTTCGCACGGGTTCACAAATTTTGAAATGGTTATTTTACGTCTCTTCATTGTTTCGTTGGACTCTTCCAGAAAAGGACTTTAATATCGCACCCTGAATATAAAAAGCGACCAAATTCTAATAGTACTATTTGAGGAATTGTTTAAAAAAAAAATTACGCAGGAAATAAAACTAATATTTTTTTTATATAAAATGGAATTTTGTCATACTCGCCACAAGCCTGATACGAGTAGCATATTTCATTAGTACCATGTACGTTATTATTTTTTTATACGAGTATATTTATTATTGAAGGCTGACATATGCCTCGACGAATTAAGCCAATTGCTACTCGCGTATCTTAGGACAAATTCATTATCGTTCAACAATATTCATATCATGCACACTGCAACATTTTTTTATTAATGCGTTAGATAATAATACTTCATCAAACCTTACTTAATAAAATGTATTATTTCACATGACAAATTTTATTCTCATTAACATTTGCAAATGCAAAGCAAATATGTATTTCATAATTTGACTTGTCTCATTCAAAATGTACGTCGCGATCCATAATTCAACGGTGGCCAGCAGCCATATTGCTTCTATATCCCTTCCTGATCCTTAGATCTTGTCCTAGCAAGATGTCGCTCCTTCGACAAGTTCAATTACGCGACCGCACGAATACTTCAGCTCCTCGCTCGCAACTTGCTCACCTCATAACTTGTTCGGTACTTTGTTTTGCCCTTACTTAAAGTCGGACTGGCCTTTTTGTAACATAGATGAACGCGAACTTGTTTAACCTAGTTAGTGAACTCCGCCAGTTTTACACGAGAATCCCGTTCCGCGGGATCATGAAAGCAACTTAATTACGTTGTTGTCTGCAGGCATCATCGCCGTACTCATCACGGTATCTAATAAAACAAGAATTCTTAAAATTAAATTATGAAATACTTTTAAACTTAAGTACGTTGGTAATGAGACAGTGAAAATGTTGAACATAATACATACTATATACTTTAATAGCAGTAGAGCTCCTTGTGAAAGAGTCCGTCCGTCTGAGGTGATGGGCGCAGTGGCAGTGCCCCTCAGATCTTTGCGATTTAAAGCTCCGAGTGGCACTGCAACTGTTATGGACAGGCGTGTAGCTTACCATCAGAAGCATGGCTTGTTCGTCGCGTCACTTGATATTATAAAAAAAATGTTGGCAAGACTTACTTCCTGAAAGTACCTAAGTACGATAATGTCGGAATAAAACGTTGAAGGCACGTTGAAACTGATCTCATATATTTGGGTTGAAACGCCATTAATCCGTACGTCCGATTGTCGGTCCGTCACCGGAGCTAAAAATAAAGGAATACTGACCCATATCAAATAAAAGGCCAAAGAGGTACTTTACCCACACGTCCTCGTTGCTGCGACCGTTTAACACTTACCGTTAACCCTTGTTTAAAAACGTATTTCAAACATTTTCGGGAAGCTTTTAGCTGAGAGGAAGCGAGGCTTTTAGGATAAGGGCGATGGAAATCAGTCAAACGTCACACGAGATCCTAGGATTCTAACCTATCTACAATTTGGGCTTTACGTGCATCACCACGCTCAATGAACTGAACTGAAAAAAAAGCCTTATAACGTCAGCGAAATCAAAGACAGAATTAACTGCTTACTAGCAAAACTAAATAACAAAGAAAACAACTCTTTGTATGTACATACCTAAATATACTAGCAATTTATAAAGAAAGAAAAAACGCTCCCGGTAACAGAAGATTTAAAGCTTCCATTGGAAAAAAGATAAGAGTATTAATAAGAAAAGTAATATCGGGAATTGAAGGCGCGTGGGTAATGATTATGCAATCACATTCTAAATCAAGCAAACGCCATAAATAACCGGGGGTGTAATCAATAGGATACTACGCCTTCCGAACGTTGTGGAATATTCGAGATTTTAAAAGTCGTAGAGATAACTGAGCTCCCTGAAGAACGTAAAAAGGAAATATCGGGGCCGATTCACTGCACATGAATAAAATTTTTGTCGGGATGTACCTAATAGTAATAACTATAGGTAATAATAATAATAAATAGTAGTAATAATAGATGTCTGTGGTCGAGTTACTTACACATAGGTTTTCATGGTGTGTTTCTGAGGTGCCGGGATCTATCTCCGTCCTGGTCAATATGGAAACTTAACTTTTCTATTACTACTACTTTTCCATTACAGAACAAGCTCCATCGGCGATCAACCCTCCTGCAGACATGCCCGGCCCACTGCCACTTAAACTTACTTACTGATTTTGCGTTCTATGTCAGTCACTTTAGTTCTCTGATGTATGACCTCGTTAGGGATTCGGTCCATCAGAAAAACTCCAAGCATAGCTTGTTTTATCGCACGCAGAGCGACCTTGAGTTTGTAGATGAGGCCTGTTGTTAATGTCCACACCTCGACTGCGTAGGACATAACTGGTAGAACGCACTGGTTAAATGCCTTCGTTTTCAGGCTTTGTGGGATTGACGACCTGAAGATGTGACTAAGCTTCCCAAATGCCGCCCAGCCCAAACGAAATATGAATATTTGTATAACGTTACTAATTTGATTTAGTTAAGTCCAATTGCTACGTTAATTATTCGTACCAAGAATGAAGACTTAACTTTTACTCTACGAACTTATAATAAAAGCAGATGAAATAAGTAAAGCCATGATTGACATCGTTTAGTGTCGCTAGGATGTCGCCATGAAATTACTTATTGTGTTATGCAAATGTACTCGCTACAAATCTGTCGGCTGTTTTCACAGTGTAATAAATTGCGTCGGCACAGAAAAGACTATCTCTGATTCATATTCCAAAATTTTACGGGTTTTGTAAGCTTGCGATTTTTTAATACGGTTTAGGCAGTTTTTTTTATATCCTTTGTTAAGTAATGAACTCAATTATTATTGCAAAGGACACTGACAGTTATGGACAAGGATCTTCTTAATTGGAGGATTGTCTGATGAAAAGGAACCTTCATTAATTCGTTTAACAGAGGAGCAAAATTCTAGTTAAAAACGATTTTCAGCTTTTTTTAAATGCTTTGAATTACTAAAACGCCTCAAAATATACGTTTAAATTAGAGAGAGTTTACAATGTATGTATTTCTTATATGCAATCACCGGTACATTTCAATAACGTAGAAATAGTAATGTCAGTAATCTTAAGTGTTTGTAATTATGAATAAAGTATCCAATGTATTAGTATCATTTAACATTGACTTAGTACCTTACTCAACATTTATTGCAAAATCGAACATAAACAAAATGCACTTTTTACATTTTGTGAAAAAGAAACGGTTGAAAATTAAAAAATGTAACGTTTACAATAGATTGAATTAAAAAAGTTTATTAAATAAATATGTTTTTCAATTAATGTTAACGAAATTTGCAAGAACGCAAAATCAACTACGAAGCGCTCAATAAATCTGTATTAGTAGGAAATGAAAACAAATTATTGAAAAAAAATGACAAACAATTATTTTTTTATTTCCAAATTAGCCTTAAAAATATGTAAGAGTCAAAGAATGAAAAATGAAAAGCCTGAATTAAAGAACCGTAAGTGCCAAATAGTAATTTTTAAAACAGAGCGTTTCTAAGAGATTCAGGGTCTTAATTTAAAACAATCGGTCAATTAAAATATGTTAAATGAAAAACAAACGACGATACGACTTAATGTCTTTTACCATTGCGTGTTTTTTACTATTCTAATTCTAAAGCACCGTTTGTAAAAACATCTAAATCCCAAAACATTGACTTTTTAAGTCCTTTATCTCTCTCCTACAGAAACAAAAAAGTAAAAACCAGAAAATCTTTTGAGAGACACTACATTATTTTGGAATTTTTATTAGTGTCCCATTAAATGTGCCGATGTGTGTATATAATTCAAATTATTTCACTGTGCGTTATTTAATGATTTGTACATACTTATGTAATTAAAGCCCAGTAAAACCATTGCGTCTAGACTATAGTTTCCCAAAGTGGTCCACACCAGCGCCCCCCAGAAAGCGCTGTCCTAGGGCGATAGGGACCTCGGAAGCAATTGGGGGGCGTAGATATTATCCAGGGAGTGCCACCGTATGTGAAAAAAACTGCATTGTCTGTATAAACTACACTACATTGCATATAATTAGGTTTCCTTGTGATTTTTTGTGTCAAGTTAACATAAAAAACACTTCAATTATTTTTGTGGTAGTGGTCGGCGTTGAAATTTTTTTATCTTGCCTAAGTGGGCGGTGAGCTAAATAGTTTGAGAGCCTATGGTTTAGACCTTATTTAAGTTAGCTATCGGTCCACGGTAGCGCATGGCGACAAGTTACACGATGTTTGTCCACTATTTCGATCCCACATTAATGGCGGTTCAAAGTAAAAATGTCTTATATCATCACGAATCAAAATGATATTATATCGCCATAATCTTGATTCTAGGAGTTCCGGGCGTCAGCGCGTGTGGGCGAGTGTGGTCTTGGCGGCGCTCAGTATGCTGGCAAAGGAGACAGGCCTCACAGCTTTGCTGTTCAATATCGCCTTTGATCTCTATCGCTGCTGGACTGGATCCAGGTATATATGATTTACAACTTTTTTATACTTACAATTACTAACACCGTAAACAAACATTTATAAAAAAAACCAACCAATTTGGACATATTTATCCTTTTGTAGAACCTAAACACTGCTTCAACATCAACGTTAAATTAAAACTCTTGGACGATTTGTCAGCTGTACTTCAGTATATCATTTGATCACTTGTCCAAAGTAATATAAGTCCTAAGTTCTGCAAAAAAAAGGTTCTGCAAAAAATATTATAATTGCGAAATTAACTCTTTCTGTCTGTCCGTCTGTTACATTTTCACACCTAATCCGCCGAACCAAACAAAAATAAATCTTATAAGGGATGAAATAAAAGTTTGTATGGAGAACCAAAAAACTATGAAAATTAATATAATCCCTATACAGTGAGTACTCGAAGAACTTGTTCTAAGCAGAAGAAATCGCGGCCACCAGTTATTATAGAATATATTCAAAGTTATTACAAAAAGTAAAGTAGATAGTTCCTATTCGAAATAGTAAAACTGACAAAAAGTTTCCGATGTCAGGGCTTGATGGCACGTTTCACAAAAAGTTAATTTGTGTCCGATTTACCTATAGATTTATTATATACCAAGAAAATTTATGGAGTCACCAGTATGTATTAACTCAAATTTTCTTTTTTTATGGCTTAGGTTCATGTTTTTTGACCATACCATTATACAAAATAATTTCCTCTGAACTTTCGTCACGTCACAAACCCTCGGCACCATTCAGCTTCTATTAACTCTGTTTAAAACTTCTGTAGTTTACATCTTATTCAATTTATGTAAAACATAACCTCAAAAACTCCCAACTGGAATTCCAGACTTCTCAGAATAGTAAACCCAAAACCAAATTTGTTCAAGAATTTAAACTCTATACTTTCACATATTTTTCTTAAGTTTCTTAAACACACGCATACAAAATATGTCAACAAAACTTTATATGGGAGTTCGCCATTGTTCTTTATTATTATGTAGGTGTATATTTCAATCATATTCACATTTAAATTTTAATAAATTCATTGTATAATAAATAATAAGTCTGCACGACTTTCTTTATACACTACGGCTAGAGCTGGAAGAGATCTCTTCAAGAGACAAGCTCACCTTTTTGTACCGGATTATTTTTAAAACACTAACAACCTCACTGGATTATATTACTAACATCATAAACAACAACTTTTGTAGGTACCGTGAGTTTTTCACAACATAATATATTTACCAATAATATAATTTTAAAAAATGAAACTATTTTTCCGGATTTAAATCGCGTGTATTTGTTTTTTTTTTAAACAAACCAACGTTTTGGGCCCCTTACAGGTCCCATGATCACGATTGACACGATTGACCATGGGACCTGTAAAGGGCCCGAAACGTTGGTTTGCTTGAAAAAAAAACGCGATTTAAATCAAGAACAATAATTTCATTTCCTATGTGTAACAATCGCGAAAACCTAAGAATTCGATATAAACTTTTAAGTTTTTATTTTAGGTACTATCTGACACTTTTTAGATCTGTATCTGGTAGTAAGTTCAAACCTGCAAGTCCCCCTAACGACGACCCCTACCCGCGCTTTTTGCACGGAGTTTTACCGTTTAGAGCGATCTACTTCAATTTTATTATTTTTGTGTGAAAGTAAAATGTAATGAAATATTAAAGGTCGTGGAACAAAAGTAATTGTTCCCTATGATGTTAGTAATATAGGCCTACGAAGTTGTTAGTTTTTTGCAAATAATTCTGTTTAAATGTCCTTTGTAACATGTATTTTTAATGTGTTTTCTTTGTGCAATCTCAAAATTTAGTTAGGTCGTTGATGAACCATGGGAAGATTTGGGCTTTTGGGGATTTAGTGTTTGTCGGGATATATCCTTACTTCAGTTATGAAAGTTTTATGTTTTTTTACATATATGTTAAAGATTCTTATCTACCTAGGTCGCCATCAAATTTCAGAACGTCAACTGGAGTGAAGTGGCGATGGAAAAACGACTGTGTGTGTGGGCCTGTAAGCCGCGCTTTGTTAGCACTGGCGATGCTAGTGGGTATCCGGCTGGCATTACTACATGGCTCGTTACCCGCCTTCTCACCGCAAGACAACCCACCGGCCTTTCACCAATCCTTCGTTGTAAGGTACAAAAAGAATTTGAACATGTAAATATGAGTTGATATAAGTACCTAGGCCATACCTATTGAATTTGGTTTTCTGGTAAATAGGACGAGATATTATGTTTTTAACGTATTTTTTCAAAGTATATGTCCTCACCAGTTAAATCATGCGGTATCCATCCAGTGCAAAGTTGCCGAATCTTCAGATGCACATTCAATATCTTTCGCACCTGGCTCATTCCAATACCTTTATACAGTACGAATTGGCTGACAACTTTTTTGTCAATTTCAATCAGTTGTCGTACGGGATCAATTAAATTCGACAACCCCAGCCGCCAGCCGACCTTCACGTACATCGTCAAGGAGGTGATCACGCCCACTTCTAAATAAAATCACGAATAGACAGACCTACGACATCAGGCTTCATCACCAAATGCCAATTGAAGTCGCTGGCAAGTCTCTTGTCGACTCTCAACATAAGCCATTTCGAAAGTCGTAAAAAATCATGAACTGGAATATTTCACGACTGAAATTCATTGCAATAGCGACTCAAAGTTTTCAAAACGACGTTACAATGAAAAAGAAAACAAATGACAGTCTTATAATGTAAAACGTAACCAGAGTAGTTTCGAGAGCAGGTAGAGACTTCCTGTTACAAAATTCGAATTTGTTTTTTTTTTAGTTTTTTTATAAGTGACCAGTTCCAAAAACTTACAGTATGCCCCACGTATGATTTCTTAGTGAACCTTTTTCAGTTTATTAGCATTTTAAAGTAGTTAACATTCTTACACCAGCGTCATAGTACATTTACGCAAATGATAATAATATTAATTTGTCTGTCACTATCTTTCACAAAAATAAATCAGTATTTTTTTTGTGAAAAATAATGACATCACATTAATACAACGCATAAAAATAAACTAGCTATTTTTGACAATCGTTTCCACAGTCACAAATTCACTTAAGGGGTATTTACATTGTATACGTTTATGACGAGATGATACTCAAAATTTTCCATTCACGAAGTTTAAAACTAAAGGGAAACAAAAATTTTATACTAAAGTATATCATGTAGCTTCTGCGTACTTGGATGACAAAAATCGGTGATAGTGACTCGTTTAGCTCTTGCAGGTAATGTCAATTGATATTTGAAAATAAACTGTAAAATGTTAAATGTGTACGATGTTTATTTACAAATAGCAACCCCTAGAGTTTTTTGCTCCTTCTTTTCAAAGGTATCTGCCTAATTACGAATGAGTAGTAATTTGCTTATCCATTAAATAAAGATTATATATTATGTCAATATAAAGATTATGTGTATTCTGAATAAATTCAAGATACTAAACAAAGTCACATTATTATCGAAGTTTGTTGTCCATCAAAGAGAGAGTATGTGGTATTTAAACTGTAAAATAAAATCATTTTTTGATTTTGCATATATTTTGAGTCAACACACTTTTATTCGAATATCGCCTCCAGAGCATTATGTAGCTAGTAGTAAAGATCTGTCAATATGTGTCATAGCTTCATATACAGCCGTCCATATATTAATCGTGCATTAAAAAGTACGTAAGTAAAATCTAGTTTTACATAACTGTCTCTTGTTTCTAGGTTAATGACATTCTGCTACTTAGCAGCATTTAACTGGTGGCTACTACTGTGCCCATGGTCTCTGTCGCACGACTGGCAGATGGGTTCGGTGCCCCTCGTTACCAGCGGCTGGGACCCTCGGAACCTACTCACTGGAGCAGCGCTGATAGCTCTTCTTGCATTGATTTATAGATGCATTTTAGATCTTGAGGTAAACAAATTTAATCCTTCTAATTCGTATTTTGTTGATGCAGTTAGAAAGTATGTTAAAGTAACTTCTAGGTGTCAGCTATGGTAGGTACCTAAGTGTACAATACATTGTTAGTTCTTGTTATTCTTCTATTTAAACTATAGTCTGTCTTTTGGAAGACGGAGTAAAACGACATTTGCGGGGTTGCTAGCGTTCATAAAATTTTAAATAGTCATGAAGTTGTTGTCGACAGTTTATCGATAGATTGTGAAAAAAATATGTCAAACACATCTGAATTTTGAATGATTGTAATGATTACTGATTACGTTATTGCCTTCTTCATTCTTATTTTGACAGTTGAGTTTGAGTTTTGACAGTTTAACTAGAACAAGCAGATTTTAGTAATTATATTGAATTAAAATGAAAAATTTTACAATATGTCTCCTCTTTGTATTTTTAATATTCTATATGCAGCGTATGTATGTATGAACTTACAAAAATTGACAATTCAAATGATTCTGATACAGGTTCAGATCAGGTTAGATCGATGATGATTCAAATTAAATAAATTCTATTTATTGCATAAGCATGGTCTACATTCAGTCGTTAGTCGATAGAATATTTATAGACTGCAATCACTAGCTGCATGCTTTTGCACTATGAACTGTCATTTTACTCGTCTTCAATAAAGACAGACTCTAAGGTAAATACATAATTATAGCGCAGACTAATAATTTTAGATATAAATTTACCAACTTACGACCTTTTCTTTCTTAATTTAAAGCAATAGTTGAGTAAAATAATATGTACGTGCATAAGATTTGTCTAGATTATATGGGATAAAAAATGTGCTTTAGCTGACGCTGCACCATAAATAAATCTAAATCACACATGCCTGATATACGTCTGTTACACTCTGTAGCCTAAATGGAAATGAAAAAATGCGACAAATTAAGAAATATACATAGTATCACAAAAAATCATTCGTTACTGTACCACACACTTTGTTTTATTGATACTACACAAAAATGTTCAACATTTCAAGTAAATTCCAAAGTTTGACTACAAAAAGCGTGAACTCTAATTACATGCCTCCTGAATCGCGGTGTTGATTTGTATTTTGAAATTCTATTTTGAAAATAGAATTAAACTAACATTCACGACACCCATCTAATCCCACGCATTTACTAAAATTCTGGATTAATTATTTATATTTTCGAAGAAAGATGTCAGGTTTTTGAGTGTTAAGTATTTTACATACAGTTCTGTCAATCGTATATAAATGTACAGTCCGGAGCACTCACGACCCTATCATAATAAGAAATCGTTGAATTAGACCTATACCCGAAGGAACTGTGTTGACATAATGTAATAAGCAATAAAAATGCCTAAAATATCGTGTTTATAACCAATTCATTGTATATTTATCTGCATATTTCCTCTATTTACGTACCTAGGTATGCTTATAATGAAATATGCCTACATATGAAAAGTACACATCCTTATTTCTCAATAAGGATGCTTACTTTTCTTTTTTTTATTCTCTAAAGACAAATTTTTGTTCCTGTGTTTCTAGGTACTCCCACACATGTGGATAAAACCCGCGTAAAAAAAGACGAACGAAGTGAGTCAATGTAAAAAAAAAAAACATTATCGTCTATTTATATAGATAACAAAGGAACTATTTTTTGGATCTGAATCGCTTACATTTGTTTTTTTTCCAACGAACCAATGTTTCGTGCTATTTACAAGTCCCATAGTCACTGCTAGCTGACAGGTTTGAAAAACGACTTGTTCATCCCGTCACTCAATATTATGAAAAAAAAAAAGAAAAAAAAACAAATATAGGTTCTATTTAGATTCGAAAAAATACTTTCGTTTCCTATACGTATAAGGCTTACTAGGACTATATTAAATGAATGAAATTGGGTTTCCACATCAAGTTGTAACGTTCGCCTTTGTCTGTGGCTATGCTAATACGTTGGGTAAATCTGCCAGTTCTTGAGTCTCATAGTTGAGGCATATTTTGTTAAGATATCATTTAAGAGAAAAAATAAATAGGGTACCCACGGTCTTAGAGTTTCAACTCTGAAGATTGTAAATAAGTAGTCGTAGTCAAGGTCCTCAAACTTTATTTATGCCTCTTTTTCTAAGTTCACATAATGTCCAAATTTCCTATAAAAATATTATGTTAACATTAATATTATAAATTTGAATTGTAACTCTTTATAATTTACTCATCGTAATCGGAAATCTGAGTACCTATAATAAAACTGCAACAAAACACTATTTTTACTAACGTTATTACGTTTAGTTAAATTCTATTATTAGCTCTGTTTTGCGTTCTCAGGCAGTCTTTTTGTTTTAGCTCGCCTAACTTTTGAAAAACTTCTTCGATTTCTTTGAGCCACTCGGTTTCCCTATAAATAAACATATTAAATAATATTACTATCTGCTGAAAGGCTAGTGGAAATTAAAAAAATATTGTAAGAGATCAAAGTTATTGTCGTTCTAACCAACGAAATCTTATACTTCACGCAAATACTCTTGTGTTGCTTGAAAACAGTTCCCCTCCCTTTTATTTCTCTTTAATATTAATCATAATAACTAAAAGGAAACTTTCGCCCAACTCTTATTTCTGTTCTCTCAATATTATTGATAAAAAAATCTTAGCAAACTATAATAATATAATGGGGCAGCGATATAAATATTGGAGTGGTCATCAGCTAATTTTAAGATTAAAAAACTCAATCTCATCTTTCGTTAGCCAGACTCTAGTAAAACATAGTTTGGGTAACAAAGGGTAACCAAATTCTCTTCAACATAAAGTTATTTATTGCTTACTTGATGCCGGGTGTGCAACAAATGATACAATTCTCCAAAGTAGCAGAATTCCCATAAGCTCGTTCCAATTACGTCGCGACTCTGGATGCAACCACTAATACGGTCAAGAATAGGTACCGTTTTCTAGCTGTGTATTCTAAGTTTGTACCTTCTAGAATGCTGTTCCCAACATGGAATCAATACAAGAATAGTAAGTACTAAGGTATGTAGGTAGGTTAACGATGTGTTTGCGTGGCGTAGTCACTTCTCTAGGAAAAAGAAATTAACATTGCGAATCAGAAATGCATAAAAATTAGTCAATGCTATCTAGCGGTGTGCGATGAAACGTTATTCATGTGATTGTCAATTAAGCTATTTTATTACATTACTTATTTATTAAGTTACTTCATTTACAGCCACAACGACACACGCCCGCAGTAGTGGGGCTTCTTTTGCTAGTGATCCCGTACCTGCCAGCTTCCAATTTACTCGTCACTGTCGGGTTCGTCGTTGCCGAAAGAGTGCTGTACATACCCAGGTGAAAATTATACAAAGTTATATAATCCTATCAATGGGTGCGATGTGTCGAAATTCCTTGTTGAAAATTGTGACAGGCATTTACAGAGAGGTCGATATTTGTAGTTTGAAAAAGTGACTGAATGTACACTGTCTTGATGACTCCAAGTCCTCTTTTCAATGTTTTTATATTTAGAGACATTAAAGAATCCGAACTTAAGAATTCGCCATTTTTCCAGTGTGGGATCAGTCCTACTGACGGTATATGGAGTGCAGCTTATCTGGCGACGTTTCGTTGGAGGACGGCGGCTACTAGTGCTAAGTGTAGCCCTGCTCGTGGCCACCGACGCTGCGCGTACGCTCCTGAGGAACAAAGACTGGCATACTAGAGAAACTCTGCTTAGGTACCTATCTAGCTCGTCGTTATGTATAAGCAACGTGGTAATTCAGACATGCTGCCTGAAGAGTATTTTGACGATTGTAATTTTCATTCCAGAGCGGACCTGACAGTGATGCCACACAATGCGAAGCTGCATTACAATTTTGCCAACTTCCTAAAAGACACCGAACAGCAAGAAAGCGCCATCAAACACTACCAAGAAGCACTAAGGTAAGTGTTTAATCAACCCTTACGGGTAAACACCTAATATTTACATATTTATGATGACGCAACGTCTCTCTAAATTCTGCCCTACCATATCTAACATAAGGTAAATTTAAATCAAATTGTGTGATAATTAATTACTTTAATTTTAAAAATCTACAATTAATCGTATTTATTCACGATTTGCACAAATTTTCATGATTTTTTTATGAAAATTCACAGAGATATACTTAGCATAAGGTTGTGGTCATAATAAATTTGGTCTAAGATATCAACAATTCACGCGCTGCAGCACATGAAATTAATATTACTTCATACCGACCTCATTGGTTACTCAATGATGTACCTACTAGGTACATGAGATGGGTATATCGACCAACAAAACATCGATTATTGACATCGATTTTTTATAACAAAACAATCTACGTACCGATAAATCGTGGCTTAAAAAATCGATTAATCGACAAAATGTAAATATTTCAATTGATCGCATTACTTCATATTTTATTCATGATTTTTTTTATTCATTAATTTTTCTTCATCTCTTACGGTTTACAAACCCCGCTACTTTGTTTACCTGATTTCTAAAGTTAAAAAAAAGTAGGTATAGAGAGGACTAGACAATACTCCTTTAAGTCTAAGCTAATAGTACCAGGGTAATAACCTCGAAAACACAGGTGGCAGCTCAGGCGGCATGCATAGGAACCTCGTAACATAACCCTCATTTCCCATCTTATTTCAAATCACACAAATTACAACAATATAGTGGTATAGTACAGTATTAATTATGAATTTTTCAAAGGCAGTGGACACAAAATTTATGATTAGCTTAGGTAAACCATCTTTCTAGTGCCACGGTATTGCGCGCAAGTCTAATTTTTCAAAAATCGACTAAATAAAATGAACATTTGCATTTAAAAGTGGTACTTTTTTCCAAATTTTAACATGTTTATAAAATATTTTTATGAAATAGTTTAATTTTTTTTAGCAAAAATCGATATGAAATCATCGATTATCCGATTAATCGAACCAGATGACATCGATTAAAAAAACATCGGTTATTCCACAAAAACATCGTATATTCCCATTAATCGATTAATCGATACCCATCCCTAGTACCTACCATTCCGGCCACCCATATACAGCATTATGGAGATGCCCTCGGCAGTGCGATTAAAAAGGCGCAATTATATGTTCATCTTAATTTGTACATTTCCAGGTTGTGGCCCAGCTACGCCAGTGCGCACAATAACCTAGGCACCCTGGTGGTCTCCACTGGCAAGGCCGAACACCACTTCCTACAAGCGCTCAAATACAATAGGGATCACGTTAATGCTCATTACAACCTCGCCAAATTGTACCGGTTAGTGCCTAATCGTTTTCTCATCAATAATTATACTTAATAACAAATAAAATAAACATTTAATACACAATTAACTTGATTTCATGCATTATTAACATAGAAATGACGACTTTCTGGACGTAATCGCCATCAACAGTAAGTTTGGAATACGGCCGTGTTTGTTAAAAAATATTCTCAAACACTATCTCATGCTATTTAAGTATGTGTCCTGAGCAAGTTTATCTTGCATTACTTAGTCGTAAAAATAGTTTATGTTTCATAGTGTGTACGTAGCCAGTCTGAAAAACTCATATCTTGTCTGCATACTGCATATACTCTGCAAGATTTATAATCTCAGCGCGGGAACAAAAGCAAATCTCAGAAAGTAACAGTCGTTATCCATTACTTTCTTATTCATTGTAATCTTAAGCATTGACGTCAATTGGCCTGCGTTAATATGCTCAATCACATGTCGTAAATGTGTACCCTGAGTAAAGCTTACCAACTTCTCGAGTCAATGACTGATACCCAACACTTTTGTTTATTCCAATTTTTATCAGTTCACAAATATCACAGACGTCGGCAAGTGCCTGCTTGATAATGATCAACAAACATAAATGTTCTAGAAACAAACGTTTACATAAGCAAATGTACAATTTTCTAAATCTCATTTAGCCATTTTAATCACGCTCGGCCTCTTTTGCAGTAAGAAGAACCGCATGGCGGAGTCCATGCGCATGTTGGAGCGCTGCATCGCGCTTGAGCCGCGGTTCGTGCAGGCGTATCTGGAGCTGCTGTTTCAGGTACGCCTGCGCGAACAAGATATGACGTCCGAAGAAGACAAGCGCTGGATATTTCACAAGTTGCTGGATCTCGAACCGAACAACTGGGAACACTATCTGCTGTACGGTAGCTGGCTCAAGAACAGGGGTGAGTTCTCCTTAATTATACCTTGATATTACCTAATGCACTTACAGAGCGCATTCTGTCCGTTTAACATAATATAACTAAATATTAAGTTATAATTATATTTCGTATTGCAACAGGTCTACTACCCCTGACATTAGAACAGGTGACGATAGCATTGCGGCTCTCGTTTGCGGGCGAGGTGAAAGGGCGGGCGCCCTCCGTCCGGGCCGCGTGTCTCGCACTGAGGGCGAAGGGGCAGAGGGCTCGGATACAGCAGTTACTCACTCGGTGAAAATCAATATGAATAAGCCATATAAAAGTTATATTAAATAGACAGATCTATGTGTAAGTCATAATAAACGAGAACTATGTACATTGTGTGGGTGACAGGTAACTGGAATATAGTGTGAACTTCTAATCTGTATATTTAACTTTATAATTTATAATTAACGTTTGTCGCTATCTGCCCATCAAGAACCACTAAGCGTCATCCTTTAAATCGTAGTTTTATTTAAATTTAATTTCAACAAAAGTAAACACCATACCTGCCTAAAGTTAAAAAACAAACTTCTCAAGGTTGTATTTGTTAACATATTGCAGAAAATGTCTTCTATAAGACCATAATTCCTTTCTCCTTTTATCTGGTCTGATACTAATTGTCAGTCTTCCCTTACTTAGTTTGATTTTTGCACCTATGTTTTTTTAATAAGTATCTCCCAAAGTGTTAACTCTCATTTTGTCGGTGTTTTGAAGAAAGGGCTTAAGTTCCATTTCGTAGATTTTTCAAGGAAGCATATTTTAGGTTCTAACAATTGTTTTAAAATATTTACGTTTTATTTTAAAATTCAATTTTAAAACCTAAACCAGAATTAAAACCTAAATTCAATTTTATAACACGACGTAAATATTTTAAAACAGTCGTTAGAATATAAAATATGCTCCACTGAAAAATCTACAAAATGTTGCGTACGCCCTTTATACAAAACACCGACGATATTATGCTCTATAATGTTCATCAGAATCTTCTATCAATTTGATTCCTAATAATTTCGTCAATCCATAAGAAAAATTTTCCATTCTTTTCTAACACAAATGTTATAAGAATATGTGCGATGATGATCATATCATATTCGCACATTCCAGATGGCACGCAGTGCGCGATGACGGACAGCCGTTCATGCGGCGACTACTGGCGGCGCGTGCGTGGCGCCTACGCACCGAACTCGAAGGTCGCGCCGCGCGTTATGATCGGACTGTAGTGCACTCGGTAAACTTTTACTTAGCCTAATGTAGCTCCACCATCCACATAGCTGTAGTGGTTTCATACAAAAGCCAAAATGGCTGTCTACACTCAAGTCCTATGCATGTTTACTACATAGAAGGCAGGCAGAAAAGTTTCGTGAAATGTGTCAATCCACTGAATATTGATCCCAGGTACAACCTTTGGCGCGAAAGAGTGCCATCTACCTTTATTCCTCCTTCTGAGGATGTACCTCCCGTACAAAGATTGCCCTGGCCGATCTAGAGGTTTTTAAATAGACTTCGGACTTAGGTGGGCCGGATGAAGAAGAATTTGTTATTACTAGGATTGTTAAATAATAATAGTAATAATAATAACGCACAAACTAATAACCGCGGGGTTATTAGTTTGTGCGCACCCATGGACACACACATATGTAGACGACCACAAATTACATCCAAACTGACTAAAGAAATAAATGTAGGCCATACAAATCGATAACTACAATGAACACTGCGCCAACTTTATTTTTTGGTAATTTTCTGTTATTTTTGTAAACAGCCATATTTATTTATTAATATGCTCTCCGAAATTTGCGAGAAAGAAATAAAAAAACAAAAAACAAAATTCGAAAAAAAAACAAATTTTGTGAAAAAAAAATTAAGTAACCAAAAACACAATTAAAACAGAACACGTCCAAAAATTAAGTTAGGGTAGTGTTCATTGGAGGTATCGAAATATTTCTCCGGGCCCGGGAATCGAACCCGGGACCTCTGCGTGGCAGTCCAGCATGGTAACCGTTCGGCCACGGTAGCAGTCAAGCCGAAGGCACCGTTCAGCTGCACACCGTTTCACAGCTTGGCTACGCAACCTCGCACCGCCTAGCTACCCCGCACAGCATTGGTGGAATCGCAGCCTAGAAGAATAAGACATGTTTTTGAGAATTATTCTCAAACATAATAGCTTTGTAAATTTTTACTTATTGCCCCATAAGCAAATCATAATTCCGATTATCAAAAGTGAGTTTGTCTATATTTACTATTTTATATTGACTGTTATCATACTTATCTAATAAGTAGGTGTCTAATGTTAAATGCTTGGTTGCAGATGACATCGACGTGCCTCCACCATAGTCATTTAGAAATCGCTGCTGATGCCTACAAACATCAAAGTAACAACGAAATCGAGTCTAGGACTTTTCAGTACAAAAGTGTTGTGTGCAGTGGCTCAGCAGCCAAGAGTGTTGTCGACAAAATAACAACGAACAGTTGCCAAAAACCCAATGAATACACCAAAAAGAGCGTGTCAATACCCGCACACTACAAACCTACGCATAACAAATCTGAAACTGGGCATAAACAAAAAAGTTGTCCATTACATAAAAAGAAGAAAATAAAAGATGAAACATTCGCTCCTTTTGTCTCAGACCATTTGATAAAGACTTACTAAAGAATTAAACTATAAAAGTAACTTACTATAACATCTACCATGTTTTGTTCAAATTCAACATTTTCTGATAGAGCTCTTACGTTAAGTATGCAATTTTAAAATGTGATAAAATAAATATAATATCCTACGCAGCGTATCAGCATGTGAGTAAAGTGTGTTGAACCACTCCGAATAATAAATAATTACAATAAAATAGTGTGACGCGGATGATCTACACAGGAGTCCGCGACAGACAATAAAATGTATTATTCCTTTACACATTGCCTATGCAGCACATTCAGTGCGACGGAGGTGCGGAAAGCCATACATAGAGTTGTATGATTTTCCGCAAAATTTGGAACAGTGAAAATTTTTCAGAAAAATTTCTAAACCTGAAAAAATATAATTCGAAGGCTCTTATCATGTTCTACGTTCAGATATTATATATATATAATATAATATATTATATATATATATATATATATATATCTCTCTCTCTTTTAAAGTTTTATTTAGCATGAATTATAAAATAAAATTGTTTAAACATAGCTAAATGTAGTTTTTTACATCCTGGTTGGCTTATTTTCACAAGTTCTCCTAAGAATTCAGTATCTTCAACTTTTGACAGGTGTGACTGTCAATTGTGGAAAAATATTCAGAAAAATATATATTTTTCTGAATTTTTTAAAAATATTAATTTTTCAATATATAAATTGTTCATTTGGATCACTTCGTCCTCCATCACCATCCATTACTTCATCCGCTCATCCGCTCGCGGACAGTCCGCGTTGCACTGAGGCCCTTAAACCAATAGAAAGCGGTTTCAAGTTCTACAGCCAACAGATAAATGTAACAAAGGAAGTATTTTTTAAATTGTGTGCCATATTACGTGTATAATTAATTGTACATACTATAGGTATATGCTAGATAGGTAAACAATGGCTTTTCAAAAAGAAAACAATCCATCTACTGTACGCGAATAATTTATTTAACTTTTGTCAAATCTCAAGTTAAGACGAATATTATTTTTGGTAAATAAAAATACATTTTGAGTTTGTAAATAATCTTGATGTAAATTTAAGAATCAAAATATATATAAGTAATAAATGTAACAAAAGTGACCGCACCCGTTGCTTTAGATGTACTTATTTGTTACAACCACAAAGAATAAAAAGACCGGTAGTGTTTCCAATGATGCGTTTTATTTTTTTTTGTACTATCTATGTTGACCTATTGTCTATTGTTTTATTTTCTTCTTTTCAGTTAAAAGTGTGGCAAGTACCGCAGCATATCACCTTATTTGTTCCGCTCAGAGCTTTACTAGAATGATGAAATATTTATTACCCATTATCTGTTAATTACATTGAGTAACTTCTGATAAAAACTTGCTGTGTTAAGTAATTAGTTAGGCGTTATTGTAAAACATTGATACAATGCCTGTTATGGCTGTAACAGTTAATAAATTCTTATTGAGTTTTATTCACAATTTGTTTGCTAATGCAAAGTGCACAAAGAGATAATTTCGTAAGCAACGTAAACGAAAAATTGTTGTGGTAATTTCAAACACTTTCGATAAAGATTTGACGAATATGTAAGCATATATAACGTGCGTTTTTTTGTACCTGTAACCCATTTTACAATAGTCCCAACCTGATCGAAATCACGAATTTCAGATGCCATGCAATAAAGTACAAAGTCATTAGTCTTTCATCTGATTGGGTAAAATCATTTAACAGAAAAGATTTCGAAGTGTTTTGTTGTGCGAATCTAAGTCCATATTTAGTACAGGGAATTCCCCAGTTTGAGACCAGGCAATAGGTATGGTTGTCTAGCACATAATAATTAAGTATTTTATTATTAGTTACAAGGTTCATTGTGTGTTTTTTTGCACCTACAACCCACTTTACAATAGTCCCATCCTGATCGAAATCACGAAATTTCAAGTGCAATGCAATAAAGTACCAAAGCGATTAGTCATTCATCTAATTTGGTAAAATCATTTAACAGAAAAGATTTCGAAGTGTTTAGTCGTGCGAATCTAAGTTCGTATTTTGCAACGCTCGCTCCTCAACAGTGCCTACGGTAATGAGCGATGCCGCTTGCAGTAATCAATGAAAAAAGTGCAAAGGTAGTCGTCTGTTGGATTTAATTGAGGCGCAACTTCTCTCATGTAACGAATCTGTGATCGTAACTTTTTAATTTCGATATTGGTCAGAATTTGTCTACGTGAACTTGAAGTTTTGGCATAAGTAGGTAGGTCTTATTACTAAATCAGTAATGCATAGATTCCTATCAAAAAATAATATTGGTTGATGCAGAATTGTAATACAGTGACTTCAGAAATCAAATTATTTTTCCGGATCTAAATCGTATAGTTTTGTTATGATATCAAGCGACAGAACGAACAAGTCGTGCGCATGGTGGTAAGCGACACACCTATCCACGACAGTTACAGTGCCATACATTGATAAATCTCATGTGCCTGCTATTTCACCAGAACCACTAACATTCAAAATCGCATAGCAGCACTGCTCACATTACTGCTTAGGAGCAGAAATAGGTACGGCGGCAATATTTTCCTGGACGAACTCTTTCACAAAAAGCTCTACTACAACTACTCTAACTAAACTTTCAAACCTAAAGTACTAAAATTTTCAAATTTTTCTTGAATTGATACTCAATTATTTTATATATGAAATTACTCCACTAGTTTGTTATAATTATTAATACAAAGATCGAACACTCAGAAAAAACAAACAGAAAAATTCGTGAGGTCCGCTGGTTCGTTCCGTGGCTTAGTTGGTACAGCGTCTGACACGGTATGAAGACGTCGTCGGTTCGAATCCGGCTGGATCGAAGGATTTTTTCAGAGTGTTCGATCTTTGTATAATTAAAACTTTTAATTTTTTTTAAATACCTACACCGTTTTCTTTAGAGCTATCAGCCGTGACCATGGGGTCTACTCTCATTCTCCGTACGGCATCCGAAACAATTACTGTCTAATAAGTAATAGTCGATCCATGTTGAAAGCCACAGACCGATAACCATAGTTCCGAATATATCAAAAATAATAGAATCTATTATATCAACAAGTATTATGGATCATTACGAAATGAACGATTTGTTATCAGATAGACAATAGGTATGCTTATAGGAAAGGTAAATCCACCGTAGTTGCAGCACAAAATATAGTAGATTCTATTATTACCAGTATAGATGATAAGTATAAAACTGCAGGCATTTTTTGTGACCTAACAAAGGCGTTCGATGTAATTGAAAATGATTTATTAATTCAAAAGTTAGCTGTGTATGGCGTCAACGGAGTCGCCCATAACCTATTAAAGTCTTTTTTATCAAACAGACGGCAAACGGTTCAGGTCAGTACAAACGGTACAACAACTAGGTCAGCGGCTGGTGACGTCACCATTGGCATCCCACAGGGATCCGCCCTAGGTAATACACTATTCCTGGCATTCATCAATGATCTGCCATACTTTATATCAGGGGGTCTTGTGGTTCTATTTGCGGACGATACAACCGTTATAGTGTGTGCTAAAACCTACAACGAGTTGGAAGAAAAATTAGCCTGCACGTATGAGCAGCTGTATGAGTGGTTCTCTGCGAATGGACTTATTCTTAATGAATCGAAGTCAAACCTTATGTTGTTCTCAGGAAGAAATTCTATAACAAAGCCAATTATCACCTCCATTGTTCCATTATGTAACACCTATAAGTTCTTGGGTTTAACGCTAGACTCAAATTTGAACTGGAAGTCACATATACAAACTCTATGTCAAAAACTTGGAAGTGCTGCATACGCACTGAGGAAACTGCGTCCTCTTGTCTCCAGTGTGGTATTGAGGCAGACGTATTATGCATATTTTCATTCGTTGATGTCTTATGGCATCACACTGTGGGGTAATTCAACTGAGTCGATTAGGGTATTTATTCTTCAAAAACGTGCACTAAGAACAATAGTAGGCATAAAAAAGGGTCAGACCTGCAGAAACCTTTTTAAGAAATACAATATAATGACCATGTACTCACAATATATTTATGATATAATAGTTCATGCGGGTCAAAACTTGGCTACTTATGAGCGACGTACGGGCGGAGGCCGAGCGTTACGAAACGCAGGAACACTAAAATCCGTTGCCCACCGTACCGAACTGGCAACTAGAAATCCGCGGGTAATAGGTCCCCGATTCTACGAACATCTACCCACAGACCTGAAAAGTGTTAGAAACGATGAAACGTTTTGTACCCGACTAAAAATCCTTTTATTGGATATTGAATTGTACAGTGTCGATGAGTTTCTTTTGAAACAATTTTAATTTTATTTTATTCGACAAGCAGTAGTTATACTACTTTATTTTATATTCATTATTATTATTATTATTATTTTGTTACTGACGATCATAGTTATCCCTTGACATTGTATTTCCAATTGTAATATTGTGACATTGACAACATGAAATAAACGATTCTATTCTATTCTATTCTATTCATTTAAAGGACAATGTTAACTAAGAGGCTTCATTCGCATCATGCCCCTTTAAATTTGATTAAGTATTATTTCTTCTTCTTCTTCTTCTTCCTGTCCTTATAAGCGGTTGAATGATCGGACAGAGAACTTGTAACGAGCCCGAAAACCGATTTAGATCCGTCAGAATCGTGTCATTTCCAATGTGTAAATTACGAAACCTAAAAATTTATTTGAAAATAGAAATGACAGTTTGTTTACACAGGCTAACTTCTTAATTTAATATCTTCAGAAGTAGATTGCAGATTTTCACGTGTCATGTCCCAGCAGTGAGTCTCGGCCGCTAGCTGAGTTCCCGAGTTCCCGGTAGGTCCAATTTTCCGATCAGATTTCCGAAACACACTTTTATAATTTAGTCTCCGGTCTGTCTTCTTCTTCTTATCGTATCGATGGGATACACAATGCTTGCCAGTTGAAAGAATTTGCCAATCAGCGTAAAATTCTGACCAATTGTTACCCAGGCTGCGTCAGACGTACAGGGAAGGAATTGTTTGTCGTGCAATCCCACGGTTGCAACTTTTGTGCAGTCCAAGGTCTCAGGTTTGAATAGTGTTACTTAAGTTATTGTCCTTATTTTAGTACCAAAATAGAACAGAAAATTCCTTAGATCGAGACTAAGCAATTAACTTGAGTGAATTGTGCACATTGAACTGTTTTCAAGGATTTATCACTAACTAGTATCTCACGTAGTCAGATATGTTTTTCCACCTGATGTGAGAGCGGATTTTTTCTCTTGTTGGTCAAGGAATGGTCAAGGAACTAAACCGATTGTCTTAATGTTATTTGATTGCAATTCTTAAAAGTGAAACTTGACCAATAAAACCATATTGGCCTTGATCAAAATATGTTTTTTTGTTCAAAATTGTACCTTCCATTATATTTTGTGCTTTCGAACATGGCGGCAAAAGTGTAAGTTAGGTAATATTCACAGACCACATAAATACCAGTAATATTATTTATATATAGTAGGTTATTTAAAACATTCATAAAACTCCTTCAAATACAAAAGATAACAGAACAAAGTTGATACAAGCTTATACTAAGATATATATTTCATTGTTTGGAAGTTATCTCTCAAAAATATACATGGTTACAAAATCGAATATACAATTCGTTAAGTTAGCTAATACGTATTGCTGGCGCCAAATACGTTGTGGTCGCTAACAAAGTTTCATACCTCAATTAAAAAAAACAAAAACACATTTTAAACTAAATAAATATTAATCTTTAAAAACGTATAAAAATAGTCTATTATAAATATTAAATTTACTTCCCTCGATCAACTCTTTCTCTGCTCCTATTGAGTAAGTACGCTCTCCTGAAAAGTTGTCATATTGCAGATGTGCATTATTAAATTAACAAGGGTGCATTTCGTCTGCTTAAAGGTAAAACCACATAAGTGACATTCCACAAACCCACAAAAAATCTCCACATTATGTACCTGTTGTAAGAAAATCACCATCTTTCTGCAGATAAAACCACTTATTGAGTTTATAGTTTTTTTGTTATTGAGTTTCAACTGCAGAAAGATAGTGATTTTCTTACCATACCCATATGAAGACTTTTTGTAGAAATGTCTTCTGTCTCAATTTTATTGATCATATTTAACCGAAATAAATACTTACTTTGTTCGTAAAGTTCATAGAATTAGAAAATAATTTGTTTCCTATTTTAACAATTATTAATAAGTCTATAAAATTAGTGTCCTTGTTTATGTGACTTATTTGTGTTTTAATTATATTTTATTACTGATTTGTTATGATTTTGTTACGTAATTAGGTATTTACTTGAGTCTTATGTTTGAATTTTTTGATTATGTATCTGTATTTTTTTTCTTGTCTATTTAAATTTAGTAGCAGTAGAGCTCTTTGTGAAAGAGTAGTAGAGTAGTAGAGTAGTGCAGGGAAGTACTGCAACCTTACCTATTTCTGCCGCCAAGCAGTAATGTTAGCATTACTGTGTTCCGATTTTGAAGGGTGAGGGTGCTGGTGAAATTACAGGCACAGGGACTTATCAACTTATGTCTCAGAGTGAAGGGCGCAGTGGCCTTGTCCCTAAGATCTTTGCGATTTAAAGCTGTGAGTGCCACTGCAACTGTTATGGACAGGCTTGTAGCTTACCATCAGGCGCACGACTTGTTCGTCCCGTCACTTGATATTATAAAAAAAAAATTCATGCCCCAAAAAGAGACTGAATCAAAAATCTGTAAAATTTTTACATATTTTTTATAAATAATTTAAGCAGGAACCCGATCTTATTGCTCGTCAGTACATAATCTATTAACGAAAATCACGATGTGTAAATAATACATAAAATTATACATAGGTTGTTAAAAAAGTACGACTGAAATTTTGTAGGACTCGAACAGCATACCTACACAACTGCTTTCTCTTCAGAACCTAAGTCTGATCCATGAAAAGTGTTTCATTTTTCAAGACCAAAATTGAATTTTTTTGTTTGATTTTGTGGTATAGGAAAAAGAAAAATATCATATGGGATATCATAGGTATGCGTACTGATTTTGAACTCATACAACAACAACAACAACATCAACCCATTTACACGTCCCACAGCTGGGCACGGGTCTCCTGTCAGGCGAGACCCAATGCGGGTTGTGGACTTCACACGTTTTCCGAGGGCTGTTAAGCTTCTTCGGCATGCAGGTTTTCCTTCACCATAAAAACTCATGGTAAATCTCAAATTAAATTTCGCACATAAGTTTCGAAAAACTAAGAGGTGGGAGCCCGGATTCGAACTAACGGCCTCTGCTTGAGAGGCGGTAGGTCAACCCATTAAAATACCAAGACTTCTAACTCATACATCGGTACTTAAAAGCGTATGTTTTTAAGCGTGAAACATACAGAGAGCGGGTGCGGTTCGGGCGCGGGTCGGATTGGGTCGGGTCTGGTGGGGTTCGGAACTGCGGCGGGTTAAATTTTGTGCATTTATATGGACAACACACCGACCGCGGGCTGGGACGGCCCGCGTACGCACACGGTATTAAATCCTCCGAGGTCCCGACCCAGCCCGCGCCCGACCCGCATTCGCTCTCAGTGTTTCACGCTATCTATTATGTATTTACCTTCCTATATTCGTCGTGACCTATGACAAGTTTCAAAGGTTGTTCAATAATCCTATTTACGAAATTACACAGATAACGCCCTGATAACGAAATTCTTACAATGTTGCAATGTTCTTTTGTATACAAAACGAACGACGTGTTATTAAGATTTATAATGTCACTATTAGCAAAAGGACTAGTTCATTAAACAAACTGTGTTGACATCACATCACTATTATTTGAAAAGATGCAAAATGACATTCCTTACGAATCAGCAGTAAATTCGTTTTGAAGGGTAGTCAGGTGAATTTTACCACGCAGTAAATCAATAAACTTTAGTCACGCGTCAAACTACACTAAACGCTGTTGCGGGGCGTTGTGCAACCGGATCTCACGGCCACAGACGATTTGTAAAAGTTCCACTACTAAACATTCACGGCCGCTGTTTTCTCTATTCAGAATATTCGCGACGATAATCGCACGGAACAACAATTTTCATCGCTTGTTACGAACGCTTTCTAGGCGGGTGGTGCTTGGCATTCGCGCAGTCCTCCCGCAGCCGGCAACGTCACCGTTCGACCCTCTAGCTCGATCGCGCCGCTAACCAAGCGCCACCGCCGCGCCGCAGTTACCGCGCGCTTTGTGACACATGCTTCGCAAACATTGCTCTGTTTACACTTCGCCCGATATAACGTTCTACACAGCTGCAAAAAGAACACTTTTCCACCATCGGCCGCCCGACAATTTAGCAAGTCCTTTTCAATAAAGGTTTCGTTACACCACTCAGTGAAAGGCTTATAAGTATATAACAAAAAACAGTAGATTTTAGTTCAGTGTTTAACGATGCGGGCGGCATTCTGGCTACTTGCGATCGTCGCGCTCGCATTCGCCCAAGATGTAGACGATATCGGGGAACCCTGGGTCGAAGAGGAAGAGCTTGAGGAGCCGTACATGAACGAACGCGAAGATCACACGCGCAGTAGAAAGGCCGACGTCGATGAGCCATACGAGGAGCAAGTACGTGTCAGGAGACGATGCTGCGACTATGAGTACGACCCGGCGCCGCCACGCCGCATGAAGCGGTCGCCCGAGCCGGAGCAATATAACAGGAAGCCACGTCAAGTTCACCAATACGAAGTGCATGAGTTTATTGATGAAGGTTCCTCTTTTCCATCGCCGCCATACGAGGAGATGTTGGCGGCCAGTGCTGAGCACTACCATAGAGTGTATGCAGCACCGGGCGCACCGGCTTTCACCCACCATCACGGTTCTGAAGTGAGTGCAGAAGTGCCTATTCCACTCAGTTACCATCCCGTTTCTAAAGTCGTGCAATTCGCCGCAGCGGGCGCGGGGACTGCTACTCGGCCCTTGGCGATTTTACCGCCGCAGCAAAAGCAAGGACGTCAATTGCCTTTAAGAGAGGCTTATGTCACTGTGAACACTGCTAACCCTGCTTCTGTGTCTGTCAAAGCTAACAAATCTATGCCGCCAAGTAGCCCTGTCCAGTTCATATCACCGGTCAACACAGCGCCAATCCCGATCGCTTTGACGGCGCCAGACGCGCTTGTGGTGGGCCCTGCGCCGGTTCCATCGGCGCCTGCTCCGGCCGCGCCACCGCAGAGGTTGGCAGGTGACCAATTTGGCGCGGCCGCCGGTCACCACCAGCAGCATCATCATCATGTTGAACATAATCACAACACTGGCGGCAGACATGGTCACCACGGCGACCATGGTCATTCCGCTGGCGGCGGACAAAATCACCACGGCGAACATCACGGTGCCCATAAGGGAAAGGTATAGCTTTGAGTGTTGCTTATTGTGTTCTGTTACGAATTTATCTAAAAAAAATTTAACCATTCTTGTTTAGAAGATATTTAGATATGCGAGGTAAAAGGGATAACACATTTCTTACTATTATTCTGGTCGGTAGTTGAACGTTTTAGTTACTACCTCCATCTAAATAAACTGGTAATCATAATAATAAATATAATTACGTAAGGCATAGATTAATACGTACATATATGTACGTATTCATGTTCCTACTACTAGATTACTACTACAAATGTATGTATAAATGTGGATATATTTATTACAGTTCCAGTCGGTGGTCTTGGCAAAATATCGTTTCGAAAATTCGATTTACCTTAAAATAACATGTTACTTTTTACAGCGAGAAGCATTACAATGCAACTAATAGTTACATACTGTGTAATTCTGTTATTTACAAGTCAAAACATAAATACATTAAAGTACACATATCAAAAATTTCAAGGGATCTTAGAATAATAACGCATAGAATGATAGTTTCATATCAAACGAACTGTCACAAGTGAGGCAAAAATCAAATTCATGTAGGCTAGTTTTAGTAGTAGGTTAATTTTCGGTTTTAGTGAATATTTATATAAAAATACAAGTTGAAACGCGTTACTTCCTTGTGGAATGTGATGTTAGTATCTATTTTATGTTTGTCTGACGTATTTTTACACTCATTTACAGCACATTTCGTCATTTTTAGCTAAAATTGTTGATCTGTTCGCAGTGCAAGTTGACCTTGAGCACTGAAGGCCCGCCCGCTCGTGTAGGCCCATTGGGCGCGCTTCAATTTGCCTCACTTAGCGTGTGTGGACTAGGTTTCTATGCGTTATTATTCTAAGCAAGGGATCAAGCACGTTTTTGCTAATTACTGAAAATCAGGTTTCTCAATTGTTTATTTACCACCAATGGATTTTTTGTTCAATTTCGTTTTCAATTTCAAATTATAGATTTGATAACAAATATTTTCGGAAATTGGCAAAAACGTGCTTGATCCTTAGACACTTTTGATTTGGGCAAGTGAACACACTTTTTCAATTTATTGCCAGAAATATTAGGTAGGTACTATTTTACGCAATAAATACTATAAAACTATTTATTTTAGGTCTATTTGGGTGATTTGTAGCATAGAATAGTGTGTGCGCACCCGCCACGTGCCGTGTACGGATGCACACATTCGCATTATCTCACGATGCACTAGCGTTACATAGAGCTGGTAGTCCCGCGCGCCTTTCATTATTATGCAAATGTGTGGGTCTGTACAAAAAGTACAAGCGTGTAATATGCCTGTGGCCCTGTACTAAGTTTATTTATTATAGGTGTAAAAAAACACATTTTTATACTCAAATACATTTGACTTATATTGAGATTAAATACTTTTTGTTACAATTTAGTTTTATCACTTCAATTCATAGGTTCATGGGAATTCTTACTACTTTTCTTCTCAAAATCATTGCCATAACACTGTTTTTCAATTTTTTAAACATTTTTTTGTGACACACAAATATCTCGCTTATTGTCTTTATATTTTATTAATTTCTTTCACTATTTGTAAAATATTATACTCAATGAACTTTTATTAGTTACTTTCCTGCATAAGTATCTCATTCGACTACCGGCGAATATAAGATTTTACGACTACGAGGAAACGAAAGGAGACTTATGATTATTAACACATCTTCAAAAAGGTTCTGGTTCTGGTTTGGCAGTATTAATTTCTGTTTAATTGAGCAAGTATGTAGAAAAGAGTGGATATCACAGTGGTATTTAACTGCTTATTTACATATCTACATACTGATATTTACATAATCTCGAAAATCTTCATATTTCTTGATTCTTTATCATCAATTAATTTGTAGAATTTTTGTCGAAATACAAACTTATACTATTGATTTAATATAACGTCGGGGATAGTGCAATTACGCGAAAATAGCATTTGCAAAAGCATTACAGAGGTTTTTTGAAATTTTTTTAACGTACTCCAAAAACGAAAGACAATCTTAATTCGATTGTAATTTTTTGTATATGTTACTTCTTCCATTAACCGATTTCATTCCACAAATTTTTCATTAATGTATTATATTTTCATTACAATGTACACCGAACGTTTCCGTGATCGATTATTAGATTAATATAGTCTGGGTCTAAAGCACATCACATATTATTATGTGCATGTTGATGTGTGACCTTACGAGGTTCAACTAATATTACATTTCAAAACTTATATTCTGGTTCTCATTCCAAAATAGCTTAGAAACATAGTTTCTTAGTATTACTATAAACAGATGCTATGGTCATAATCAATCTATAAGCCCAATGGGGGTTAGACATTTCTTCATAACCAAGAAACTCTTCTACGAAACGATTCCACGATGTGAACCATTTCCGTTATGCAGCGTTTTCCTAAGTAGGAAGAAGAAAATATTAAATTAGCTGTTGAAGCAGATTTAAAAAAACAAAGATCGTATTTTGAAAATGCACCATATTCAGTGATATTGAAAATAATGCCACTGGACATCACAAGAACTTTACTCATCTCAGAATTTTTTGAAGCTATCTCTCAGTTCAACAGTCCACATTATCGTGTATTCAAAATCATTCATTTGATAAAATCCCAATGTTAGGCTCCATTAAGTAATTACTCAATAATCACAATTATTAGGTACCATTCACAATGTACAGCAATCAAGTAGCCAATTATACTAAAAAGTTTAAAATATTACGGAACTAATTTTATTTTAGGTCCAAATGTTAAAATGTTTTACATTTATACGTTTTTAGCGGAATCTCAAACCTGTGAATATGAATATGAAGTCAAGGAAGCATTCAAATGCTATATTTAAATGATATCAGCATTAGTTTGTCACATTTCAATACATCCTAATGCCACCGCAACTGTCAGCATCACAGTAGATAACTCAATCTTCATTATTGTATTAATCAACTAAACACCATCATCGAAACGGTTAACTACATCGATGGATGATGACGATATCGTAGTCTCACAACATTTTCAGACATCGAAGGGACACAAGACAAACCACTGGGTAGATAAAGGCGGCAAAGGCCATAAGGAAGATGAGCATCACCGCAAGGTGTACGCGGAAGCGACAGGCAAAAAACATAAACACCACGACAATGCTGGGCATAAGGGTAGCCATGAAGAGGAGGCCCACGGCAGCCGCGGTGCACACTTTGATGAAAAGAAAGGACACAAGAAGGGACACAAGACTAAAGGTAGGAACTTTAACTTTATAAGACTGTCATTACTTTTCTTGATAAAAATAGTATTTGTGGTTGATATCACATGACAAATAGGAAAAAGCCTTTTTGTACTCAACAATACCTTAATAAATCACGAGCTGATCGGAATAATGGCAAAAAAATCCATTGACCAGACCAGTCTGACCATCATTCTGACCAACGGGAAGCGCTGTGTGTATGTAAGTGCCTCTTATCTCTCATCTCATCATCTTATCAGCTCTCTTCCAAAACATTAATAAGCTGAACACAAAAGTGTTTTTGTTTAAAGTCATGGTAAACTATTAAAATAGTTTACCATTAAAATAGTTTACCATTTTAAGATTTAAAGAAATTTCATTTTCATTGAAATTAAATTTCAATGGCATTGCTTTAGTATTTTTTTAAAGTCTAGGAGTGAAGATAAAATAACTTCATCCTTCATAATTACTTAAGATAAATGGTAAATGTAACTCTGATTTGTTGGACACAAAATAAAAAATCGACATGCAGTTTTTCTTCAACGCAATATAGTCTTTATTTTAGTAAAAAATCATTTTCCCTTACACAGCACATAGGCACGCATAAAAATCCTCGCAGCGAAGCCCGTAGCATGAAGCGCGGGTTTTCACCAACCAATAAACAGAAAGAAAGTCGTGCACTACGCAAGTTCGTGTTCTTACCTTCTTTTAACACTTTCTTATACATTAAAAAATAATTCATGTTACAATTTTAACGCAATATAAGAGGTCAGGTCACCGCGAACCAGGTTCGGGTATAGTGACCATTATTCGAGAAATTGTAATATTTTGCGGTCGAGGGAAAGCGTTGCTTGGTTTAATGCAGTTACATAAAGTTATTTGTTGTTGAACTCCCATTGACAATCGGCGTGAGCATTTCTATCAATTCTCTCGAAACAATCACTGTGGTGACGTGACGAAATCAATATAGCGCTATTCACTTGTTTTCCCAACCATTGGTCATGGCTTTCCAATTGCGTTATAGTTCATGGTGACCACAGGTTTAGAATTAATTCATTATTAGTTACACTTCACTTGGGTAATGCATTGGCTAACTATAGTTAAATTCAAGACACTAAATTGAATCCGTGCAATTCAACTTCCTCCGTGGCCGAACGGTTACCATGCTGGTATACCACGCAGAGTTTCCGGGTTCGATTCCTATCCGTTAAAATATTTGCATGGCCTATATTTATTTCCTTCGTGAGTTTGGTGTTATTTGAGGTTGTCTATGTGTGTATCCGGCACCCGCGACTCAGGGTTAAAAAAACACAGGTTTAGAAAAACAGCAAAACATCTAATTACAAAACAAACGGAATCACATTTCATCTATAATTATATATTAAATATGTAATTTTTCAATTTTCGTCCATTATAGCAAGCCTCGAGTTAAACTGGTCGATTTGAATTCGACCCGTCAATTGTTTCAAATTCGGACTGGCCAATCGGAGCGCAGTAATGATTTGGCAGGATAGTTTTTTAACAAATTAAATGACATTTCGTCTCTATTTCTATTTTATATACAAAATAAATTTAGTAAAATAACAAGCATACTTTTTTTATATTTCAAGTGTATGCGATATATGCGTTCAGATTTTTCGAGCATTAAACCTTTTTTGCTTAACCTGACGTAAGAAATCCTTAGGACGATAATGTGATGTAAAAGCCTAGAGGATGGAAAAAATAAATAGTCTAAGTGTAAAAGACATTACGGTTGAATTTACCTGCATGTCATGACACTGTTTACGAGAAAGTGTGATGAAAAAGACGTTGTGTGTTTCACATCGGTTCGTACGGACGCGGCTCGATACAGATCGGCAACGAATGTGCTTTGTGCGAATTTCAGACCGTATCTGTACGCATGCCAACGGCAGCTGATCCTGGTTTAGGAAAAACAACTGGCGCGACGGCGCACTAACGGTCGCGTCAACGGCGAACCTGCTTAATGCAACAAGTGTGGTTAAACAGAATCACATTAGGACTATTCCGCGTTAATAAGTTTGGTGACGGCCAAAGCTCTTAGTAGCATCGCAACAATCATAAAATATTTAAAGGATTAATTTTTACAGGTGGTGGCGCCAGTGACAGACAAGTACCAATATCGACATCTTTTTAAAATTAATTTGTAATAAGATAGAACAAAATTTTCTAATAAACAAACGTTTCAGTTCATAATAACATGTTTCTTATTGGTAAGGGTTAGTTACTGGGTGTTCACTATTGGTGAGTGTCGATTACTGGTTAGTTAATTAGTGGATTTTTGATGTTCATTACAGGAGATTTAGAGTAATTCCAGTTTAGGTTATGAAACATACTACAGCATAATTTTTCTGGAGGGTTATACCTGTCAAATAAACTAATCACTATTGACATAAGTTTAAAAATATAAAGTTATTTCAAATTTAAAGACAAAAATATCGATCATTGTTACCATTATTCTACTTAGAGGTATCCGAAAAACTCTTTTTAAACTTGCAGTATTAACATACGTACTATAATTTGCAGGTTATCACAACAAGTACCATAAGGACGAGTTCCACAAAGAACACAAGTTCTACGATGATTACCACAAGAGCGGAGAGCATCACCGCTTCGGCAAATTCCATGCTAAACATGCAAGCAACGATAGCGGCAAAAAGAAGGCTCATCACCTCAATGCCGGACATGACGTCGTTGAAAAGGGGAAGAAAGGATACAGGTGAGAATCTCCGTATTTTATTTAGCTGTTATCGTTATAGGTTGTGATGGCGGGGCACTAAGGCAACCGGCCCAGTTTATCGACCACTATCGCACCCATTAATACAACAGACAAGTATTAAGGTCTGGGTGAGATTCCAGCAGCTTGATTTTGATTGCCTCTGCCGATCGGAAAGTGCGTTTATTCCGAGTCGAGGCGCATAATTGCGATTCACAATAGGCCGATCGGAAACTTGACATTTCAAATCGGAACAATAATTGATTTAACTCACAAATTAGAAAAATATAGTAGGAATCAGGTTCATCTTTTCGCTCGGAAACCCATCTGATTTCGAGACTACCCGATTGGTTCGATTCCGGTTTGAATCAAAATCAGCATGCAGAAATCCCCCACAAACGCATGCACGACATATTAAAGAAATACGAGTTTTAGGTCGAGTTCATCCAGCATAATATTTTAAAGAATCCTACAGCTATGTTAATATTTAGCTGAGTATTTGGAATTGGTTGGTACATCACTAGCCTGTATCACGTTCCGCATTTTCACTTGTTTTAACAGCAATCTAATGTAAAAAATTACATTTTTTATCACGACAAAATTTACCTACACTTTTAATTTAAGAAGAGTTTTTTTGTTTCTTATAATAACCAAGCGATAGGACGAACAAGTCGTGCGCCTATTGTTATGAATATCAGTTGCAGTGCCACTTCTGAGTGGCTCTGGCTTATAATCGTAAAAATCTTAGGAGCACTGCCACTGTGCCCGTCAGCCTGAGACATAAATTGACAAAATAATTGACGAGTAAATAAATTTACCCATTAACTCCACTAAACGTGATACTATTGTTCAGTTTACTGTAGGTAGGGGAGAGCTCGATATTACCGAGCGTCTGATATTTCCGCGCATCTGTATATTTCAATAATTACACGCTACTTAGTCTACAGCGACTCAGTATCATAGCCCGATACGTAATAAATCGTCGCATGCATGCTGTCACTTCATTCCCAGCGTAACCCTTAAATTTTCACACTGATATAATATAGTTTTACGGATTTTTACTGTAAGAGGTAAGCCATATTTGAAAGGTTAAAATATTATAGAACAGATCTGCAAAATCATTTCGGAGATATATTTTTCTTTCTTACATTCTATTGAGGTTTCGAAAACGTAATGATCGTGTTTAACAATATTGCGTCTAGTACACTATATTATCAGGTTTCGGCACGGAATCATAAACTATGATAACTTTATTGACAAACATGTTAAAGGGTAGAAGAAGAAGAAAGGATAACAAGACAAAGAAAAATTTGTTAAGAGAAAAATTCTGAATAGCAATGAAAACAGTGGGAAGGATAAGTTTGTGGAAACTCGAGTACAAAAATCCCGAAATAGTAAAGATAAGGAAAAATTCGATAGGGAAAAACAAAGATAATGATAAAAATATCGAAGAAACGAAAGAAAATTAACAGTAGTCGAGTATTGTTAAAACTGATAGATTTGGAAGAATTTATATTAATTAAATTAGCATGTAGATGCTAATGATGAAAGTGTAGACTTTCACTCCAAAAGTTACCAAGTCTACTAGTTCTTTAAGAAAATAAGCTACAAAGAGGGCAGGTCCCCTGGTTATTTAACTTAGATTGTTATTGTTAATATTCTAGCTATCAATTATCTTGGTGTAAATTTTCTAGATTACCTATAAGTACCTACTTACGAAGTTTTGCCAACTTTAAAATTTGTTACAGTCTCTATGTAATTCCTTGCACGAATTCCATGAAATTTTAAATTCATATGGACACGATTTTATCATACCTAAGCACGATATTGAGAGATCAATTTGATAATACAGCGTTTTCTCATTTATTTCTTTATAATTGTAGCCTATTTATGTGTGCCTACTTACGACTATAATTTTCGTTTATATAAACCAAACCTGAGTTTAATTATAGGCTTTATTATTTAAGGACTCGCTGTTAACCAACTTTCCCCTAGTACTGTAAGGCGTCATTAAGTAAAATCTACCATCCTTATCGTTACAATCCGCAGCAACAAAGGACACGTGGATGCAGACCACAAAGGCTACAAAGGTGGGCACGGCCACGAGGAACACCACGAGAAGCACTCCGACTACGGCAACAAAGGTGGCAAAGAGGGTGGCAAGAGCTGGGGCTACAGCAAGCAATAATTACTGCACTATTTCACACTGCGCCATCCTCGCCACGCCAAATGTCAAACTTACTTTCGATGTGCACTGCGTAGCTGCAACGAGACTGAACTTAAACAATATTCGATATATTCGATAAAATGTACAATGTATACGTTAAAATTAGTTTTTTTCCAAATTCAAGTGGTGTGTTAATAGATGTAGAATACCTCCTACCGTTATTTATGATCTTATAGATCCAAATCGAATAAGTAGTAATACGACAATAAGAAATACTATTTTATTGTCTACAGCCGCTACCAACCGCAAAAACATTTGTATGGAAAACGTTTAACCGCTAGAAGCGCTGTTTATTATTTAAGTCTAACAATTTACGCCGCCAGTGGCAGCGACAATCAACACTGTAATCTCTTAAGAGTCTATACAGCCTCAAATGGCTTTAGCTGAGTCTACATAACAGTGAAAGAGTTGAATCAATCATTTTGGAAAAAATATATAGTAAAACTGAGGACATACACTGAAAAAAACCACAAACTTACCTCGAAATTTTACAAGAAAACCGCCGTATTCAATTTGTACTTTACATAAAATATACCAACGATTTTTTTATATCAACTGGACTAAGTAGAAGACGTATAATATACCATATACATTTTTCAAATGGATTAAATAACGTTTGTGTAAAAATATATTCTGTAATAAAGCCAGGGTCCCTCCGTTCGACATAAGCAAAATGAACCATGTTAAAAACGGAAAAACTTAAATTCGAGCTGAGGTAGTATCTTAATAGATTCAAATTTTGCATCATACGATTTCGACCTATAGCTACGATTTAAAATAATAATTATTTCTTTTTAACTTCCCACGCTTAGTAGGCCACTAGTGTGCTATTATAGTCTGACAATAAGCGTGTCGATTACTAAATCTGATAGAAATGAAATCAAACCCAACGTTACGAGTTAAATAAACTTGCAGAGATATAAAAAAGCAAAAAAAAACCAACGAACCATGTCGACAATGCGCTGATTTAACATCGACGCAAACTTAACACGCCTACTGTCTACAAGAAACCAAAGTAGTATTTGATGTTAAAATACTGTAATTGAAAGTCACTTTTTTTTTCTTGAAACTTTGTATTTTTTTGTTCATTTATCAGTCATAATTTTTTATAAAAATAATTAAAAAGCTATTCAAAAATGTTAATTGGTTACACATAGTCTCACATAAACTAATTTGGTCCAAGTAATATGGAGGTTCACGACTAATTTAGAATTTATTTAATTGTCCGCAGCCATTTTGTAGCCAATGTATAATCTTAATATAAGATATTGTGTAAGTTTGACACAGATTTGTGACTATTTAGCATCTCGTCTGTGTCTGTTTCTATTTAGACCTAAAAAGGCTCTCGCTGTATCGCTGAAATTACCACCGCGACATCACGGTCTATTAATTAAAGTAATGCAACAAAAGCCTTTGGTCATAGTCTTCTTATAGTGATGTTTCTGCTGTAAATATATACTTAAGAGTAAGATGCGTTTCCAATGGTACAGGACCGAGTACAAGTTCAATACGTTTAAAGCCCAATGTTAATTATACTTCAAGATTTGCAACTGTTTCCTTGTTGTAAAATCTATTTTCAAACGTTTGAAATTATAATTATGCTCATTTTAATTATTAAACTGAATAAACAATAAATTTTGTCATGTTTTATTTGTCTGTAAATATTTATGGCACACAATTTTAAAGACTTGCATAATAGTAAACAGTTTTTTTTGCATTTTCAAAATATAATTAAAGACCTTTTTATTAGAAGCCGGAAGGGGAGCTTATTTGAACTAAATACTAGACGGTTTTAATTGAAAACGCAGACCTTATAGACAAACATTTCAGTGCTTATCAGAGAAGGGCAAGCGACCGTGTTTTAATACGGCGTTTTGTTAATGCTGGGTTTAAATCGGGTTAACACCCATTAATGCCCAAAATCGAGGGCAAAAACTCTTTTATTGTAAATATTTGTTGTCAATGGAATTTCGTTTAAATTTAATGATATTTTTATAAAATGTTTATTGATTGCTAATCTAGACGATTCGATGAGGCAAAACGAATCGTTTAGATCAGAAATCAATTTCTATTGAATTGGTTCGCTTGAAAATCGCATTGAAATAAATCGATACAAAAAATCGTTACACTGTCTACCATTGAATCGATTTTCGTACAAATCGCATCGTACATCGTTAGTAGTGAGAATCCACAGGATTGCAAGGTAGATATTGTCTCTTTCATAAAAAAATATTATTTTACATCGAAACTTGTAATAAGTATGGAATTATACCAAATTCCATATGCGCCGTTTCTGCCCACGATTTTGGGCAAAAATAGATAAAAACTCGAGTTTTGAGAAAAATATCATCTAAAACCCGGGCTAAAAATAGGTTATTGGGGTTTAACCTATCATCAACCCAACATCTCTGGTTGTTATGTAATTCGTAAAAACTACGACAGGAATATCCCAAATTAAATTTTAAAAGTAGAAACCCTTGACCTCGTTGAACATTAGTCAGATTGTGTATTACCAGCTTTATGAGTTAAAAAAGTATAATTTCATCATTTAGCCATAAAAAAAATATTTAAGATTGTTTGAGGTGCATTTCCAGTAGCTATTAAGATAGTATAACTTTACCCAATTAAAATCAATCTACAGTAAATGTGATTAATATTTTTTGAAACCCGAATTTCATCAAAACAAGTAGGTATGAATATTTATAAGACACATATACACAATTTTCTTACAAATCGAATGCAACGATTGTATTAAGTTTTTAATGTACCCTACACATCGTTCGTACACTCTTGTAGCTGGTTTATACCCTAACTTAATTATCTTCCTTTTTCATATTCATCACTTTGATTACCTTTTTTAGTCATGGAACCTTCTCAAAATTTCGAAGAAACACGAACACGGGTCCAAAATGAAGAAAAAATTCTTGCGCTGTACGGATAAACCCACTCAGGTGTTTATTGTGCCGCCAGGTTTAGATTAATAAGCATTTTTTTTTATGAAATTTTTAATAATAAACAATAAGAAAGGTTCACGGGTTGTATTGACGCGTGTCTCGCCCGCAGCTGTCAAAGGGCGCGAAAATTTAAAAAGTCACGTGCACTGCTCTTTTTATTCACAACATATTGTATACCAATTTTTATATTAATGCAAAATGTTAGGTAGGCTCGTTATGAACCTCCGGCGTTCATTACACGGACCCCTTTGGGGTCCATGGACCACATGTTAAGAAACCCTACCATAGAGGTACAATGCAAAAATCCGCGTAAAATGAGGCGCTTTTGAAATAAAATAATACCATTATTTACAAGAACAAAATAAGTATACCTATAGATGGCTACAATTATTAATACAAAGATCGAACACAAAGAAACATTCTTTCGAGGTGATAGGACTCGAACCTGCGACCACGAGATTCCGTCGTCTCACTCTTTCCAACTGAGCTACAAGTCGAGATAGCTAGTCGACGAAATTCTACTATAGACCTTGTATTTTGAGATTTTTCGGCTTTCGACGCCGTAAGCGACATCTGTGAGATATTAATGACCCTTATTTAAGGTTTTATGAAGATGGCGTTTATATAAATTAAATATTAGTGGACACTAAGCAAGTAGTCTTAAGTAATAAACAGCAACTACTTAAAAGCATATCGTTGTTTACTCAAGCTTGAATTTTAATGCCATTACGGTCTTACAGTCTCCAATAAAATATGAAAAGTACGAGAAAACGACAATACTAGGTATTTAAATAGATTCGAGAGTAAAGATCAATATCGTCGCTTACTACGCCATCTAGTAAAGGACTCTGAAAAACTTTTATTTAAATAACACTTCACTTGAAAGTTAGGCTCAACTCACACTGGCGCAGAGTCGAAGCGTCGCCTCGCGTCCTGTTTTTCAACTACAACGCTTGGCGACGCTTGCATTAGTGCGTCCGGATCACAGTGTGGTCTGCGTCTGACGCCTCACTGCACTCATGTGACGCGCGAAGCTGCTCGACTGCATCCAAGGGTCGACGCCCGTTTCCATATTTTCATAACACAAATTTGTACCTTGATAGTGGGAAAATAGAGATGCATATACTCGTACCCTAGGCGAAAAACATAACGCGTCGCGACGCTTCGACTCTGCGCCAGTGTGAGTTGAGCCTTACATGACTAGTTTAACCGCTACTATTTTATTGATTAAAGTCGTTTTTCTGTGCGTATTGCGTACACACTGACACTAGTATGTGGTGCCCGCGGGAAGAAAACCGGATTGCCCTTATGGTCCACCATATCTCTGTAGTCACAGGACCAGACGCGTGTCATGCCGACCTTCTTGCAAATCTTCGCCCTGCAAGTCCACGGTATCAAAATATCAATGTTAAAACTGTTGGAGTGAACAAGACCTCCAAAAATGTAGTACTGGGTTAAGACTCGGACATATAAAAAAGTTGTTTTTTAGACCCAATAATAAGGGTCGAAAAAAAACAGTTTAAGCATACCTAGAGACCACTGAATATCAACTAATAAAATAAAATAAACGGTCGATGTTTGCGCTATTACAGAATACAAAACACCGTCTGTACAGGGACAAGGTGGCAAATTACATACAAGTTGGTGGATGAGATATTTTCATAGCACCCCAGCATATCTCATACTAATAAAAAAATACGTTTATATGGAAAGAAGAAAGAAGAGAAAAAATTTAAGTACCACCAAAAAAAGCTTTATTTATTTACTTATAACACCAAGTAACGGGACGAACAAGTCATGCACCTGATGGTAAGCTACACGTGTCCATAACAATTCCAGTGCCACTCAGAGCTTTAAATTGCAAAGGTCTAAGGGGCACTACCGCTGCCCCCGTCACCCTGAGACGTAAGTTGACAAGTTTCATGTGCCTGTAATTTGACCAGCACCCTTTCCCTTCAAAACCGGAACACAGTCATGCTGACATTAGTGCTTGGCGGCAGAAATAGGTAAGGTGGCAGTTCCCTGGACGAACTCTTTCACAAGGAGCTCTACTGCTACTAAAACTAAACAAGACAAAAAAAAATACAGATACATAATCAAAAAATTCAAACATAAGACATAACAAATCAAAAATAAAATACAATTAACTCACATAAACAAGGACACTAATTATAAAGATATTAGTATGATGTTTCATACACGTTTGTACGATACAATAATATGAATAATTTCTATGTATGTAATTATTTTTATCTACTAAATCTGGTTTTAATGTAAAATACAATAAACACATAATTGAATTATATGAAAAATTTTTATGAAATTTATAAAGACAGGTGCATAAAATACTTTACATAAATAATCGTTTTATTCCGTTAACTAATGGTAAGAAACGTTGATACTCACGCATAATGTGAAGTCGCGACGAGTGATGTCACGGGGATCCTCTGATCGTACGCATCGTTCAAGGCAAATTTTACAAGCTCCGTACCCACTCCTAGCCCCATTACCTCCCCCGCCGTCGCTAGCACCTCCAACTGCGACGGTCAATAAATTAATTTCATTCAATGTTAATAAACTATCAACAACTCTTTAAACAATCACCTCATTTAGGTGGCGAAGCAATAAAGGACCCGAGCAACCAGGCGCTCCGTTGAATCTCACTGACGAATATTAATGCAATTTGTAAGATCGTTACGGACGTCTTTGTGTATCACGTGATAATACTGATATAAATAAATATCGAGCATGCTTAACACTCTCAGCGCTATAAAACAAACGACTTCTCTGACGTAGCAGGACTTGTGGGCGGCGCACGGGGCACGCATCTTTGTTCAAAGCACGCTACGCCTGATCTTAAGTAAATTTAGTAGCAGGCCATGTGGGCGGCACGCGGGACACGCATTTTTTTTTCACAGCACAACACGCCTGATCTTAAGTAACTTTTGGAGCTGGCCATGTGGGTGGCCATCGGACGAGATCGATACTTGATTAGGATCTGGATAAGTTGTTAGCAGAAGAGTCAAACAATGGCTGTGTTCGCCGAACGCACCACTTTTACTGTCGGCCTGCTTTTGAAAACAAAGTCGGTACTGTAGTTTAGGCTCTACTCATGAGTAGAATCACTGGCTGAGTGAATATAGTTTTGTATTTAGAATGTGTTTGAAAAATGAAATAACTAAGAATAGAACATCTTGATAGTTCGTAATGTAACCCGAATCAGAAAATATGTGAAAGAATACAATAAACCAAGTTTTTAAGATTATTCCAGTTTAAATTCATAAAAGTAGCTGTCGCTACGCATCCTAAGCTACGTCCTAGTTTACAGTACTCCTCACAGACATATATCTAGATAGACGCCGCAAGTGTATGTACTTCGCGTGTCCAAAGTAAGTGAAATTCACTTACTTGCCGCTGCTACACTTCAGAACGCGCTCGACTGTTATCGTAGGTAAACACCAGTCGAAGACGCGAAAAATGCATAATTGTGCCGTTATAAACTGCAAAAGCACCATAGCTGTGGGTAAACGGATAAACAGGGACGTTTCCTTCTACGGGAAAGTGATTATGTAATCAGAAAATGCATAATTTATTTTAAAAACAATTATTTTGGTTTTGTACGAATTTCGAGAAAACAAATATGTAACCGTGTGTATGCCTCATTTTTGTAATACATTGCGGCTTTTACTTGATACGATATATTTGTGATCCTTTGTTAATATGCCATGAATATCGAACGAACGCACTTTTGTATAATGCATTCAGTTTCGTGGTACGACCGCTTATACACACGCCAGCACATCAAGTTACACATTGACATATCTTGTTCCGTTGCACTGGAAGCGATTTTCGAACAAAAATGTGTAGTCTGATGTACCGTGGTCCGTACATTTCTTTGGTCGAATGTACGAATATAGTGAGCAAATAAGTACATACATCGCCAAATATGTAGTACGAGTAATACAAAAAAATATATAATGCAAAGAATTAACAGTGCGCTGTCTTTACAAAAACCTGGAGTTATTCATATGTATTACGAATCACAATTAAACACCGACAATAGAATACACACTTAGTTTATTCGTAAGACCTACATATTATGGTATGTTAACATCAAAAGTCGCGCGGTCGGAGCGCGGCGGGCGCAACTATACACAACACGTATAAACGCTGGGTCGCGGACGCGCGAACTGAACGTAGGCGGATATCTATCGCTGGCGCACGCCGCGGTGCGCATGCATAGTGAGTGTATCATGGCTTGTGAAGTGGCTGCTCGCAAACGTATCCTTATAGTATGAGTTCGTTGCTTTCGAGGACGAAGGTGGTCTAGTTTATTCCACATAGATGCTATCCAAATATGAAGAGAAGCAGAGTTAGAAATCCGAGAAATAATAAACAAATCACAAAAATTTCACACGAGGCCGTCATTGAGTAAACCGCCTATGATTAATAAGATTTTACCATATTTTGTCAGCAGTGCCATTTTCATTTGTCTTGGCATTCATCAATTTGATCAATTACCAATAGAAAACCACCTAGTAATATTAATTAAGGCAGTCGCAAGTTCATATTGACGTGCGTATTCATTATTTAAGTTAATCGGTAAGATCTCCTGTTACAAAAAGATGTTATATAATAAGCTTATTTTATTGGAAGGACAATAATTTTAATATTTGAAACCGATTAAAAATTAAAGTCTTAATTTTTTTTAACAATCAACATTTTTTTAATACAAGTAAAATAAAGGACTTAACAATCTTATTCTAGTATTTTTCTACTATATTATTATTACGACTACTTGTAATCAATAAATACTTGAACAAAACTTATTCTATTTAGAATCGATTAATTGAATGGAATACGCGTGTTTACGCGTCTTTTAGAGCGAGCCGAAGGAGGTTTCCATCACTAAATAGCCCTTGTGACGTCATAGGGGGTATATTAATGTGGCACGCTTGGTTTTCATACAAATTGCTGTACTTGCAGCGTCTATCTAGATATATGTCTGTGATCCTCCCTGTGAACATCACTAACATTCTTCTTTCACTCTACTACTTTCCTTTTCACGACACCACTTGTGACGACCTTATTGTGTACCTATAGCTGTCTCATACAAGGCATTAATTACATTACAAGTTATTAATAAAGTCAAGGTGGTAATCGCAGTTACGTTTACAGCATTAGTCATAACATTATCACTAAGATCATCAGGAAAAGTAAAGACACTTACTTCATAAACATATGAACAGTTGTACGTGGCAAACAAATTAGAGCTCCGAAGGACGTGGGCCCTGAAGAACATGTGAGTCTGCTCCGGGGGGCTATCGGTGAGCAACGTCCACTGCTCCAACTCTTCCGCACTCCAGGGAAATACCTTGTTGCCTACCAGTACCCCCACCATTTTGAGCTCGTTCGTGCGCCGTAGTTTTTCAAAAGCTATGTATCGAAAGCCTGAACAGCAAACATTTCTATTACAACTTCTAAAACAATTATTATCGATTACTCAGTGCAATTCAGAGGCTAATTTTAAATTTGAGTACATAATTGAAAAATTCTCGATCTTATACTTTTATTTTTTTATTTTTTTTAATGTTGATATCAATACTGAATAGACTAAAAAAAGTAGTGCCTGACTGAGTAACTAAAATGGTAGTATTGTAATCCCAAATGAAATAAAATAAATAATAAGTAAATAACGCACACTCTCGTAGCCCCTCACTAGGGAAACCCTCTATCGCGGGTGCGATGGACACACACATAGATAGACCACCACAAGTTACACTCAAACTCACAAAATGAAGTGGTAACACTCACCAAAGGAAGCGTACTTATCATTGAGGACATCGACGTACTTGCTACAGGCCGACATCCACAGCGCGGTGATACTCGGTTCCCGCGGCCAATAGTGCGTGAACAGAAACGACCGAATCATCTTTTCATGGACATTTGATGCGCGCATGACAAGCAAATTATTCATGTTGAAACACTGTCACGAACAAAAAAAATTAAAATGTACGATGATCGAGAGAAATACGGTTTAAAAGAAGTTAAGTTGGTTTACTGAGACATTGTATGAGAGTATGTGCGCTACGTACGAAAATGGGTATTAATTTTAGGTTTCATACATCAGGCAATTTCGATTAATTAAAAGCAGCTTCTATGGCTTGTGGATTAAATAAAAAAAATTAAGAGTAAATCACCGCTGCACATAAAACATCAGAAAAGGTAGACAGAAAAACTAGCACCTTCCCTTATCCCTTTGACCTGACTCTGACATTTCGGAATATATCCATACCGACCGTCTCCAGCTACCTACATAGAATGGATCTGTCATCCGATTTGAACTTCGGCAGTTACTTAGAATACATAGCCAAAAATTCAGCCAAGAAAATTGACATCCTTTCCGGGGTGAGGCGTTATTTCACTCCTGGACAGCCCCCGTTCCTTTCTACGTAAGTATGATTATAGTGATCCTCCCTACCACAGACATATATCTAGATAGACGCGCAAGTGTACGTACTTCGCGTGCCCAAAGTAAGTGAAATTCAAATTTACATTGCGGCTTTTACTTGGTGCGATATATTTGTGATTCTCTGTTAATACGCCATGAATATCGGACGAACGCACTTTTGTATAATGCATTCAGTTTCGTGGTACGGCCGCTTGCACATTTCTTTAGCAAAATTTAACATTTAGTGATGTATACGTTAGGCAACACTTTTCTCGATTCTGATCGATTTTGAAAACAAAAGAGACGGAAATTATTATGACCTTAGCAATATTACAAAAATACTCTATAACTCTTTTGTTATAACGGTTAGTAAAGTTTCGTTTTTTTTTCAGTTTTGTTGCATCTATTATCAGTAGTATCTGTAATTTCGATAATTTTTGCAGCACGTTGCCTCGAATGAGCAAATAATTACATACATCGCCGGATATGTAGTACGAGTAATACAAAAAAATATATAATGCAAAGAATTAATAGTGCGCTGTCTTTACAAAAACCTGGAGTTGGTCATACGTATGAGTTCGTTGCTTTCGAGGACGAAGGTGATCTAGTTTATCCCACCTAAGATGCTATCAAAATATGCAGAGTAGCAGAGTTAGAAATCCGAGAAATAAACAAAAAAAAACAAATCACAAAAATTTCACACGAGGTCGTCATTAGGTAAACCTCTTCTGATTAACAAGATTTTACCATATTTTGTCAGCAGTAACATTTTCATTTGTCTTGCCATTCATCAATTTAATCAATTACCAACAGAAAACCATCTAGTAAAATTAATTAAGGGAGTCGCAAGTACATATATTGACGTGCGTTTTCATTATTTAAGTTAATCGATAAGATCTTCTATTACTCATTTTATTGGAAGGACAATAATTTGAATATTTGAAGTCGTTTAAAAATTATAGTCTTTATTTTTTTTAAGTAATCAACATTTTTAAAAAGAAGTAAAATAAAGGACTTAACTATCTTATTCCAGTATTTTTCTAATATATTAATATTACGACTACCTGTAATCAACAAATACTTGAACAAAAATTATTATATTTAGAATCGATTAATGGAATGAAATACGCGTGTTTACGCGTATTCCGTTCAATCAATCGATTTAGAGCGCGCGGAAGGAGGTTTCCATCACTAAATAGTTCTTGTGACGCCATAATGGGTGCAAAAAATGTGACACGCTTGGTTTTCATACAACTTGCTGTACTTACGGCGTCTATCTAGATATACGTCTGTGCTCCCTACCGACCCTTAGGGTATATGAAAAGGGCACTATAACCTTTCATCATCGGGGACCCAAACGTAGGCTGGGGTTCCACTCCTATGTCAAGGATATTCCAAGGATTCTCACGAAGCGTACCCTGAACTGTATTGTATAACTTGGGCCTTTTCAGGGCAAGAGTAAATAGGCATTATTTAGGTGTGAAAATGCGCCATCGTCACTTTCCATCAGTTGAGATGGAAGTCAAACATGCACTTAGTTTTTAAATCAAAGAAATAGCGTGTTAGACAATTAAAGTAAATAAATACACATTGATGAGTAATAATGAAAACTATTGCTAGGATTCTAGCAATACACATCTTCGATGGTTGAGCGTAAACGACGTGGGGCCAGACTGTGTATACTGTATTGCATATACTCGTAAGTTCCTTTTTTTGTCACGGTTCTCCACCAAGTAGAGAACGTACCTATACCAAATATCCACAACACCACTGGCGTAATACAGGTTAAATTATCTTATAATTGTTCACAGCTCAAGTAAATTAACATTAGTAATCTAAGCTATACTTAACAAACTCACTAGCACATTTGCACAGGTCTTCATGCAGAGAATAATGAATTCGCGTCTCCATCACCCCGAAGTCAAGCGATCACTCAACTCATCTAGCATTGCTATATTACGTATGGATGTATAAAATAATAAAAAATAGTCACTGGACGTTTTTCCGGGCCCGCAAGATATGTCAGGCAAGGTGAAGGTACTCGACAAAAGCGCCGTGGTACACACAACGGCGCGGACGCGCGTACCAGGGGCGCGGACGCGCGTACCAGGGGACGCTCGCCCAGTATCGCCAAGGACATCCATGCCCTCCGTGCCACCAGTAAACTCATCACTACCTCTTGTCTCATGCACCATCCACAACCACTTTACACAATATCGCTGCATACGTATAATAGATATTTGGTATTCACTTTTTTTAAATATTTTATTTATTTTATATCATTATTATTAAAGATTTTTTATGATTTTACATTATTATTCATAGAAAATTAGACGAATATGACAGATTTTTTTTTCTTTGTGTACCTACTCAGTTCTTCTTGAGATACATAATTATTTATTATGGTTAATAATAATTGATGTTTTCTTACGATTACGATACGATTTATTCATTGCAGTAGGTATATAAATTATAAAACTAAGAAAATTAAAAACCAAATATTTTCTTATCATTAGTATAAAATCTATTTAAATAAAAAATTGCTGGCATTTAAACATTCGGTGCGGAATATATAGAGAAAAGAGGGCAAACTGTCACCATAGGCGTCATTAGGCGACCATATTTATATATAATAGGATTAAAACTGGAAAATGCCAGTAAAAAACACAAAAATGTTAAATCGGAGAAGTAAATAGTGCAGTAATATTTAACAAAAAAAAACCCTCTGTACCTATTGCGTCCGTCATCACAGCATGATCAAATTTTTCAAGTTATTCTCACCGAGTCTCTTGGTACGGAGGTCAGCTAATGTGCTCAACTGTTTCAAGGGACGTTTCCGTAGTTTCGCTGACACTACTGTTACCACCAGTACTGATGTCGACAGCAAGCAAATAGTAAGTTCTGCATGTTTGAATCTTTTAAGTAAGAGCATGTCTATTACAAATAATAATATGATCTACGAATCGAAAACATTGTACGAAAATTTCATTTCTTTAGTATAGATATATTATATATATTAATAATGTATTAATTCAAATTTTAAAAATCCCTGATACAATAACAGTGTCTCCAAAAAGTCATACAGTTACCATTCATAAGCTAACAACTCGTCGAGACCAATTTAATGAGCCCCAACATGGTCGTTCTACTGTAGGTCAGTAGTCGAGGAGTTGGATAGTCCGCATATCGTCGTGGTTACAACATCAGATCAAGAACAAAAAATGGAAAAAAGAACTGTTGATCTTTAGCTTAGCAGATGTTCATGAAACATAGCTAGAACCTTTTCGATTAAATTTACTTTAAAATAAATTAAAAATGCTTTGAGATCTGTCCATTTCTTTGGTAGGTACGACGCCACAGACAGACCGCCACACAGATACGCAACCAAAATGTGAAAGTTATTGTTATATATATATCGTTGCTGGAAAGCGATAATGCTGTAACCTCAAAAACTCAACTTTTCACTGGAGCCAAAACAAAAATTGCAAAAACGAAAAAAATCATAACGCTGAAACGGTTCGAGTTTTTTATGCCAAATTTAGCAAATAAGTCTATAAAAAATATGACTTCTTAACAATAACCTCAGATTTGCAGATTTTAACCCCAAAGAATGCAGTAACATTAAAGTTAATTTCTATGAAGGTGCGACTAATGCAGTCAATTTACGGTATTCTAGGAGTGATGTAAATGAATTAGAGCTCCTTAACACATTTTTGGTCTTTAAATGTTAACTTCTCGAAGATGTACGAAATTCAATACTGCTAAGCTACTGTAAGTGTATTTTTTAAACCAAAGCAGGTAACATTAAAATGGTGTTAGTGAAAATCACATGCAATTTACATGGCTTTTAAAATGTTTATTATTAAAAAGAACCACTATTTGTGAAACAAATCGAATATTGGAGATTTAACACAATAAAACAAAATAATTGACACTTTGTGTGTCACATTACATCGTTCTTAGAACTGATGAATTATAAATTCTTTAAATTCCATAAAATAATAATAATCAACAACTAATCTTACTCTTGATTATTAGTTTTCATTTTCTGTTCTTATATTTTCTATTTTAGTTTATTGCCTGGTACCTACGAGGAAAAAGATTAACTACATATTAAAGATTTAAAATTATTACGTGTTAGTATAAATTCAATAATAATTAAACCAACCCTAGTCCTCGTAGGCACTAGGTAATGATCGAAAATAGTAAAAATATACAAACACAAACACAAAACAGAAACATTTTATCATGATTATAATTAAAATTAAAACCAAACTATATTTATCCATTAAGCACACTTCAAAATTAAAAATAAAATAAAATTCAACCTTCTAAATTCCATGAACTGCAACTCGGTTGTACAACACTGATATTTTCGGGTGGTAACTGGTCAATTGAAGGTTAGGTCCAGGAACTGCAACCAGCTTCTGCATTATTGGTCTTTTTGAAAGTACACATTGTCTATGATCATTTCAGTACATACTTTGAATAAATTTTTCTCAGAATTTCTAAACGTGGGCGTCAGATCATAAACTTTTGTAGAGACTAGTTTTGAGTTTGGCGTATTTGGCGCATATCTTTTGGTGACATGTCGCGGAGCTTCTTGATGCACTTATAAGGAATTGAATCTGGTTAAATTATTCTCGGCGGATTGTTGCACATTGGATTAGGTTACAATTTATTAGAACAGTCCGATGACCGTAGTAATTTGTTATATAAAATTTCAATCTTAGATTGTTTTTTAGATTGTTTGACTAGTAGCATAGCGTTAGTCGACAGAAAATTGTTTCTTTGTTCTCTTTTAGCTCACCTAGACATTTTCTTCTTTTTTGTGACATTATTTGTGTTTTTATATACATTAGCATGTGTAGAATATATTTTATACGTGTATCTATTTTATTATTAATTAAACTTTGTGGTACGCATGACTTAACATACCTACAGTCACTTAGACTATTGTTAGTAACTTTTATGACGTAATCTGTTCTATTGGCTGTGACAGGGTTCATGTTATCTAGAAATAAGATTTTGTGATCCATGACTTTTGTGTTGATGATGATGGTTATTGTTGTGAAGTGAGAAAAAACTTCATAAAAAAACGGAAACGCACTACAGGTATCTATAAACATTTATCTGCCTACCCCGATGGGAGAACGGCGAGAGATATAATGTATGTATCCAGAAAATGGCTTGTTTGCAATATTGTATCTAAATCCGTACTCTAAATCTAAATTTCGACACACGCGACTCCGACAATATGTTACATCGACATTATTTTACTCAGACACTAAATCTAAAATAAATTTAAAAAAATCTTTGTACTCATAAGAAAAATCATCATTATAAACACACGTAGGAAATGATTATGACAAAAAAAGGACAACATTATGTAATCGGAAATTTATTTTATTAAAATACAGAGTTTTTTTAAAACGGGACAGTATGAGGAAATCCGAAACCATAGAAAATACAACGAAACTATCTTAGGAACCCTAAAGTCATCTTTTTTTTGGGAAAACAATTTTGGCATAGTAAATTTTTTGGTCAAGCGTGAATTGTCCATAAAAACAAATAAAATTGATCAAAATCTTTTTTAGTGCTGATCGACTCCGAGTTATGAAGGAATCATTTCATTGTATGGGACGAAGAAAATCGGGACAGCAGGAGTTCGTCAAATTTAATAAAATGTTATTCATTGTGAATGAAATTTTTTTTATTAACAAATTTGACCAACTTTGTTGTCCCGATATTTTTCTTCTGGTACAATGAAGTCATTATTTTAAGGAACTGAGTCTATTAGCATTAAAGAAAACTTTGTCACTACAACCAAAATTGTCAATTTTATTTATTTTGTATGATGTATTTATTATGAGAAATATATATAGAAGGGAATCTAAATTATACATTCTTCATAGTAAAGCTATACATTTTAATATTAGCATCTAATGTGTAATTGCGATGCCCAAATTAAGTAAATGTATATCTGTATTTTGGGCATCTTTTTGGGCAAATTTCGTTATATTACAACTTAAAAATAGACTTTCTATATTTAACAATAAAATAATTAGTGGTTATAAATTAATGGTTACCTATATACAACATATTGTAAGTATGAAACAACTTCCAGCAAGTCCTCTGTTTCATTGTAAGTGTTACTCTTGAGCCACAATTTGACGGACCTTTTACATTCTATTTTATTCATTCAAGGAAGCAAAGAATCTATGCGAGTGTGCTGTGCGGAGTTGTGCGCGAGATGAAAAGGTATCGAAAGGTCTGTGGTTGGCTAAAGTAACGGAATCAAATGGAGTAATTGAGAGCTTTTTCAAAATTATTTGTTGGATAAACAGTTGCCGAACCGAGAGGACATCGCTCTCATTTAGAAGTTTGCAGGTTGGATAAACGAAAGGACGGAAGTTGATGACTTTAAGAACAGCTCTCTGCGCTCTTTCCAGATTTATAAGGGTGATCTTAGGTGCACCTCCCCAGGACGTAATTTAGTAAAGTAGCAATGATTGGCAGAGGGCTAAATACACTGATTTGGGAAGGGCGCTGCTAGCTGCGTATCTTAATTTTTTTTAAACATATATCAATTTTCGAACTCTAGAAGTAAGCGCTACAATGTGGTTTTTGAAATTAAGATGATTGTCAATTATGACACCTAAATATTTAATGTCGTTTGTTCTGTCCAGTGTTGGACAAGCACAGAGGTTTAGATTAGTTCGAGGGCTTGTACAATGGTGAGCTACTATTGAAAAAGCATTCTCAGGAGGTTGTGACGAGATATTGTATGAGAAAGTCATATATTTAGTTTTGCTAGTATTCAGTGTAACGGCATTCGCTCTGAACCACTCGGTTACTGAGATAAAACTAAATTGAGCCTGTGAAAATGTTTCATTCCAAGATTACCATCAGCGTAAGATATGTAGTTAATATAGACAAGGAATAGGAATAATTCTAATATGCTTCCTTGAGGAACACCATATTCAATCGGTAATTCGTCACTCGTTATTTTGTCGATCGTCACGCGCTGTTTTCTGTCAGAAAGATAGTCCTGTAAAAGTTTCGAGCTGCATTCCTCTAATTCCAAGTACTTCTAACTTGTTTAAAAGTATTGGTATGTTTACAGTAGGTTTATATACTTAATTATAGAATATAATTATAATTAAAGAAGTTAGGTCTTCAAATTCTAACTTTTCAAACGTAACTAACATGATTACTGGTGTCATGATTGTAGGCCCAAGGCCCCGAGAATGAGCAGAAATTGCGCGTGCGCCGTGCGCGTCCATCGGACGTGCCGCGCGTTCTACGCTTTGTGCGTGAAAACGCTCGCGTGGCGTGGCCCAGTATTATCACTCCGGCACCGCCCACCGCCTCCAATCTCGTCCTGTGCGACTACGTAGCCAGAGCGCTTGCGCAAGGTTTGCCCTTGGGTATACATATTTTCGATACGGCATACTCGTATAAAAAAATTAACATTTGTCTCAGCTTTTTAGACAAACGACGACGTTTGAATTCGACAACAACGATTATTTTACGAGTATGTTTTGAGATACAAATACGAGTCGATTCCAGTATGAACTCATATGAACAATACCGAATTGTTCATACGAGTGTATAACTTAATAAACGAACAGAAACCGAAATTAACTCATAAATTAGGTAGATACAGTGGAAACATAAAGCGGTAATGTGTCAGGTCATACGATGGTGGCTGAACAGCACAGTTCGCGACGTGGCTGGCTGCAGATCCGCGGGCTAGCGTTGAGCACAGCGGTGTGCGCATGGGACGCAGCGCTAGTCGAACGATGGGCGCGTTGCCTGCGCTGCCCACGCTCACGACGCGTGCTCAACTTCACGGCGCATTGTCTGCGTGCACCGGCGCTACACGACAAGTATCGTGTGCACAACATACTGCAGGTATTCACCTTGTTTCTTATAAGTTCATATTTTGTAATACCGCGAAGGAACTATCCAGTAGCCGGAGCAGTGCCGACAGGCCCCAATCTAAGTTAATCGATAATATTTAACCTGGCAAAGGCTATCCAGAAGCACCTATCCAGAAACACCTAGTTTATGGCATTCTATGTCGCACTAAATGTCTGCTGTCATAGCATAACAAATCACCCAAACATACATATAAGATAACACAAGATTTACAAAGAACCATCTGTTTAAGGTGAATCTGATCGTGCCTTCGAACGTGGTAAACAATAAAGAGATCGTGCACGTACTAGCAAAAAGCGCCATCCAGCGCGGCCGTGACATTGGATTTCCACTGTTGCGCTTCGACGTCACCGACGAGGACATGTCAGTTACTCAATTCTTATTTTTAATGTTATTACTTTGATACAGAGACGCGGACGCTCACTATCATAAGGAGGCTCAAGGTCACTCAAGGGGCAATGGAGAGGACTACATTCAGAGTTTCACTGCAAGATCGAATCAGAAATAAGGATATCCGCAAAACAAACAGAGTAACCGGCATAGTCCAAATAATTGCAAAACTTAAGTGACAGTGGGCGGAGACCATTGTTCGGAAAAAAAATTAAGCCAAAAAGTTCTCGAGTAGCGATTGCGTACCGGAGGACGCAGAGTGGGCAAACCACCTACAACGAAGACCAATGACCTGATGAAAGTTGCGGGAATACGCTGGATGCAAGCGTCGAGACTAGTCATTGTGGCGAATTTTGGGGAAGGCCTATATCCAGCACTGGACGTATTCCGGCTGCGATGAATAAATATTTGCAAGATTTTGACTTAGGTAGAAAACGTAAAATTTAATTTATTTTATTGGATACTCACTATTGCTTTATTTCGCAGAGCAAATTCATTGGAAGAACTACAAATGAAAAAAGAATGGCAATTGGCATACGACATTCTGCCGGAAGCTATGCATGAAAAAGACGTGACACCGTCGACTGATACGAACTCAGTTCAGGACAAAGATAAGAAGACGAAATTCTTCGCCGTGTACACAACCTTCACGCAGACTGACAAAACACCTACGTTAGAGACCACCCCGCCCCCACCATCACTTGCAGTCTACAGCGAACCACCGCCAAACTGGCCCTCATCGCCAACCGCTTAACAATTTCACATGGCCGTTACTATGCTATTATTTCTTCTCGCCCATAAAATTTATTTAATGCATAGTAACAGCAAATATCGCGTTTTTTAATACATTTTACTTAAACATTCTGATTCGTTTTATTTCTTTGACTCTTGGTAATGTCGCAAAATCTCGTAAATCTAAACAAATCGAACAAGACAGTGTGTTATTATTATAACTTACCCGGATTATTTCACCTAGGTGAATTAAGTACACTTTTAGTCAACTGAAATCACCTGAGGGCATTAAACATGAATTTAATCAACTAATTTAATTGAAATAATAATTTAATTGAAATTATTTGGAATGAATTAATTGGAATGCACCCTAATGCACGCCACCGCGGCTCGTGATGTCAAACGCGCCGATTTGTACGGGCGAGCTCGCGAAACGGACCAGTCCGAGCCGCCTTGGGCCGACACGCGCCTTGTATAGGGTACCTATGTATCGAGAGCCAGGTCGCGCCTTTCAAGTTACCGACCAGTGGCGGCGCGCTCGGGCGCCCGCCCGGACAGACAGAAAAGCAGGATATTCTCGATTCGACTGTATTGTTTTTTTTTTGTACATATGTTACGCGATAACTCTGATATTTGTGAACCGATTTTGATAATTATTTTTTTGTAGAAGAGGGTACCTCGGTAGTGGTCCCATTTAAATTTGAAGAAAATATTCCACTGCTAAGGGTGGCAAACAAGGGGATGAATGCGTTATGAGGTCGGTTTTCTTAATAGGTACTTGTACTGATTATAATACTAAATAACGTAAACTACCTATACAACGCAGTGCTTACTCCTGTTTGAATAATTGCTAGTTAATAAAACTACTAATCATAAAATTGCCATGGAAATTATTTGTATGCGATCCCCTCTGCCTAGGTGTTGCGTTTTGTGTAATTTCATGGAGAATTGGAGGTCATATTTTTTCGTTGTTGTCTGTATAAAAAAGATTGTCCTCGGAACGCTAGATTTCTTGTGGAGTAATTTTGTGGTGATTAACATTTCAAAAGTAATTGCAACACCTCACGATTAGACACACTAGAAATTACTGAGTTTACTCGGATTCATCAATGTTTAATTTGGAATTAGTAATTCATTCGGATGAACGGTGGTCGCTTGTGGTGATTATTTATTTAGACATAACAAAAATTTGCGGCCGAACGAAACTAACCACTGTGCCTTTGGCATATTATGTATAATACAAACTAAACTAACCGAAAATGGCCAAACCACAATGATGTAAATAAAAAGATATGAATCGAATTTGAAGAAAAAAAACAACGTCCTAAAAACCTACTTAGCTAAGTTCGCTACAAACATGGGCCGTGTTATGTAAGTATAAATATATTTTTCGTGTAACAATTTTAAACGCTGTACCTAACAGAAGTACATTTAGTAGTACCTCCTTCTTTATTTAGAGCACAGGAAGGAAAACAAACGCTTCAAGGCAGTGAGCCGGAAACGAAGTCGGAAACAGCGTGCCGCAATCCCAGCAAAAACCTTTACCACCAATGGAACTCTGAACTTTAAGATAAAATAAGCAACGGCCGCGACCGTCGAAAATATAAATTATTTGTCTGGGGTCAGTCACCTGCTGCACATTGTGAAAGACTGTACCGACTGCAACCTCCAGTTATATAAAATACGCGATTTGGATTATTTTGTAGACTTGGATTTCGACGCTTCACAGTTTAACCGCTAGTGTTTATTAAACCATTAAATACACGGGCCATAAGTTCGCTTATAACGCTAGATTTTATTTAACTTGTGTATCAAAATATTACAATTAAATTGTGGATTACCTGAAAACAGTTCAAAATGGGACTAAAAATTGTGCCAGTAATGCTGGGTCTGCTGCAGATCGCAGTAACGATGCCAGTCACTTCATTACAGGACCTCGAAGTCGCCGATGACACTATGTCAGTGGGCTCCTATATAAGAGAAGTGAGAGCAGCGCCGGTAAGTATCTTCAAAACAATTCTGTCAAATCTGCCAAGCAAAACAAAAATGAAGCTTGGCATATAGTCCATAAGCCCATAAAGACCTCATTACTCCCAAGTAGGTATCGGTGATGAGGTCCCAGAGTTTTTAAATATAGTACATTGTTTCCGAATTTAAGTAAAGTAAAAAAACAATCGGATTTTAAATTAATTTTATTTCATTGAGATGGGTCAAATCACAATAGGAACTGTGGGCTTCCTCAGGGTGGCGTTCTTTCTCCTCTTTTATTCTCTATTTTTATTAACTCTGTCACTTCTGTTTTATCCTCTAATTTTCATCTCTATGCTGACGATTTACAGCTCTACCGTAGCTTTAAGGCATCTGATATTGTTTCAGCCGTTGAAGCGCTTAACACTGACTTACGAAGTATCGCCCATTGGGCTGAGTCCTTTGGCTTAGCGGTGAATCCCAAAAAGTCGCAGGCTATGATTGTGGGAAGTGGGCATATGCGTGGCACATTGGATCTAAATTCTGTTCCACTTATAAAGTATAACTCCACGCCTATAGCTTATGCTTCCACTGCAACTAATCTTGGTTTATTTTTAGATTGCAATTTGACTTGGTCACCTCATATTAATGAAGTCAGTCGAAAAGACCATTTCTCCTTACACTCGCGTAAGCGTCTCCAAAATACTTTACATTTTAAATCTAAGATCTATTTATCCCAATATCTTATTTCACCCTTTTTAGACTATGCTGATTCCTGCTATTTCGATGCTACAGAAGAGTTGCTAAATAAGCTTGAGCGGTTGCAAAATCTACGTATCAGGTTTATCTTTGGCTTTTGTAAATTTGACCGAATCTCACACTATCGCAATCAACTTTAGTGGCTTCCCGCTCGTTTTCGCAGGAATTTGCATATTGTCTCTGTTCTCTACTATATTCTTCATAACCCTTCGTCTCCCGAGTATCTGAAAGAGCGCTTCAACTTTCTCAGGTCTCAGGACAAACCCTGTGGCTCTCTCGCTAGGTCCCAGTTATCTTTCCTTTCCTTCAATTCCGGTTTTATTCTCACTCGTTCACTGTTCATGCGGTCAGACTTTGGAACGCACTACCTATTTCTGTTCACGAATGTACACCATTTGCTACTTTTAAATTGAGAGTTAAGGAGCATTATTTATCTACTGTTCCGTCCAGTTTATAGTTATTATATTTTAAAATATGTATTTACCTAAGTATTTATCTAGTTTATAATAGTTTAATGTTAAGTATTGTTTTACATAATTTTGGATTTGTGCACGTAAGCTTATAAACTGGACGGAACGGTTATTATAATTATTTTGTACTGTATTTAGGTCTGCAGGAATAAATTTCTTATAAAAATAAGCTTTTATTTAATGTACTCTGTACTTTTTCCTGTGCAATAAATATTATTAAAAAAAACTATACTTAAAAAATGGAGCAACGTCAACTAGGTAGACTGTGAAAGTCTTAATGTAAATTATAATAATTCATGCGGTAATTTATTTAGCCCACTGTTGGACAAGACTAAAAAATTTGACGGAATGGCACACGTAGTGCTTAAAGTTTAAAATTGAGCTAGAAGCCCTTTGTTTTAAACCTTTAGAAATATATGAAGGGATCCTATTAGCAACACATACACGCGTATCATTTACAATTAATTAATTTTTGCAGCCAGATTATGACAAATCTTACGAAAGCGAAGGTGACGGCGAGGTGGGTTATTCCCGGAAGAAATCGGGAAGCGGGAAGCGCGGCTACCAACACTTCGATTCATACCACAAGAAGGCCGGTGACAACTATGAGTTCGAGAAGCAGGATTCGTTCGGACACGACGAGGATGCGGAGGAGGGTGCTCACTCTCACCAGCACGAGCAGAGAGGTGAACTTAGGGCTAGGCCACCCAAGTTTATAAGAAGACCGTTGAAATTCGTTAGAAGGCTTATCAAATGGCTCTTCTGAAGACTTAGGTTCCATAGTTTAATTAAATCTTGTTTTAAATAAATGTGATGCCAAAATAATTACGCAACGCATTTTTATTTTGATCTATAATTCTCGGTAGTGTAATAAAATACGATGGTCATGAAAAATACTAATAACTGCCTCGACTTGTTTTCTTTCAGAGAAGTATCGTAAACCTAAGAAGAACCGCCTAACTCCGAGGTACACGTCAACTTATGAACCTTATGAAGTGGCTGCCACAGAGCATGATGAAAAGGAACGTCCCAGGCCTGAGAGATTACAGGACCATCCACACTACGAAGAAATAAAGTAAGTGTAAAAGTTGTGGTTTATTTAAAGTTGACTATTTAAAACACCCACCATATCTAGTCACTCTTCTTTAAAAGTATTTTTTACCAACAGAGAAGGGGCGCCTGACGGCAACGGAGGAATAGAGGCTTTTGGCCACGATCCTAATGATTACATCCTGCCACAGAAATACACAGTTCTCAGTGATGATGACTACAAGAACTAGAGTCATATAGAAAAACATTTATTTGTTTGACTGACTGATAGCTGTAAGTTTGAAAGTGACCTTTAAAATGAATTCTCAATTGTTTGCTCAGTATATTTTTATACTTTCTGTACGAAAAAAATAAACGTTTTCATACGGATAATGTTGTTTAATATTATGCTCTAGCAATTACACTTAGGTACTATCTAAAACAAAATAATGCTCGCTTGGTTTTAAGTTCACTTTTAAAGATTCTGGTTCAGTACATTGTTTTTTAAATATCTCTCGAAAAAGTAAAAAGTATTTCCCCCTGCTGGGCAAAGACCACTCCTCTCGACTTCCACAGCTCCCGGTTCGATGCAATGTTAGGCCTATCTCTTTTATACGCGTCTAAGTCATCCCATCTCTTTCTTGGTATGCCTCGTCGTCGATGGCTGTTCTCCGGCTTCCACCAAGTAACTGTGTAAGCTCATCTCTGTGGGTGCATGCGACAGACGTAATCAGCACAGCTCCATTTCAGCTTGGCTGCCCTTTTCCCGTGGTTTCCAGCGTTCCGGTCGCACCTAATGTGCTCATAGATATAGGAAAAATGTGCTACGTCCCCTGGCTCTTTGGCAAACCTTGATCTTGGACTATTCGATTTTCGATTAGTAACCATGTTTGCGCATCGAACATAGGTTAACATAAACTGGTAAAGATGGCCAGGATACACACGTCGATGAATTTTCACTTAACTGTAATTGGAAAGTTTCCCTTCGTAAGCTCTTGCATGAACCAGTAGCACCAGGCGTTTTCAAGACGTCTTTCGACCTCCTTATCAGTTACTAAAAAAAAGTACTTGGCCCAGGTAAATATACTTGTCAACGTCATCAGGTATTAATTGCTCATCTAAGGTGACCCTATGTTTCGTGCTGTTGGTGAGTCGGATTTTTTACTTATTATTAGTCCAATGGAATTCTTTCAGCATTAGTTCGAGGTTCTGGACCGTTTGGGAAAAAATACTAGGTATATATTAGGTATTGGCGAACTGAAGATTGGTTAGTCTCCTGTCACCAACAACCATGCCTGTTCTCCCTGGCCAAGCTTCTAAAGATTTCTTCGAGGGTAGCGCTCTCGAGTATAGCTTCGGAGATAACGGGACTGAGCCGAAGATTGTAGAATATATCGGCGGTGTATTGAAATAAATTATGTATATGAGATTGACGCGAGTTCTATATACTGGTTATATAGGGATCGCAGTGTGTTAGGCTGATGAAAGCTTTCGAGTAAAATCGCAAAATATAGAGGTAATCACAACTGTCGTTCACTTTCTCAATTATTTGGTATAAAAGTATACAGGAGGTCGATAGTAGAAAACCCCAGACGGAAGCCGGCCTGCTCCAGTGGGTGATTTCAATTCGAAGAAACTAACTTGACTAAATATTATAATAGGTTAACTTAAGCAGAAACACCGAGGTAAAGTAACGAGTTTAGAAAAAGATTGTGACAATAATTGTGTATGATGACGTAATACGAATCCTAAAGCTGTAATCATTTGATAGCACTACGAATTGAATTTTCATAGGAGGGAATTAAAATTTTCACATAAAAGATCATAAAAATTGGAGTAAATGAAGCCCATTTATTTACAAATCACCACATGTTCCATAAAACATACTTCTTATGAATCACGTACACAAAATGATAAAATGCTCAATCATTCACTGTCACTGCCTGAATAGTTAGCCAATAGAGAAAGTCCCGATGCCACAGGTGTATCCTCCTTGCTTGAAACCACCGTTGAAACATTTGGGCTGCTGTTTGAACTTTCTTGATTCTTATTTGTAACCACTGTAGCATTTGTTGTATTAGTGCTTAAATTTGTTGTAACCAGATTATCGTCAGTCACCAACGATTTAACATTTTTAGAACTGGTCGCAGTGTCCACTTTTTTACTCCTCACAAGATTAGCCAGTGGTCTTTTAGATAAAACTCCTATGCTTTTGTTCCAAGACTCCTTTTTCTTTGCCTCAGTTTTGGAAGTAATCACTTCTAGTTTAGAAGTCTTAGCTGGAGGCTCATCTTCTACATCTTCAATAATCTCCTCTGCTACCACTTTCTGTGACGAACCAAAGTTAATTGATCTGAAAAAATATTAAGAATAATTTACCGTAATTGCCGCACTCGACAGACACGTTAGGTAATCGCAAATCATCTAAAAACCGAATATTCCGGCCATCATTTAAGATAGTTAATCTAAAAAAGTAACAAAGCGATAAATTTTGTTGGGAATGTTTTTTCCAAGTATCACCAGAATGGCAATTAATTATGTTTTCCTAAAAGAGAAGACAAACTTTTAATTTCAAAATATCCCAAAAATGTCTAAATTGGACACTCATCATTCAAACCACATAGCTTCATGTTATTATGTAGCTGACTCAGTGACAACATAATTCTAAACAAAACATGAATAAAGAATGATCACCCTGACTAAAACTGGAAAAAATATTTCCCAGTGCCAAAGGGAACAAATAGAACGAATATAATCATCAGATGGAACAACCGAGAATAATTGCTCCATAGTCGCTTTTTCCATTACCTGCGTAATCAAGGAAAAAATTATGCTTTGTAACATCTACTGTGACGGTAGTGTGTGTGAATTGCTACTGTGTATCGCACGTCATATATAAAGAGAAAACTGTCTGTTATCACTTCACCTTAAATATTATAGTAATTGCATGAATGATTACTTGATAAACTCATTGTCCTCTTTTTCCTCCCGCGCGCGTCGCTCCTCAGACGATTCGGGCTGATACTGCTTGAGCATGCTTTCATAGTCAACTGTCCGCTGCCGCCGATTAAGCTCTTTCAGCTCCTCTAAGCTTTCAAGCAATTCTATTTCTTGTTTAGACTGCTCCGTTCTGTACTCTAAAATGAATAAATAGTGAAATAAAATTAAAAAAATTCTGAGTTTTCGATCTTTGTATTAATAATTATAACAAACTAGTGGAGTAATTTCACAAAAAATAATTGAATATCAATTCAATAAAAATTTAATTAATAGTGAAATAAGTTGGAATTTTCTACTTGTAAATTAATACAAATCCTACAGCAGCAGCCAAAGAAAAGGCGGAGAGGTAAATTTGATTAGGACTGAGAATCCTTATCATTCTTTCCTTAATCCTTATCATATTGTAGGAAAGGATGGAGGAGAAAAGGGGAGGCATTTTTAGCCAGCAAAACAATAGTAAATGTTTTTTATTCTTCTGCAGAGTAATAACATATCTACTAACTAAACATATCACGTGTAACACTCATACCCGGGGTCTATTGAAAATTAAATAATAGATCCGGTGCTGGTTATGTACGTGCCTAAAATTATATAATAACTAATATTCGGCCGTTATTAAAATATACGTGATCGTCTAGCTGTGATGAATTAAGATTGGACCCTCTACGTTGTGTAATTTTTCATATGGCAAGAGTTTCAAAACACGTCGCGAAATCATTCAAGAGCACAGGACAGTAAATAATTGCCGTAAGGTAAATAGACCTTAATAGCCGAAAATAAAATAAACAGTTGCCGTTTAAACCGTTCATGACCTATATAACGAGTAAACCCGACTTCGAAGAGAGCTTTAGGGTAATCTTTTAAGTCTAGATGAGGTACCTATCTGATAAACGATACCTGGCCTCCCAGCACCCTTATAGCCAGTCCTGTATGAGGTTCGTTAAAAGGTCAACCTAAGACCCCGATCCTCACACCCAACAAAGCCTTCAGACAGCTAATCGACCTTGTACTCGTATAATGCCTCAGTCTCGTTTATACCCTTACGCGCTCCTTACAAAAACATTCATTCACATTCTATAAATAAAATAAACATGCAAGTTACGCTCCCTAAGTTACGCTTTGCATTTACGTGGTGCTATTTAACTATGCTTCCCTACTTTGAAAGCCGCCGCGGATGTCTGTGTCAAGAACTAGAGGGTGATGATGAGTTGTGCAAGGTAGTCTGAATACCATTTGAATGCGTCTAACAATTACCAATCTGTGATCCCCTTACACAAGCTTACAGCTCTAACCAGACTTCACACAAGGGGCAGAGGGTCAAGGGTTGTCTATAGCCGAGACGACGTACCCCAGAGACCACTGATTAAAGTTATAAACACCCAAATGATTCAGGCGTTGTATGTGCGGACAACGTGCGCAACCTAAGTTGGACCCTAGTACCTGATGTAATGCTGTCCAGTTTGTCCGGGAGCTAGTCTCAGCCAGAAAACCTTCCTGCGGTGTGTTAGCTAGTGAATGAGTAAAAGTTTTGAGTGAAAGTGTGGCATACCACACTTTCACTCAAAACTTCTAAACTTCAAAACTACATAGTACCTAGTGCATGTAATGGAATCGAACTGCTGAGATCATTCGGCTTCCGAACCGTTTACCCAGGCCGACCCCACATGTGCTGTTGTGTGGTTTAGAGTAATTGTGTCTTTGTGTACTGTGCAAGTAAAACCTACTAAGGTCTCTAGTTTGACACAAACGAGAAACACAAAAGCATACGAGATGTGACACAGTGGTTGCAATGAAACAAACAGAGCGGAGGAAATTTTGTTATGAGATGGAACCACTCTTCCCCTTATATCATTGAAAACGCAGTGACACTCTAATTTATAAAGCATTTAAAAGCAGGCAGATAGAGAAAATATATACCAGATTATCACTAACTCTCAGTTCATTGGCACTGTGACTAAACTTGGAGCCTAACTCAATGCAACTTCGCACCATGAAAAACTCCGTCGATTATGTTCTAAAATTACGAATAAACTGCCGCGTCTAAATAAAAAATGTGATGATAAAAATAAGACAAAGTCAGCACTCAGCTACTCGCCCCTAGGAAAGGAAAATCCTAGACATAGTTAGTTGAGCAAATACACATACTTAACAATACATATAAATATGGAATTGGTATAAAATACATTTAGGATAATAATTCCTACAGTACTTGTTAGCCTCATGACCGTCAATTCCTATCTCAGTATGTAATTTAAACTTAGCTGCCGGTTTTGATCATCGTCACGTCGCGCGTGCTAGCCAGCTCTCGCGTTCTCCGCCTGATATACAGTTTCCGCGCCCGCGTCAAACGTTACGAAAGAGGAGGAAACCCAACTGCCAATTTGCGTTATAAACAGGATCCAACTAAGTACTTAAATCCGCGTGCGACACGATAAGGATCCGGTTTTCGACCGTCCCCGAGCCGAGGCCCAACTCCGCGTCCCGAAAAGCTAGGTACCCAACTGACGTCTCCCTGATCCAAGGTTTTCGCTCCGGTTTCCGATTTCCCTCTCCATTAACTTCACCATCCCCGTTTTCGTGCACACGGTTCCTATGACCAATAACCGAAATTCTCTTTGTTCTAAAGGGGTGGCTACATTATAACTGCCTCCGTGGCCGAACGGTTACCATGCCGGACTGCCACGCAGAGGTCCTGGGTTCATTTTCTCGCGAGTTTGGGTGTCATTTGTGGTTGTCTATGTGTGTGTCCATGGCACCCGCGACACAGGGTTTCCCTAGTGCGGGGCTAGGAGTGTGTTGCGTTATTATTATTATTATTAGAGTTCTATTTGTCAAACTTTCTTTAACACCCACCGTTTTGTCAATGCGCACATCTTATTTATAGGCATCTGGCGTTTATTGTTCTTACCGACTCTCGTTACATTTCTTATACAGTACTCTTCCTCATAAAGCAATAGTGTTCCCTGTCATTTAGTTTTATGCCGAGAAATTGTGCAACAAAAGCCCTTTCCAAAATTATGCTCTTTGTTTATGAAATGACCATTTCCGTAACCTTTGTCAATTTCGTGAGGGCGAAACAACTGTCAAAAACATAAACGCAATTATTTGAACCCGTCTAGAATTACTTTATGGTGCACATGTGCGTTCGCTGTAGAAAGCTTAGCAATAAATCGTAGTTTCTTTACTACTACCTAATTTCTTCTGACGCAAGCCAGTAATGTTTGCTAAATACGTTATATAATACATAACAAAAGTTATACAGTCAAGGAGTCCTACAGACGACGGTTAGACACGGTAGAATTCATAATCACTAATTCTTGAACGCATTTACACAGAGCAATCATAACTTGGCATGGTTTTCGGTAAACGATGGTCAACTCTGAGGCTTAAATATGCCTAGGTTTAAATTTGCACTGAAAAATCATGAAAACAAAAACGCACTGTTTATTGACTGGTTGTATCTGCACCATGCATGTATTTAATGTTCCAAGTAGTTTGCGCAGCATGAATGCCAAGTTCTGACAAGTTTATCATATTTAAAAGCTACATGCATTTTAAAAGTTATCCCTTTTTAATGTCGAACAAAGGAGTACTGTCAACATTTTTAGGTTATATATAACACATATTAATTTAAATGTGGGGTACTATACAATTTAAGACTCACTTAAAAAAGTAAAGAAAGTATTAACACAAATACAACAGTAAAACATACCCAACAATTTCATAGGATTATTAGCTTCCTCCTCTTTCTGCTCATCTTGTTCCCGTTTGGCTTGCTCCTCTGCCAACTTGAGCGCCATGAAGTTCCTCGTAGCCCCAGCCTCTATCTCGTAATCTGTGTTCTTAGGGTCAGTCTTAAACGATATCTCTTGAAGACATCTTGTGCACTAGAATTCAATGGAGTTTGTCTTTAATGTCTTGTGTACCATTTGTGACAATGATAATTGAGTTAGACTATTTTAAATTATCTTTTACATTTAAACTTAATTCTACATAGCACTGTATCAATTGATTATGTGGTTGCATGGGGACCTAGATAATCTTGGACACACAGACTTAATGCTGGTATATTAGACTCATACATTCAAATGCCTAGGTAATAATGTAGGTAGACATCAGTGACGAGGCATCTATATAACTCGATTCCCACCGACTTGCCTACAATTGTACTCATATTACCAAAAGATTGTACTAAACAAAGCGTATACCCCACCACTTAAAAAACATATTCAAAATTTAAATGTGTAATAACTTGTCCCAATGCATCTCAACCAATCAGCATGTGATAAGCAGGTGATTCTGCGAGTTCTGTTTCATTCAAGAAATCTATGCACTCCCATCAAAATATTTGCAAATAACATTAATATATAAAACTTAAATATAAATAAAATATATAACACATATAAAACTATAAAACACATACACAAAATACTATAACATTTTAAGAAATGGTGACCAAGAAGCTGGAATAAATTGGGTTACGTCAAATAGCATTCAAATTTAAAAAAAGGTTTAAACAAATTGCAGTTTAACATGTTATAATGCCAGAATCATTGCCAGATCTAAAACTTTCTTCAAATAATGTAACAAAATTATACGATAAATAGTATCATATGTATCTATATCTATTTAGGTGTTCTTTTTTAATAGGGCTACATAAAAAATGTATGTAGAAGGTCATGGTAATTTGTAGGTAATCAAAATAGCAACACTTAGCATTCATGAGTTTGTTTACTATCTAACTTGCATATTGCGATGGGCAGCATAAAATGTAGTAAATTACTTTCAGAACTAGTATATAGCATAATTAATTTATGAGTAGAATAAGATAACCAGTGAAATTAAGTGAACTAGTATATTATGTGCTAATAAGTGTTATGTATAAATGTCGTCATGGCGCCTTTATAACGGGAAAATAAATTTCTGTTAAAGTATTTTTTGTTTCTTTGAAAAGTTCGGCTTCACCAAGGAAAATTTTCATGTGTCACCACTGGCACAATGTACATGAGTATTTTCAAACAACTATTTAGAGGAAGTACACAATCTAGTTAATAAATGAGTGCTTTATCTCATATAATATGTACTCAATGTCAACTTACTTTGATGTAAAACCTATAAATCCTGATCCCCATGTAGTCCTCATTCTCAACATCTTCTTTCCGTGCATTGAACTTTTTCCCCTTGTAAATATACTCGCCGCAGGTTTTGCAACGCATATTGAAAGGAGCCATAAGACGAACTGTATACTGTCTGTTTTTGGCCAATTTCATACGTGGAATCTTCGATGGATCGAAGTCCGGAGGATAATATTTCTGAAAACATACATGAAACCAACCATTAAAAGGATAAAGTAATGACAACGGCACATCAGACTACACATTTTTGTTCTAAAATTGCCTCCAGTTAGGAATGGGTTTTATATATCATATATAGTTATTGAAACTATATATTGTGCCATTATCAAATAGGTATCCAATATCATTTATCTTAGAAACATATATAGATATTGCTGCACATCACATAATTTATAGCGATGCCAAATCGAGCCGAGTGATTACCGAGTGGATACCTACACAAAATCATATTTTCCAAAGTATATACCGATATTGCTTAGCATCAGATATTCACTGAGTGGATATCAATGCGGAACCATTTTATTGTTCGTGTTCGAAACTTTGGTCCGCATTGCTCTTGTAAAACTATACCCAATAATATATAATTTCGAAATCCGATTTCGAATATCAGTAACGGCAACGTATCAACGCAGTGCGCACGCGGGCTGTATTCATGAAGTTCCAGAAAATATATAGTTTCGAAATCCGATTTCGAATATTGATATATATATAGTTTCGATACGATATTCAGAAAGAGCTATATTACCCATTTCTACCTCCAGTGCAACGGAACAAGATACATCAATGTGTAGCTTGATGTGCTGGCGTGTGTACATACGACATCGATGGTTTTAATAAACAAGTCCAATTATGCTAATACTTACGTTTAACACTTTTCGTTCAGACATTTTGTATGGACTTTAAGTATTTATTTATTAAACGAGAAACTATAATAGGTATCTAGTATCCACTTATGTGAAAGATTTTTGAATCACAATATTTACTAATTTTACAGTGGCTGTAAAGCAAAGCAGAACACAAAGTAAAAATAAATTAGTGTAGTGTAGCAAAGAAATATAGGCACTTCCGTAGAATTTGATAGAAATTAAATCGTGATTACATTCCTCATGAACTCATGATTCACATGACAGTGACAGTCATTTTTTTTTTGGGAAAGGCAAAGGAGACTGTCTATACAACCAAATCTACTGTGCATACATTTTCCGCCAAGTCTTTTTTTTATAAAGGCTCCAGTACACATAGTCTTATACTATACAGGTGTAATCGTTAAGTGTGCCTAGGCGATTATTCCTTAAATCGAAAATACGGTACTTACGTAATGAGTAAATCGCCATCAATAACTTTTTATAAATAAAATTAGAAATATCCAAAATTTTAACATTAAATTCCCTCATACATTAATATGACATTCTTATAGAGAATTTAGTTTTCCTATTGTAGGAGGTAACATTAAGTCAACAGATGACAAAACTGATTTAAATAAAGTAATAATATTAATAATAATAAAACTATCTTTTAATTATATAATATAATAGCACAGTCAAGTGTTTGGTCAAGTGTGAGTTGTCCATAAAAATGATTTTTTTTCAAAATCATGTAAGGATCATTTCATTGTATAGGACAAAAACATCGGGATGGCAAAAGGTGTCAAATTTAATCAAATGTTTTTCATACGCTCTCATACGTTTCTTGTCACAATATTGAATATTTCTATTTATTTAAAAAAGTTATTGATGTCGATTTATTCATTAAGTAACGTACCTCGATATCAATTTAAAACTTTTTATATCTCTTATATTTATGGAATAGTCGCCTGGGTATACTTAACGATTACATTCTGTATACCCCACTATAAGACCATTCCCATTGTGTATGGGGGGCAATTGTGCAGGATGGCGGATAATTGCCAGGAGACATTGGATCGTGTCGCGAAATGACATGTTGTTAGTTTTTCGACCACACTTCAAAGAATCATGGCGTAGCGTGGCCACTGGTGTTCACACAGTTGCCCATTGTTGAATTCGTTGCCTTCCAGCAACGGGGTAGTTCGTTATCAATATCCACCACCGTCTTTTACGCCAGTTTTCTTTTATTACTTTGTTCCGGTACATACTTCTATAGTACTTATATGAAGTAAATAAATAAATTGTCGCGGCCGAGGTTACTCCGGCGTCCACCTTAAGGCTGCCTTTCCACCAGAGATGTGCGAGGTAGCGAGGTGGTGTGAAGATGTTTAGCGGCGCTGTGAAACGGTATGATGTTTTCCACAAAAGCTGTGCGAGGTAAATAGGCGGTAAGAGGACATGCAGCGGCGAGGATGCGTTACGGACTCTTTTCAGCTATGCGCGGGCGGGGTACAGTGCGGCGGGGTGCTGGCGATATGTCAGTGTCAGTTAGTGTCATACTTTCAGTAGCTCTAGGTTCCTACACCGTTTTGCGCACTTTCCTCGCCCGCATCCCTCACACATATTCCTCGCACACATCTCTCGCTACTTGGTATATACAAATACTTAGCTCCGCTAACCTTTTTCCACCGGAGTTGCGCTAAGCGAGGCTAGGAAAATGAAGTAATGCTATTGATGGATTTTTTCGTCACTCACCGCCTCGCTAAGTCGCACATCTCTAGTGGAAAGGCAGCTTTAAAGCGTCGCCAGCTAACATTCAGCGTTTACCACTGTGTGAAAATGAATACCAGTATCGCCAAGAGGCGATGATCGCCTATCGTGGCGCATAGCGTGTGTGGTTCAGTACTGGGCTTAAGAAGATGGAAATAAATAAAGGAAGTACTGGACCGTTGACGTCAACTTTCTTCGTCCAAAAAAAAGACAAGTTTATCTACTGCGCGAATGCACGCGGTGAAGGAGCGCCCTTAAGTAATCTGTGCTCATAACAATGCGAGACGACCTGCAGTTTGATTTTGATTGCCTCTCCCGAGTGGTCTTTTCCGAGTCGAGGCGCATAATTGCGATTCACAACTGGCTGATCGGAAACTTGACATTTCTAATTGGAACAATAGTTGATTTAAATTACAAATTAGAAAGATATAGTAGGATCAGGTTCATCTTCTCGCTCAGAAACCCATGTGATTTCGATACTACCCGATCGGATCGATTCCGATTTGAATTAAAACCAGGTGCCTTATCATGAACTCTTATTACAGTTCAGTATAGGTTCGTAATGACAAAAAAGCGGGATGGTGATATATACTTCATGTAGCGCTGTCTCACAACGATTCATTTTAGGTCCTAAACTGAATCGTTCATGAGTTCATTCTTCGAGTGCATGGTAAGGCTACAGGACGCTGAAGACGGAAATTGTCCTTCTAATTTGCGGACTCAATGGTAAGTAAACCTGCATCAAGTAGACTAGATTGTTATAAGCGGAGCTTTATTATATTCTCAACAACCATATTCGTAATCGGCAATTGAATTCGTTATCCGAGTCAGAAAATATGACTCTGAAATTACCGACGTATGAATACGTTTGGAAATTTGATAGGTCTGCGTTGCAGCGAAAGCTATGAGATTTAAAATAAAGTCACTTATCCATTGACTTACAAATAAATGGACGACGGGTCTAATACAAAAACCACGAAAAAAATGTCCCAAATCAACCTATTCGAAATTTAAATTGTAATGTCATCGCAGTATCGCGCTGTCAGTCGAACAAATGAAGACTAAAGCGGAGTTTGGCGCTCTGTATACGATTTTAGCGCCTTACAAGTGCGGACACTTTTTAGCGCGGACCCGACGTCCATATAATTGTAAGTCAATGCACTTATCGATTTCTTATTTTTTCGATTACAATCGACCCTGCGAGATTTGAGCACGAACAGATCGAGTCTGCGAAACTCTTGCCCACTTGACTTGCAAGAGTTTCCCGGAGCTTTCCTGCACGATTTAAGGCGGCCGATTGCCCACGCCCACTCTTTATCGGTCACCGGATCAGCATCTCCCGGCTGCTCCGCGTCCTCGCCGGGAGGACTCATTCGAGTCGGGACGAAGTCCAGCAGTACCGAGAACAGTCCGTCCACCACCCGAGTTAGTAGCTCCGGCTCTAGAGAGGCTGTGGAGGAAGCGCGGCGCATCTTATTTCGGACGGCCCTGTGCGGCCTCCCCACGGGTCCCTCTCCAGGGTGGCCAAAGATTCTAGGTGAGCGGAATCCTCGGCCCTGGCAACTTCCACCGCGAGAGCCGCCTTGGCCTCTTGGAGGGCGCGATAGTAGTGGTCCTCCTCAGCCACCGTGTGCGACCTCCTTCTTCGGCACCTCCCGTACGCCCTGCGGGCATGGTTACTGGTGCCGCGGAGAGCTGCGGTCTCCGCAGACCACCAATAGACCTGCTTCCTGTTGGAGAGGCGCTTGACCCTCGGCATGGCTGAATCGCACACCTCTGTCATTGCACCACGGAACCGATCAACCTTTTGATCTATACCAAAAGTGATCGGTGAGGGCGCACACCAGGCCTGCACAGTCGCGGCTTCCTCCGCCATCTCCCGGTCAAGTCGGGACAGGGACCACCGTGGGAACTGACCCCTTCCTCTTCTGTGCGAGCTGGTCTCAGACGGTCGTGAGTGGCGAGGTGGAAACCCTCATCCGGATGTACAAGTGATCGGAGAGAGTCTCTGTGTCCTCTAGAACCCGCCAGTCTGACACGCGCTCGGCCATGGCAGGAGTCGCAAATGTGATGTCCACAATGGACCCTCCCTGTCGCCGCACACATGTGTTGACGTGGCCCCGATTTAGGACCTCCAGTCCGACCGTCGCCACCCCGTCCGCTAGCTCTGCCCCCTTGACGTCGGTGTATAGGGATCCCCACGCGTCGCTTTTCGCGTTTAGATCCTCCATTAAGAGAACCTGTGCCGGGGCGGCCCTCCTGATCACCTGCTCCAGTCTTCCCAGGAAGCGTGTGAATTCTGGCAGGGTACGGTTTGGGGAGAAGTAAGTCCCTATCAGAACAACCTCCACCCAGATAGCCGCCACGTACCCCGGCCCACGTTCCTTCAGGAGGAGCTGAGGATGATCACCTGTTACCGACACCGCCACTGCCATCTCATCCTGCGTGTCCCCAGCCCAATTAGGTTGGGGAGGGACGAGGTAAGGCTCAGTCACCACCACTACGTCGATGGACCACTTCGCCATAGACTGCATAAGCAGATCCTGAGCTCTGCCGTGTAGGTCGCCGATCTGTGACCCTCAGTCCCGCATCGAAAACACAGGGTGCTCCGATCCACAGGGCCCTTGTGTGCCCGGTACCCATGCACCGGAAGCACCTCATGGGGAGAGGGTCCTGTGCCCTAACGTGGGCTGACGACCACCTGACCAGAAGTCGTCCCGCCTCGACCAGGGTTTTGGCGGCCACAACCGGGCATTGAACCAGGGTAGACCCCGTTCCGTCCGGCCTGGTGCGGATGCCACCCACCCTCACCTGCTGTAAGGTGCATCCGCTCTTTGCCGCTACCGCCGTCTGCACGTCCTCCGGCCCCACCGACTCGTCCAGACCCGAGACTATGATGTCGGCTTTGGGGGTCGGCCTGGAAATTACGGCCACATCGCCAATTATTTCTCGCAGTTTCTCTGCGCGGGCATCCGCTTTGGTACCGCTATCAAAGCCCGGCACCTCAATAATACGTGCCCCTGTGACCGTGTTACGCACCCGCACAGAATCTGGGCCGACCGTGTCAAGCTCCAGTCCAACCGTTGCCCTCTTCAAGGCGTCCTTGTAGGACACATTGTGCTCTGCGGCCTCCGGTGTCAAAGTAATGACCACCGCTGTCGACTTCGGGGTAGTCATCTTTGTGACCTTTCGCGCTGTGGTCCTGACGCGGGGCGTGACAGGACCAGTCGCAGCAGGCTGAGTGGGTCGTTTCCGCTTGGAAGGCTTGCGCCGTACGACATCGGTCCACTCAGTGGACCGAAGTTCGGAAAACAAAATTCGAGTTTGTGATAGGTAGGTAGGTAGGTACCCATAACTTCAGCCGAAGGACGTCCACTGCTGGACATAGACCGCAACAACCTGTTATGGTCATAGCTAAGTAAAGCAGCACTGTGATACTCGTGTGTGGGTGTCTTTCCATGTTTTATAGTGTGGTTCTTTATAATAAAAGTCTCAGTCGAGTCTAACACTTGTAAGTAATATAAATGTAAATTACAATACAGCACGGTGGCGGCGGCCATCATAGACAACACAAGAGTACTTGTCATCGACAAGATGCTATAAAATAAAGATACCCACACACGAGTGTCACAGTGCTATTTTACTTAGCTATGACCATAACACAACCCTACCATTTAAATTAATAAGCCAATAACCATTTTCCAAAGCCATAGGCCATCAACCATTTTCCAAAGCCTTAGGTCATTAACCTCTTTCCAGACATTTTCAAGGTTTGGTTAGCCTATTACAGCGTTTAAGGCAAAGGTTTAAAAAGCTTAAGTAAAGGTTATTTATTCAATATTATCAAATTTATTATGAAACAAATACAAGGTCAAACAAAATACATAAGTATTATCATAAGCACTCATACAATTTCCCGACACGCCGTATGATATTCAGAAGAAGATGAATTTGCTGGAATAAAAATATAATTATGTTACATCGATTTATATATCATTCACCGAGCGTTTGCACAACAGTCTATATTATATCGTAGGTGTTTTGTAAAAAGGGCGAAAACGCCATTTCGAAAAAAATTCAGGAGAACATATTTTAGTTTTAAAATATTTACGTCCCATTTTAAATTCATATTTAAAACTTAAACTTAATTAAAAGATAAGACTTAAATATTTTAAAACAGTCATTAAAATCAATGTTAAAACCTAAAACAAGCTTCCTTTTTTGAAATTGCACTTTCGCCCTTTCTATAAAACACCGACTATATGTATATAAATATATCGAGTGTAAACTGGCAACCGGTACTATCTCATGATATGAACAAACGAATTGTTTCATCATTTATATAGCATCTGATTAGAAGTTAGTACAAGTTGAATGAAGTCGATTCTGGCCCCAACATTAAATGTATCTGAGACGGAATTTCTCGCAACGCTGCCGCAGTATGAAATAGTATAAAATGGTATAAAAAGTGAAATCTTTAGAAAATTGAGATAGTAACGGCCATTTCACAGTCGACATACAAAATTATAAATATACAAAATTAGTATATAAATGTAAATATATACAAAATAGAGTCGAAACCTCAGCCGTCATGTTAAACTATACATAAATTGCCATTTGGAACTACTGGAAGTTAAGTTGTACACGTGGCATAGTACACCATAATTTAAACCATAGCAAGGGAATTATTTTAAGCCATAACAGGGAATTAAGGCGATGAGGTGCCCAAAATCCCTTAAATATGGTGTTTTTGTGTAAGTTTTTAGGCGATAACATAGCACGTGGAACTTTGAAAATAGTACATTCTGTAACACGTATCTTGAAGTGTAGCTTGAAGATCCTAGAATATTGCATAATGTCATAGGTAATACAAAAACTGGATTACAGTGAGACTCTGGTGGTTATTTTTTGACATATTTTTCTCGGGCAAACCAAACTTGCTTACTACCAAATTTGGTGTGGTTATTTATTTAAATAAGCACCCTTTGGTGCTTATCTTGATCCTGACACTTTATTTGAAGACAAATAACAAATTTAGAAGTAAAAAGTAACTTTCGCCTGCTAAAGTACGAGCTAAATATTTGCTTGCAAATTATGGACAGGCACTTAACAGTGTGAAAAATATCATACACAAAAAAAATACGTAAATAAGTAAATATTATGCACCAATTCGTTGAAATCAAAACAAAATATTTAAAAAAAGTCAAATTTAGCCAATAGGTGAGAATAAAAAATATATATTTTTGGTTGGATTAGAACCTAAAACACAAAGTATTCAAAACAAAAATGATATTGTTGTTTGCGTCTTTGATTATTTAGTAAAATGGCAACGTTGAAAACTTCTGCTGCGTAGCTTGCGTTCGCGGGCTACGTTGCCAGACCTCTGTTTTGACATGGTTTTGACAAATTAATTTATATTGTATTGTAATCAGCTGTCTACCGTCGAGCACGATACTTACGAGATATGTAGTTGGACATAGTTATCCAAACTATAACCAACCCACAAAATGTCACTTTCGAGATAATTATATTTTTGTAAAAACAGTGTGAAGAAATAAATAGATAAGTTATTTGAGACTAGAGATGCGCCGAGTACTCGTTTGCTGCTCGGTACTCAGAGTACTCGGCCGAATAATTCGGTTCATGGGAAGAGTACCCGGTTAAAATAAAGCATCACAGCTATAGATAGACATAATAAAGTAAAATCAACAATATATTTAAAATATTAAAAAGAGATTTATTACTAGAAATTATAGACAATTGTAACAATTTCTAGCAATTTAAAAAGAAAGTTAACATTATTAATTTTTAAATTTAACAAAGGCAAGTTATGATGTAGATGTTTCGTGAAGCTTTCCGCAGAAAGCCTTGTAAATATTCCTACGCGCACGTTCAGGTAATAGTCTGTTCCGTTTTTCTTCATACACATTACCCGCTTCGGCAGATAACCGCTCGCTATACACTGTGCTTGCAGGGGCACATAAAAACACTCGTGCTAACTGTGCCAGTTTTGGATATTTTGTTTTATGCTCTGCCCACCATTGGAAAGGACTCTGCTCTCGCGACAATAAATTTTCATTGACATATCGGCCTAATTCTAGAGCAACGGGGGCTTTTAGGATCATCGCGTTCCGGTTGTAACGAACCGAGTAACTCGGCCGAGTACTCGGCTCGGCAAATGTTAAACCGAGTAATATTTGGTACTCAGTTACTCGGTAAAACTTGTACTCGGCGCATCTCTATATGTGACAAACGATGTACTGTAGCAGTGAGAACGATATAGGGAAACTATTATATTGTATAGGAATAAATTGAAAACATTATGTATCTTTTTATTTAGTTAACGAGAACCATGTTCTAGTTATCGTAATGAAAACGCGAAACATCTGCAGTACTTCAGTACATGTGACATGGGTCCGTTTAGCATGTTTTAAAAAAGACATTATATGAAGTTAAGCACCAAGGTTCTTTTTAGCTATTAAAAAGTTACTTATTTAGGGTTGGTACCCTGAAGGACTTTTATTTTCTCCGTTTTGGCTTGGTATGTTGCCAGGATCTTTTGTGAGAGGGTAAAGGACACGCCTGGTGTTCTACCTAAATACATAACTCAATTTCACTCGAGATGTTGATTGTTTCTTGTTTGCATAACATTTCCAGTTCTTATATGCTTTGATATTTTTGGTTTGATAGCATGTGTGTATTTTAAGTACAACGCCATCTGTTAGCGGCAATCAATATTATGTTAAATCAGGTCCAACTACTACACTCTTACCGCATCGGGGCGTATGGCGCCACCTCATTGGAGAAATTATATTAGTAGGCGCGTCATCGCTCACGGTCATCGACGCAAGGTCATCGACGCTCATAGCGTCTTAACGCTATTCAACTAGTAACTATCCATACATAGTACTGTAGATAAGAACTAGAACCAGTAGGATTTCGTTATTATGACTAAGAGATGTTGTGAGCATCAGAATGTATGGAGTATGGTCAGAATACAGTACCACGAAAAATATTTAAAGTTTGAACAATGTCGAGTTATAATTTTTGACATACATTTGGTTCGTCTTTAAAGAAAGACAAAAAAATAACCAGAACAGAGATAATTTGCCGGATGTTGTGTCTGGACTCTGTCTGTGTTACCTACTTTAATTTATTTCAAGACGTTATTCTTTAATTGCAAACTGAAATATGTTTTGCATTGTATTAAGTTCTAATAACGAAATACTCTTGGTTGATTGACAATATTGGATCGCTCGCACTCGCCGCTACCCACATTAATGGCTTGATGTATCATTATTATATTGTATCTGTCAATATAAAAAAGTATAGCAAGGCTTGCGGCTTCAACCCTTTTTCTTAAGATTTAGCACAAAAACTTTCTATGCAAGACTAGCCGGGTTAACAACAAAAACTACTCACCGTTCACGTCTGTTTCCAGCTGCAAGCTCATGCTCGAGTGCAGCAATTTTTTCCTCATGTCGCGTGCGCTGGGCCTGTGCGCGGCGCTGTTGCTCTTCCAGTGCCAGCACAATCTTTTCAAGCCGATGAATCTGCTGCTGTTTATTCTCTAATGTCGCGAATAATTCCTGAATTTCCTCAGCCTTTGAAGCAATTTGCTTATTCACCTAAAAAGCAATCAAACACTAAATTTTATTTTCGAAGTCCCGGGAATTTTAATTTTGTTAGTCGTTATTATACTCTATGTGTGTCATGTTCTTCACTATCTAGAATAGATAGAATCACATTTTGCTCTATCTAAGTGCGAAGTAAATATGAGGTTACAAAAACAATTACAATTATAAATAAGTAAAAAAAAATTAAAATCTCACTTCGTCTACAATTTTCATGCGATGCTCAAGGTCCTGCTGCAATGCAGACAGTTCTCTACTTTGTTCAGTTTCTTTATTCTTTAGCATATTGATAAGTTCCTCGCGAACCTGTACCACGCAACGAAAAAAAAAATCATCAGGCAATCCCGCCTAGTTTAGATGAATAAATAAATGGGTAATCTTAAAAAAAACATTAGCAACGAGAGTAACCTTGATGACTCTTGCCTGGGCACGTGATGTCTTGTCTTGTTGCTCAAGTTGCTGTTCTTTTTGTGCTAAAATCTCCGATAACTCTTCGTTACGATGAACTGTGTCAAGAAGGTTCATCCTCAAATTCATAATCTGTAATTTCGACAAAGAGTTCCCGTATTTTATCTCGCTGTTTTTTTTTTAATTAATAAGAAATTAAGATTTAAAATACCTACCTCTTGTTGCAGGTCTTGGTAACTAATTCCATTCGGCGCCTCCTGACAATTGGCAACGGCACGATGGTGTGCTTGTAGGTCGCGGACATATTGTTCATATTGAGTAACCTTTTGTTCACTAAAAAAAAAACAATCTCAAACTTATTTCCACCGTTAAGTGTGTAGGAATATAATAACATACACACAGTGACAGTAAGGACAGCCGGTGGAAATAACTCCAAACAAAGGTACAGTATTTCAACGTTTCCACGTGCACCTGCATTAGTTCAGGTCTGTACTTACTGTCTCGTCTCAAAACATTCACAAGCAAGAAATAATTTCACCCACTTCAATTTTATGTTTTTGGTTAATTCTCTTAATTGTATCTGCATTTTGTTTACTATTTCTTCTTTGCTTAAAAGTTCCGCTGCCAATTTTTGTTGCATGCCTACTTTGTTCTCGGATTCCTGAAACGTATTATTTTGCTTGAGATTTATTTGAGACTGCGTCTAAAAATTTATTTACTTCAACGGGTAACCTTTCTATAGTCATGAAACAGTTTTTTATATAGGACTGAAAAGGAAATAAATCTACCTGTCATATGGGTAAATAATATGAATTAACGTAAAAAAAACCAATGCGCTACTAATAACTGATACACTTACCGATATTTTTGTCAGAGTTTCCAAGAATCGGACTTTCTCACGTTTACAAGCAGTTACTTCGTCTTCAGTCATTCGAAGAGCATCTTTAGTAGATTGTAATTCCGCCCATAAGTCCATCTCTCTTTCTGTTGGCAACTCTGATACAAACAACATATTTCTATAATACACATATAACTTGGTACTTGGTGTAACGGGCTGTTAACCGCATTATTTTGTCTATCCAGGCGCCTATTTTGCATGTGGGAAAATTTTACCTGATTACACCCAAAACTTTAATTTCACTGTGCATGCTCAAGGTTTTTATCACATACCTGGGTTTGGCCTGCAGTTTTCTAGCTCACTATTTTTAGCTTTTAATTCTTCAATGTATTTTTCTGCTTCTTTGAGCTTTTCTTGAACATTTATTCTTTGCTCGGTCTCTTTTTGTACATTTTGTCGTTGCTCTTCGATGGCATTCTTCAAATCTTTCAACTCCTTATTCAATTCTTGCACGTTGGCTTTATGTTCAATAGTCATAGTTTGTATTTGTTCTTTGACATTCTGCACTCTGAAAGTGATGGTAGTTTTTATATTAAAGTAACCAGAAAAAATGGTTTTAATAATGTGGATACATACTCAGACTGCAATGCATCACGCTGCTGAGCTATTTGATTGCTTGTAACTTCACCGGTTTTCAAAGATTCTTTTAATTTCCTTGCTCGAGCTTCTAAATGAACCTCTCGCTGACGGCTCTACATATAGAAGGTTAAAAGAAACATGTCTATAATCGTGCAGGTAGTATTTATTTTGGCACGGTTTAGTAATACGTGTTGAAAAGGATATACCTGATCTTCAAGTGACTTAACACTAGCTGTAAGACTCGTAATAGTAGCTTCGGCTTCTCGTAATTGTCGGTCCATTTTGGTTACACGAATGCGTGTTTGACGAAGTTGACTTTCAGTGGCTGCTAACTTATCCTTCATAACATGTTTACTTAACCTTTCTTCTTCCAACTCTCGACGCGATGCCTGCCGATCCAGAAAGCCAAATAAACCAAAAAATTTCATTAAAATAGTAACATTCTAAAAATACATACATTAAGAGCCTTTGTGGTATCAGTTTCTGCCCGAATTTCTCGCATTTCGTTCACGATAACAGTGCGAGCTTCGAGGTCCTGTCGAAGGTGTGCTACTTCACGTACCAACGATTCTCCTACGGCTATCAATGCATTTCGATCTCGACATGCGCGTCTAGAAAGCGAATAAATAATGAGCAAGTATTAATCGCTGAACTTTACAGAACCTTGTTATGAAATTTTGTAAGAAAAGTTTGCACGACATTCTCACTTCAAAAGCTGTGTAATTGCGTCAACATTGTCATCTGCAACGATTTTTAGTTCACGTAAATTTTCGCAAAGCTTTAATCCGGCGCCATTGTAATTAGCGATTCGCTCCAGATATTCGCCGCGACCATCTTCTGCCTTAACAAAAATAATTAAATTTTTATAACAATAAGACTAGTACTTTAATTAAAAGTTCTCAGTGTGTGTGTGCTTAACCGATAAAGTAAAAAAAAAGAATATTACCATTTGTCCAGCAAATTCCTTCACGCAGTCAATGAGTTCCTGCCGTGCAGTAAATGCCTGCAAACATAGATCGGAAAACCGAGATGGAATCTTCGTAACGCTAGCAAATAACTCGGCAAGCACATTTTCATCTGCAGGTATAATAAATATAATTAATATTACGTATTGTTTAATGATCTAAATGTTACAAAGTTTTATCTAAGTTACATTACCCAGGTTTTATTTATCAAGTAAATCAAATGAAATCGTAAACTATTGACTTCCTGCAGTAACGCGGAGTTGCCTGACTAGTTGTACGCTGTCCTGCAAAGTTCTTGCATCCAATAATGCAGTGTATTGTTTTGCAGTGGTGGCACGATGACTACTATCTTAGTTCAATATCATAAACGATATTGCTCTGTTTTATTGGTTTTATCCAAGATAAAACTAGATAGGTACCAAATAATGTTGCATTGTTGAGAATCTCAAGCGCGCCTTCCATGCCTGACGATGCCGCAGCGTCGCGGCAAAGCTGCGCGACCTCCTCAGAAGTCCAATCTCCCACGCTAAATACTACCAAATCTTGTACTTGTAGTACTTTGCCGCTAAATCCTCCTGACACCATACGCTCGCTTAAACTCTTTATGCTGTCTAAAACTTCCAATACTTGTTGCTGAAACATTCAATTATATAATATGGAGCTAGTTACGTTATTAGTGTAAATACAGTCACATATTATAATGTACGTACGTTATGATACTTTATAACTAACGATAACTAGCATATTCTTGTTAGATAATAATAATATACGTTTATTTTCTCCACAAACATAACTGTTATACATGTACAAAATTAGAAGCATATAATAACATTTTTTGTTCTACATTATGTTTGTGATAATTAGATATAAGTATAATTTACTTGTTTCATGTCCAGTTCCTTTTTCATGCGGCTGAATTGCCTTTGTTTTGAAATTAACACCGATTTCAGGTCCTCTTCTTCTTTGACCAGAGGCCATGGTTGCGGCAGGTTTGGTGTCACCACTCTGCTAGAGGACGACATTTGTAGAGACGGAGTTCTTGGTCTCGACTGGGGACTAGGGTTGCACATGGGAGTATTGGGGCGGCTGTTGGGCACCGATTTGCGCTGCGCTGGATGTGACGGAGTCAGGGGCCTGCTACGAGGGGTCTGCGGTCGACTAGACGGTGAGTTCGGAGTTTGAGGGCGGCTTGATGCCTGGGAATGACTTGGACACGTGGGCGTCGACGCAGAATCTGTAATGACTGCACCACATAAAATAATGAGAAATTATATATTGTTAGTATTACTGAAGATTTACAGTCACTTACCTACTGTGTGATTTTCATCATTTTCGGATTCGTGCATGTTACTCAGGTTACCTAGAAAAAATAACACAGAACTTACAATGTAAGTAGGTAACTTTATTTTCTAATCAAATTTCCGTCTAAAATACCCACTTTTTATATACAAAAATTGCAAACATACCGTAATTCCCGTGGTCGACAATTTCTATTTCATCCTGATTGAGAACGTTGTTGTAAATATCATGAGCATGACCATCTCCTGCTTCCTCAATTGTTACACCGCCGTTGTCAATTATATATGAAGTAGCTTCAGGTTTAGCTGGTATCTAAAGCAATTAATTAAAGATTTATTAGAATTGTAACAATAATAAAATTTTCATTATTGACTCTGACATGCAGAAAATACTCACTGGATAGCTGTCATCCGCAATGTCACTTTCTGACGGTCGGTCAGACTGAAAGATTTTGTAAACATGCATATAATAAAATAATACAAATACTTATTGTCATATTAACCTATTTAGAAGTGAGTTATAACTCCGATTACAAATTAACATTACCTTCAGTTCCTGTTTTGAGTCACTTTTTGGTGTAAATCGACCGGAATTCCTTACCTAAAAGAAAAAAAACATTCGTATCTACAGCAAGCCGTAATACACGATGTACGGAGATCTACTTGATCAGCTGCACTTATAAGACCGGGCCCTGATTTTAATTCAAACCGATCGGATGATCGGGTAAGTCAGAAAAAAACGCACTGATCTTTTTTTTTATAATAACGTACACACTCAACATAGTCCCGCACTAGGGGAAACCCTGTGTCGCGGGTGCCACGGACACACATAGACAACCACAAATACACAAAAAATCACAAGAGAAATAAATACAGGCCATACGAATATTTCTCCCGGCCCGGGAATCGAACCTGGAACCTCTGCGTGGCAGTCCGGCATGATAACCGTTCGGCCACTGAGGCAGATAATCTAAACATACACTCTCCACGTCGGTTGCAACTGCATAGGCAGTCCTGAAAGAATGTGCTAATTCGTTATTCGATAGGATGCACTTTACTCGATCATATAAAATCCCGAAAAGAGAATAAAATTAAAGTCTAAAACGTTAAAATTATTGATGAAAACCCTAATGCGAATTTCTCATTCTATAGTAAGTGGTAAAGGCCGACAAAGGCGAACTAACCATGACCAAATTGAGGCCATCCTGAAGAAGGGCCAGGTGAAGAGTGCCCTTAACCGACGAGCAAGTATGAAAGCACTGATGGGTGTTGATAAGGTGAAAGATGCGTGTCAGGATCGTGACAGGGGAAGGCGTTTGTTGAAAGGGGCGTGAAGTATGTGTATGTATATTAGTGATGCATCAGACTTCTGCATCTGCGGAAGTTCTGCACACTTTTTCGCATCTGTTTTATTTTTGTTTCCGTAACATTTATAACGGATCTTTAATCGGAAGTTTACAACCTTTGCGACGAATCAGGCTTATAGTGCGGATTATTTGAGGGGCGTAAGCGCGCGTTTTTAATAGTTTTGTGTTGTGTAATAATTGCACTTTTATTATGAAACTAAAAGCAAGTTCTGTTGGGAACTACTTTGTTAAGTTCTTTATAATATTTCCACTTCCGCTTAGGCATCCGCTTCCGTTTCCGCTAAGATTTAATATTGACATCTGTTTCCGTTGGTTTCGTTGTAACACTTCCGTTGCATCACTAATGTATATTAAGATACGTACTTTGGTGCCAGAAGTGATGGACGCACGGTTGGGGGATAGTCGCTGTGAAGAAGTAAGACTGAGATTGCGGTTGGTGGCATTGCGAGCAGCACGGGCGGTCGAAGCCGCTGTCGGCCGCGGAGTCAGCCTTGGGACCTGATCTGTGAAATATAATTAACAATCCATGTATTTAGGCATATTTAAAAAGGATCTTACCTAACTGCCGATGAAATCACAGTCACAAGGAACTCATCAACTTATGTCTCATGTTACCGGGCGCAGCAGCAGTGCCCCTCTGATCTTTATGACACTGCAACTGCTATAGCCAGGCGTGTCGCTTACCGCCAGGCGCACAATTTGTCTGTATGTCCGTCCCGTCACTTGATAAAAGAAAAAGAAATAGAACTGATAACCTTATCAATCATGGAAGTCTGAGTATCAAATATCTACTTGTACCGCGTTGACAAAAGCCGGCAAATAACGTAGTCAAGAGGAATATTTGACCGTCCCATCTTTGGAAATTATGTGTGTAAGTTACGAATATGTATATAACATCAATGATTATATTTATCACGAAAAAACCCCAAAAGACTTCATAGATATCGTTAGACGAAGCAAACAAATGGACATTTGTTTTCTAATACTTACATGGTTTATCTTTTTGGTTTTTCGCTGTAGCTGCCATCAATTCTACGAGTTATCGCCACAATGAATATTCTAATTTAGGAAATGATGGTCAAAGAAAACGTTAGTAATTTTGATAATACACTATTGTAAAAAAATTCGAAATTTAAACCGATGGCAGTTGTTATATCTCTTCGCCGATGACACAAAATTTAAAGAAAATAAAATATATTTGCAATTTCATACTTATAATCTTCTTTTGATTATTATAATACACTTTAAATTTAGGGGCTCAACATAAATTTTCTAGTTACCTAAATACATAATACGTATACTTCTTAATTTTATTTATCTTTATATTTTATCTAAATAATTACAACAGCTTTTTTTGGTGTAATAAATTTTATTGTATTCTTTTTACTTTTTTCCATCGTCTAAGCTTTATTTTTAGTTCTAGTCATTTCCTGATTGTTTCTAAAACTGGCCATATAGAGTAATCTTACTTTTCTTTCTTTGCAAATTAAAACACACAAATGACGGACTCTTGGACACTTCACATTTTTTTGGAAATTTATCAATAATATATAATTTGGAATGCACAGAGGTATATAAAAAAATTGTAGTGCAAGTTAATATTGTAATCACTTTATAATTAATTATATGCATTTCAATATCACTCATTGTTGTACGGAGTACATTTTTTAGTCAAGTGTAGTAATGTCTTATGAGCCAGACGAAGCGAGGATCGAAGGTAAACCTGATAATATTTAGTTTAAAATTTAAAATAACAAAACATTTTCACCAAAATTTGCTTAGGTACTTCATATTATGACTAGCAAATTGGAAAAGGGGTGTGAAGTACCAATATGTATATATTATGTATTGATCAGCTCCTGCGGTTCTATCAATAAATGAGAAAACTAACTGATTTTAGTACTTTAACAAAGATCTTTATTAAAATATAAAATAAAATATAATATAATAAAACTAATAACGTGACAAAACACGACATAATGTTGCCAGTCGATACTATCGATAGCATAAAATTATGAACAATATAGATAACTCGCAACACTATCGATAGTATTGACCCTGACTCTTGTAAAAACAATCGATACTATCGATAGTATTGATTCTCCGCATGAACTATCGACACTATCGATAGTATTGCCCTGCCGACAGTTCTGTATCACGCAATAGTATCAGGTACAATATAAAGCCATAATGGCCAACATTGTCTTGTGGAATTATATTGAAAATGAAATTTAATTTTCAGCAGTGTTTTGGTAGTTCGTAAGTAAGTTTCTGAATTTTCTACGTTAACATTACTAAATTAACGACAGCTAACAAATCACTTACACAACACATAGTACCAGTTACATAATACGTAGCCTATAAATATTAACCAATACTATTGCGTTATACACGACTCTCGATTGCGAAAAGCTATCGATTTTATCGATAGTATTGCAAGTATTCAATATTATTGCTATTTTTATGCTATCGACACTATCGATCGATGGGGATATCGATGTTATAGATAATGTTTAAGGTCAACTATCGATAGTGCTACTATCGATTTTTTTTGCAACACTAACACGACATGAAGGGAGTTCTGCGAGACGACTAAATACTTTTGAAAAATAGCTCTCAATGTCACACCGGCTAGTATGCAAAAGATTGGTCATCCATGCTCAGATATTCCTCCTCAATTATTTACACCTGGCTTTCCTTATAGTATCAAAAAACTTTGCCAGTCATGAACACTACATACCCATTTCGTATACCCATATCACATACCCATCTACGGCCAAACTCATACTTGCCCTTTAACACTTGCTTTCGTTAAAGCATCAGTAACCATATACTTGGTTTCTAAATAGTTCAGCTTTATAGTATCCTTTTCTAATGCTTCTCTAATAAAATGATAGCGAACATCAACATGTTTTGTCTGCTGATGTTGCACCGGATTTTGAGCTATTGTCATAGCAGATAGACTACCTGTGTGTATCGTGATAGGCAACTCCACCTTGCCGGTGATTTCGTTCAGAATGGCTTCTTTTGTAGCTTCAGATAAGCTAACGTCCTCAGCGTCAGCTGTCGATAAGGCTTTACATTTTTGCTTAGTGCTCTGCCAAGAAATGGCCATTTAACATCTTAAACACGTTGCCGGAGTAAGACCTTCAGTCCATAATATTTCCTGAGTAATCAGCATCTGCAAAACCTTGAATGTTTCTTATAAGATACGTCTTTAGAGTATACAAGTCCAATGCTCTTGGTACCTTTTAAACATCTCAAGATCCTTTTAGCTGCGATCCAGTACACTTTATCATAACAATTGCAGAACTGACTCATGAAGTTTACTGCATGTGCTATATCTGGCCTTAAGCACACAGCTATGCAACGTATTGATTTGCATTCTCGCCATATTTACAGAGGTTATTCTATATACAAAACTGAACCCAAATCACTAAAATAATCTGTCAATCAAAAAAAACCGAAATTCTTATTTTTTATTTAATTACGTTAAACAACGATTTGCAATCACCTGATCCAAAGGTCACTAACTATTGCAAGGTACGTGCAACCAAACAGCGGACCGTGTAAAGAGAAGCCAGTGTTATCTCTTTCTCAAACGCAAGCGCGCAGTGCGCTCGCTCACGCTCTGGGATAGCCGCATAAGATCGCCGCAATCAATAGTTTGCCAAATCTATCTAATCTATCGCGAAATGCGCACGTAGTTTGTTGTGTTTTTACAAGAGATTTTTTGTTTACAACAACTGTATTACCCATCAAGTGCTTCTTCATAATATTGACGCCAAGTGCTTAACTATTACAGGGTGATGTGAAACGTTTAGTTTACATGGAGAAGATTACGAGTGTCGAACAATTTCGTGCAAAAACCGTCTCCGCTTTCAAACTTGTGAAGTCAACTAAGTCAGTTTTCAAACTAGTGTTCAGAAAGTTGAAACGAAACTCTCGATAACATGCGAATTTTTGCATAGCCAGTGATAGTGGATACTGCAAGGTTTTAACCTAAAATTGGCAAATACCAAAAATACGTAATCATAATAAGATAAGATAAGATACGCATATGTACACATATATACGCAATATTTCATCTTCAAGTTTCCGTGAATATGGTAATAAATAAAAGTGCAACTGGCAGTGAACGGATTGCAAGAATGTCTCTAGTCGCCGACGTAACGATGATACCCCTGTGCCTTCAACGTGTTAACGTTGAGGGTGTTAACCCTCAACGGTGTCAGCTGGTCATCCAGTAAACTCATTTGAATCAATTTCGTTGTGCGATGTACAGACGAATGACAATACAGTGAGTAATTCATCGATCTCGTATAAGGATTTTGGCTAACTGTTAGTCAGTAAATTGGACTCAAAATTAGAGAATATTGTGGAATCCTTATCTCATAAAATTATAACAACAATTAGACAAGAATTGAGTAGCACTGTAGATAAATTGAAAAACGAGTTTACTGAGACAACTGATTTCCTTGTGAAAGAACAAAATGGTTTGAAATCGCAAATTTTCCAACAATCTAAGACAATAAAGGAGCTTGAATTAAAAAATTCGAGCCTACAGGAGTCCTTACATACTATTAACAAGAAGTTGACTTTATTGGATAATACTCGTATGTCACGTTCCGCCAATTTTGGAATTGCATGCTGTGCCAGATCGGAGCAATGAAAAGGTTATGGAACTGTTCAGGAACATGTGTGAAATTCTAAATGTTCAACTAGAAGATTCCGCTGTACGTGTTTATCGGCAGGTTGCAAGGATGACGCACTCCGACCGTCCCCGCAACATATTAGTAACTTTACAATCATCCCGCCAGCGCGACGAGGTCATTTCTATTGTGCACCGTTTCAACAAAAAACGTGCTGACGATACTCTTAATTCCGTTCATCTTGGCCCACGTGCAAAGTTTATCAATCCAGAAGTGTACAAGTCCAGTAGTGTACTCAATGCTCAAGTCAGGATTTGAGTATTATTTCAAGCACTGGAAATACGACCCTAATTGCAAAGACTTGAGTATGATTTTCAGTGCTCACTGCAATACTCAAGTCCTGCCTTGAGCATTGAGTAGAGTTCTAGAATACGAATCTAAGGGTCGTATTCTAGAACTCTACTCAATGCTTAAGTCAGGATTGCAATTGAAACACAAGCACTGGAAATACGACCCTAATGGCAGGGTTTGAGTATGATATCAAGTGCTTTAAACCATACTCAAAACCTAACTTGAGCATTGAGTAGAGTTCTAAAATACGACCCTAAGAGTCTCAGTAAGTGTAAGAGTCTCAATGTTAACTAATATTTAGCTATCTTCATTGTACTGCTTACTTATAAATAAGGTCTACAATATTTTAAGTACCTTTTATTTTTTATGAATATTTTGTATGAAAATATAAATAGGATACGATCTAAGACAACTGAGATCTACTTAAATGTACTGGACTGCAACTACGATATCGTCTGTCTGACAGAAACAAATCTAAATTCTTCAGTTTTTGACAATGAGGTATTTGACACTAGAAACAATGTTTTCCGTCGAGGCAGACATTCTACGTCTAGTAGGAAAAGGGATGGAGGCGATATAGTCGTAGCGATTATAAAACCATTTAGTGTAATTTGCAGATACCAGTGGGTTAAAGAGTATTATAATACTTTCGTATCTTCTGTGGATAAGCTCACTTAGCGTTAATATTAAGAACTTTTGCAAATTTGTCAATAATAGAAAGGGTTCATCGTCTCCCATTCCCCAAACTATGTCTTATGGTAATTGTTGGTGCTAGATCACCAATTCTCGTAGGATCGTTAATGTTCGGTGGATTGTATTTGTTCAGGTTCTTGATCTGGATCGATGGGGTTCTTGCTCTTCTCGGGATCAGGATCATAAAAGGAAACACTTGTTAGTTGAACAAGTGTTTCATTTATGACTGCGTTCATTTTTGACTGCTTACTGATTACGTTTATTGCTCAAAATGTTCCTACTTATATACTAAATCAAGTCTCTTATCTAGTAGAGGTGTCGGCGAGCAGGCGGTCGGCGCAGTGCGCTGGGGGTGGAGTGTTCCTGTGCGTAGCTCGGTGTCCGTAACAGTAATATATCATCGTCAGACAGACAGGAGATATGTGAATTACTCTCCAATTATTTCAGTTCAGTATATGAAAAGTCTAATCTCGTATCGGCCTCTACTGCCAAACCTTCCGACAATCTTGTCACCAAGTCAAACTACTACTCTGGTCTCATTCTTCATAGTTTACATATATCTCCACTAGACGTTTTTGCTAAAATTAAAAAGATCGATGCTAATAAGGGCGCGGGACCAGACGGTATTGCTCCCTTATTCATCAAAAGATGCGCAGCGGAACTTAGTATGCCTTGATCTTCAATAAATCATTAAAATTAGATACTTTTCCTTCAGCTTGGAAGACAGCACATGTTATTCCAATTTTAAAACGTGGTGACAAATCCGAATGCGAAAACTATCGCCCGATTCGTATTTTGTCTTGTTTCTCAAAAATATTTGAATCAGTCGTATACGACGTTCTTTATTGCTATCTCAAACCTTACATATCTCCTCGACAGCATGGTTTTATCAAGTTAAGATCCACCACTAGTAACCTGTTGGAATATAAAAGCTTTCTCTGTTCAGCCTTTGCCAGAAGAGTTCAAGTTGACTCGATCTATACTGATTTTTCTAAAGCCTACAACATTGATCACTCCATTCTAATAAGCAAATTGAGTACTTTTCGAATTCATGGAGATTTGCTACGTTGGGTAACATCCTTTTCAATAGTAGCCAGTTTGTTGCATTGAATGGTAATTTCTCTTCACCAGTTCGGGTAACATCAGGGGTTCTTCAGGACTCGCATCTGGAGCCGCTGTTTTTCGTGGCTTTCATTAACGACCTTATTAACCGTTTGTCCTATAACTGCTTATTCTACGCAGATTATCTTAAGATTTACTCTAATATTACCAGATTAGAAGATGTAATTAAGTTACAGCGAGATTTGGACTCGGTTGATGACTGGTATACTATAAATCGTATGTTTCTTAATGTTAAATGTGTGGTGATTTCTTTTACCAAAAATATTCCTAAAATCACGTTTAACTATACTCTTAAGAGCAATGTCCTTGCACGTAAGTCATCGGTCAAGAATCTCGGAGTCGGAGTCGACGACAAATTGACTTTCAGAGGTCATTACGATTACATAATTATTTCTAGAACCACAAGATCCTTTAAAAATCCAACAAACATGTTATCATTATTTTGTTCACTAGTACGCAGTATCCTTGAGTACAGTAGTGTGACGTGGTCTCCTTACACCTGCACAGAGGTCGAGTTGCACGGGTTCTGTGACGCGTCAGAAGCATACGGTGCAGTCGTGTATTGCCGTACAAAGGTGAATGGCTCTTATCAAGTTACATTATTGCAAGCAAAGACAAAAGTTACTCCTAGGAAGCATAAAACGACCTTGCCTCGTCTCGAATTATGTGCAGCTGTTTTATTGACTAAATTAATTAAGATAGTAAAAACAGCGCTCGACTGCGAACACACAACAATCAATTGTTGGACAGACTCTGTGATCACACTTGGATGGATAAGAGGAGAAGCAGGCAAATGGCAAACCTTTGTTGCTAACAGAGTATCTGAGATACAACAAACGCTACCACAGGCAACATGGTATCACGTTGCGTCTGCCTAGCGGCAGGCCTATAGGTTATCACCCAGCAGACGTCATATCGAGAGGAACAGAGCCCAACAAACTACAAACATGCGAATTATGGTGGAACTGGTGGACTGATAAGAGTTGGTGGCAGACTACAAAATTTCCTGCTACCTTACAATTAAAAACACCCCGTATTATTACCATATGAGCATCATATTAACATAGCAACAGTGAACCGACGGCGACGTGAAACAAAAGACAATAAGAAAAAAATGACAGACAAATTACAATATTGGTTTTTATTTGTAATAACCATATTTGCAATATTTGGCACAACTGTAGCGAATTATACTATAAAAAATTTGGGACCAGGACTATATATAGAACAAATGGGAAATGCGACATTGGAACATTTAGAATCAAAGTTGATTACGAGAGACGTGTAATTAACGAAAACTTAGCAGCAATAAGTAATTTAAGACACTTTGTGAGTACGCAATAACAGTTGACAGGCAGACGCATAGCACTTAATATTACGATGCGATAAGGAGAGAAAACATTTGATCAGAGGACATACGAATATTTAGCTGAAATCAATCATACTAGAAAAAGAAGAGGTTTATTAGGACAGTTCTTGACTTCTATATTTGGTGTGAACGACGAAGTATATAGAGACATCAACTCACTGCAACAAAACCAGCAAAAACTCATAGATGCAGCGAATCATCAAACCAAATTCATGATTTCCACCATATCAGCAGTAAACCAGACAGAAGAGAGGATACAACAAAAACTAAAAGTTTTCTAACAAAGCTAAATCAAGCTATAAATTACATTAACTATAACAACAAATGGTATAAAACAGTCAACACGGACCGCATACAAATTCAAGTGATGCAGTAATACCAATCAGCATATAACTACATTAAAGAAATTATGGACTACTACTCGGGATTAATGTAGATATATCTAGCAAAAGCTACTGTATATAGTGTAATATCTCCAAAAGACATAGCTGACGTAATAAAAGACGCAAACAGCAAATTACCCTCTAATCTCAACATCATACAGACGCAGCTGATTGACACCAAATTAGCAGAAAACGAGACGCATATTAGAATGCTATCTTACTTCCCGATAGCAGAAAAGGCAAAATTCACTTTAATACACGTGACGCCAGTATCAGTGAAACGTCCAGATAGAACATTTCAAAGTCTAGACCCTCTTCAGCCGTTCATAGGAATAAACTACAACAATGAGCGCTATTTTAGACTTACTCATGAAGAATTCAGAAGTTGTTTGCACAAATACAAGAACTTTATTTGCTTCCCTGTGGCGGTGATAAACATGCAATTAAATAAAAATTGCATTGTTAGACTCATAACTAAGAATCACACTACAGACTCCCCGACTAAGACTTACAATTTGACGAGGGACATAGTATGGCAACAAGTTCAAATATCAAACACTTGGTTATATTTAACGAAGAAATCAGACACGGTGTCCATTGTGTGTGACGGACATACAAAATAGGTCTCCATCAACGAAATTGGAATTATACAAATTTCAGAAAACTGCATAATAAAAACAATGACTACTACTTTAGCCGCGAAAAGAATTATTTCACTAGACATTTTGCTTCTTGTAATAGGATTGACCAGTTTAAGTTAGACAGTAACAGATCTTTATTAATTTTTAAAGAACAAGTTTTAGATAGTACTAGAGATATTTTTAAACAGTTAATGAATAAAGAAAGTTCATTACAAACAACCCTAGACAATACTGTTTGGCGGAGTATAAATATCCAAACATATGTACCTAGTTTCACATCATTAGTAATATTTTCACTTTTAGCTTTATTAATTTATTCTTGTGGTCCACAGATAGCGCAAAGACTACGAGCCATGGTAGTAGCCAGACGGTTGGTGACACCAGACAGCAGCAGCGGCCCGGCTGCTGACGACAGAGCCGACCAGCAACCCTCCAGCAGGCCTGCATCTCCGTTTCAGCCACAGACAGAACCAGCTGTGAGGAAGAAGTCACCTCAACTTTACGAACAGAAGACTTTTTCCTGAGAGGCGCCAAGATGTTCACGTTCACGTGACATGAACAGACAACCTGACCAGACATAAATTACCACGTGACAATAATAGACTACTCAGCAGTGCACTGACCGAATAGCAATATGCAAGAAAAGCCTGCTGAGTAGACGTTTCCTTTGTTTTACATTTAAAAATTACGTTGTAGATATACACGCACACATGTAAATGGAATTTGTATAAATAGTCTAGTTTTTAAAAATAAAGATCTCTCTTTGAATCCAGACATCAACGCTGTCTCATTGACGACGATGGAACTCTCCTGACTACAGCATCCTCTCACTGCGGCTAAGACACCTTTAGCCGTCAGCTTATCTGATCAGTCTTGTGAATCTGTGAGACTGGCAGTGAGAAAATACACTCCTTGCACCTCTTATCCTTCCCACCTTCCGTCTGTTACCTAAGATCGCAAAGTAACAGGATTCCTCTACCTATCTATACACGTATCTATATAGTAGTGTATGGTTAGCGCTACGCTGTTAGGTAGGAAAGTAGGGTTGTTTGTGATAGGTTACAGCTTTCCCTTACCATTTCATGTACAGCCAGCTAGCTTTAATTACACGTACAAGACGATACTCAACAGTAAAACTTATCACACCCAACAAATACTACACAAAGACAGAGGTAAAGTTAGTTGGTTCTACACAGAGATTTATCTTTATACTGCGGAATAGTAGCGTTCCACAGACATTCCTTTTTACGGTACAATTGTATTAAGTTTTAATTAATTACGGTACTCAGTTTCGGCATGTAAACTGTCTCAGAAACACGTGGTCAGCGGTCGGGAAAACAAAACGTGTCGTCACTGCATACTATCCGATCGGATACCATGTTCGCCGGCCACACAAGCTTACTAGCTCAATCACAAGACAGGATATTTAAATCAGTGGTGGGGGAAGCTAGTAGCGAAAATAATAGAACTCCATCCTATTCGAATCAGCACCTGTTTGCCAGACCGGGTATTAGCCCCGCTCTGACAAACAGGTTTTCCGATCTTTGTATCAATAATAACTTTATTGTATCTTTTTTTCTAAGTTTGACTTATACCACTTACTTACACTTAATAATATGGCGATTGAATTGTTTTTTCGTTAAGAATAAATAATAAAAGACCTATAAGCAAAAATAAGGAACAACAATTTAGTCTGGCCAATTAAGACTTACACAAGTTTTAATCATGGATTTTCTTCGTTACTTTTAGAGGTTAAAGAAACGCCGCGTTCCCCGAAATGCCGGATACCGCAACGCTGTCCACCGCTGCGGTCAAGGACCCAAAGTAGCAAAATGACACGCAATGTAGAGGATCACTTGGTTAGATATGTTCGAAACCTATTTTTTTTAATATGCACATAGGATACGACACGAGTTTGATATGTTAGGAGTTAATTTAAAGTTTATCGAAGGAAGAGTAGGTAGGAAACGTTGGTTCATAGGTGTAGTTTCGCCATGGGCGTACATATTCTCCATTCATTGTAATATATAAAGAAACGGGTACTTTGTGCCCAATATATCTTTCCAGCATTCGCCGAAACCTAATAATAACGACGTTCGCTTTACCTCACCAACCCCACGCATGGTAACGAAGTGCACAATTTCTAGACCACGTTCTACAGAGGTCAGTCAACAATACGTACTTTTTACGGTTTTAAAACATTACCAGGGTCATAGTCACCCAACAGGCATAAACTTAAGTTATACCCACATGCTCAACTAGCACATATTCAACTAGCTGTCAGTTTAAGAATTTGCAAATTATGTAAGGGTGCCTACAAATCCAGCTAATGCACACAGGTGCATTAGCTGGATTTCGCAGACAGCTGCGAAAGGCTCGCGAGCTGCACACGTGCATTACTTAGTGCTATTATGAGTTGTCACTACACAGGCGCACTTAATTCAAAGTCAAAGGATTTATTCATCAAGACAACACAGTACATTGCCTATAAGTAAGTCAAATTACAGAAAATACAGACTTCAATTACTCAGGTATACATAATAGTAGTCTTAACATCATGATTTTTTAAGAAATGAATTTAGATTTGAATCCATAAATTCGTTGTCTTTATAAATAGCGTGAATTTCAAAGTAATTTTTCAAAGTTTTAATCTTTGCTTGAATGCAGCCATTTCCAAGTCAGTTACACTAACTGGTAGTGCATTGTATATATTAATTTTCATATTTACGCCCTGTTTTAATGTTTTTACTAATCTGGTTTTATTTCTTACTAGTCCGTTTACTTCTCGTGTTTTGTGTATATGTGTCTATCTTCGCTATATCATTTTTTGTTTCATGTATCTCTAATAATGATCTGTATACAGGGTGTCCCAAAACTCAACGTCAAGCGGTCACTGGGCGAGAAGCCAGGTTATATCAGTTCTGGTAAAAATTAAAAAAAATCCATGTCACTTAGATAAGTGATAATAGGCATTTTTTTGAAAATGTTGAAAATCGATACCCTAGACCACATGTTTAGGTACTGTCATCACAAATTTTCAAATTTTGGAGTGATGTTTTTTAACGTCATCATAAATAATCATGCTATTTATTGCAGTCACAAATCAAACAATAAACGTTATGAGTTTAGTAAAAAAAAAATAAGTTTCATTGAGTCGTAGCTTAAAAAAAATATGTCAGCTAGCTTTGACACTTCATATTTAAAAAAAATATACTACACTACCCTGGGCAATTTATTTTAAAAGATGGCCCATATAATCAAGATTTCAAAATGGTACAATACTTGCCACTCTTCATTCCATAAAAAATATTATAACTTATTTTTTGCAAAAGGAGCTCGTTTCAAAAAAAACTCATGCCATGATAAATAATACTTTTGTGTGCTCAAAGATTGGCTTTAACATCGCGGAAGTGAGATGGTCATATGTGATAGAGTGAGATGGATAGTGACGCTGTGCGACATGAATTAGAGTGAGCGAGACGGATAGTGACGCCGATGCTCTATTATTGATCATTGGTTATTATCATTTAGTACGCTACGTTCCTTCGTTTACTGTGCATCTTCTCGTAATCGTGTAACTTTTGTACTGACGACTTTGGCTTGTGTTACCCTGGACTTGATATTGCATCTGTGTTGACGACTCTGGCTTATTCCCTGGACTCGATTTGTGTTGTGTAAACTGTATTAGTTAGTACTTAGCAAAACTAACACGTTTCGCGACATGCCGTATCTGTACACAGCGGAAGAATATGCGAACATGCATCTTATTTACGGTGAATGCCATTGTAATGCCTCTGCCGCAGCCAGATTGTATCGCGAGAGGTACCCAAACTTAGAGCGTCACCCAGATCACCGCGTGTTTGTCAATGTACACCTGGCATACTCGGAAGGACGATTGCCTAGTGCTCGTACGAGCGGTAGAAGACCTCAAGGAGACGGCGACGACGTAATTTTAGAAGAAATTCGAAATGATCCCAGCACTTCAGTACGTGCGATTGAAAGAGCCACTGGAATACCGAAAAGTATTGCTCATCGAATTTTAAAGCAACACGAATATCACCCGTATCATGTGCAACGTGTACAAAGTTTATTACCTCGTGACTACTCTCTCAGAATAGATTTTTGTAGAACAATGTTGGTGAGAAATCATGAAGATCCGCAATTTATAAACAAAATTTAATGGACTGTCGAAACAACATTAAAAAAAGATGGTTATTTAAACTTGCACAATGTACATGGCTGGCACACGGAAAACCCGCATTTAATGCGTGAAGACCGGTCCCAATACCAATTCAAAGTCAACATGTGAACCGGAATTTTAAATGGACAAACTACTTAGATATTCTTTAAAACGATTTGCAAACGTTACTAGAAGATGTACCACTCAACATCTATAGAAAAATGTGGTTTCAACAAGACGGTTGCCCAGCGCATTATGCTCGTTCTGTACGTGATTATTTAAACACGGAATATTCCGGAAGGTGGATTGGGGCCTTGGTTCAATTTTGTGGCCTTCTCGATCTCCGGACCTAAACTCCCTTGATTTTTTTTACTGGGGTTGCATAAAGGAAAAAGTATATGCAAAACCTATAGAAAATCTAGCCCAATTACGCCACAAAATTGTTGAAGCAGCAGAAGAAATTAGTTTGAGAATATTCGCACGATTGATAAAAAGATCTTTTCTGAGGCGACGCAGAGCCTGTATTCGTGCCGAAGGCAAACAATTTGAGCATTTCCTTTAACATTAAAGTATTACAATACTTCCTTTCGTTTCATTTTGATTACAATTTATTCTAATACAACAATCGACTAATTATTAAATTGACACACTCACATGTGTTAGGGTAGATTATTTTGTTTAATGCGTTGTCACTATCCATCTCACTCTATCACATATGACCATCTCACTTCCACGATGTTAAAGCCAATCTCTCAATCACACAAAAGTGTTATTTATCATGGCATGAGTTTTTTTTTTAAACGAGCTCCTTTTGCAAAAAATAAGTTATAATATTTTTTATGGAATGAAGAGTGGCAAGTATTGTACCATTTTGAAATCTTGATTATATGGGCCATCTTTTAAAATAACTTGCCCAGGGTAGTGTAGTACATTTTTTTTTAATATGAAGTGTCAAAGCTAGGTGACATATTTTTTTTAAGTTACGACTCAATGAAACTTATTTTTTTTTTTACTAAACTCATAACGTTTATTGTTTGATTTGTGACTGCAATAAATAGCATGGTTATTTATGATGACGTAAAAAAAATCACTCCAAAATTTGAAAATTTGTGATGACAGTACTGTAGTCTAGGCTCTATGAGTAGAATTGCTGGCTGAATATAGCTAGTGAATATAGTTTTTGTAATTAGAATGCTTTTGAAGAATTGAAATAAGAAAACAGAAGGTCTTGACAGATTACATATTACATCCTAGACTGAAAGTATAAACCATGTAAAAAAATGTGAAATAAACCAAATTATTGAAGTTAATCCCAGTTTATATTCTTAGAAGTACCTCTCGCTACGCATTAGAGCTACCCCTCAATACAAGTAGTGGAGGCGCCGGGTAGGGATTACAAGGATATAGCTTACTTTTTCTTTTTTCTTTTTTTAGTTTGATAGACATATTGTCCTATGTATGCGCATAGTTCGTGCTCACCCGCCCACATGAACAAGAACTGTCTGCATTCGGGGAAAATATATTTATTTAATTAATTAGGCGTCCTTCATATGGAATATCCCCATCCCATATGTTTGTTAGGATATGTTGTTAGGGTTATATGTGTTTTTGTGCTCGTTTGTTTGAAGAAAGTGAGAAAAGCTGATGGAACGTGATAGCTGCAGGATGAGGACTAAGGCAGCTGGGAGATCAACAGTGATATAAACCAGTGATCGTCCGATGGATGTTCAAGCCTGTGTCGTCGTTGTGGCAGCATGCACGTTGGAGATAGCTTAGGCTTAGACAGTTAGGAACTTGTAGTAATGTTTAGAAATTTATTAGGATCATTCAGCCAGTTTAGGGTCGCTGAAATAAAGTGTTAGGGTTTAGTCAGGTTCCCTAATTAGCTAGGATAGCGAGTAGTTATATTTTTGATTTGTTTGTTTAGGATGTGGTCATGGTCTGTCCTTTTAGATAGGTTTTTGGCAGACTAAAGCCATAGCCTCCTCGGTGGTAACTTGTTGGTAAGGTAATAGCTTCCGAGCAGTGTGTGGCTAGCCTGTAGTAAAGGCTGAACACTGATGTAAGTTGCCTATCATAGGTAGAGCACCAGCTAGGGATATTCACTCCTTCAGCTGTGAGGAAGAGGGATATAGTCTAGGCTCTATGAGTAGAATTGCTCGCTGAATATAGCTAGTGAATATAGTTTTTGTAATTAGAATGCTTTTGAAGAATTGAAATAAGAAAACAGAAGGTCTTGACAGATTACATATTACATCCTAGACTGAAAGTATAAACCACGTAAAAAAATGTGAAATAAACCAAATTACTGAAGTTATTCCCAGTTTATATTCTTAGAAGTACCTCTCGCTACGCATTAGAGCTACCCCTCAGTACAGTACCTAAACATGTGGTCTAGGGTATCGATTTTCAACATTTTCAAAAAAATGCTTATTATCACTTAACTAAGTGACATGCAATTTTTTTTACCAGAACTGATATAACCTGGCCTCTCGCCCAGTGACCGCTTGACGTTGAGTTTTGGGACACCCTGTATATACAATGAAATTAGTCATTCTATATTTACCAAAGTACTCTCTAACAGATCCACGTTTGTGAATACCTGAGATAATTCACATTACTCGCTTTTGCAAGACCAACACTCTCTCAATACCAGAAGAATTCCCCAGACTGTTAAAGCATAACCAATAATTCATTGAATATAAGCATACTATACACTTAGAATACTTTCTTTATTTACTAGTGGTTTAAATTTAAGTAAGGCAAAATTTGCCGATGATAGTTTTTTACATATCTTATCAATGTGAAGATAATGAGTCAATGTGTCCTGAATAACATATTCTAAGAATGTTGTAGATCTAGTAAATTTTTTTTCTGACCTTGTTTTATATTCTATGGTAACGGATTTTGTCTTATTAAGGACGTCGGTGGTAAGCCATTTACTCAGACTATCCATAACAACTGTTCGGTTTTCGAGCATTTGTATTTTATTTGCGGCTGAGATTCCTACATGAGTATCATCTGCGAATATATTTACTTTGATGATAATGCGTTTGGCAAGTCGTTAATATAGATGAGGAATAACAGAGGTCCTAATATTGGTCCTTGCGGAACTCCTATGTTCATGTTTCTAACATCAGAAGATATGCCTTCCACCATTACAGATTGAGTTCTATTCGAAAGATAGGACTTAATCAAACTTAGTTCCTTATTTTTAAACCCGTAGTATTCTAGTTTCTTTATAAGAATATCATGTCATGGGCAGTCGAAGGCCTTTGAAAATCACAAAATTGTAGTATGAAGCATAAGACTTTTTTCTGATCGCAATCTCTGTAGCTCTTCCTGTCCTAAAGCAATATTGGCTGTCTACGAGCAATTTATTAACCTCTAAAAATTATGTTATTTTTCTTTTCAATATCGATTCCAAAATTTTTGATATAATAGGCAGTACACATACCACGTACCGGTCTGTAGTTATTTACGGCGTCATATGTAAAGGTTATTTATTATACGACCTACTTTCAACACATCAGGAAAAATTCCTACTGTAAGGCATTAATTAAATATAAATAGTAATATGTTTAGTAAATTATCATTTTGAAAAATCAGGCATTTAAGCACCCCAGGGTCTATATTAGATCGTTTGTTTTTTTTAAGTTCTTTATAGTCAGAGTAAGTTCATTATAATATAGGTTAAAGTTCATAGTTTATTTTTCTTCTTTAGCTTTATATAGGTATGACATACATTTATCGATATTCATAGATAATGTTTCACTGGCTTTATATGCTACTGTAATGAAATATTCATTAAAATAATCTGCAATTTCTTTTTTACTTTTTATTGCCATATTATCCTTTTTATTTTTAATTCTATCTATTACTGCTCTTTTTAGATTTCTTTTAGTGTGTTCGTTTACTATTTTCCAAATTTCTTTTATTTTATTACTGGATGCTTGTATTATTTTAATACAATCAAATTTTCTTCTAGCCAAGATCGTATTTTTAAGAGCCTTTTTATACAATTTCTCTTTGAGCATGGATGTTACATTGAATAATTTCCATTTTAGACAGATTGTTTGTTGATATTACTATACCATTTTAGACATATTGTTTTTAACCGACTTTAAAAAAGGAGGAGGTCCTCAATTCGACTGTTTTTTTTACATGTATGTTACGAGGTAACTCCGCCATTTGTGAACCGATTTTGACGATTCTTCTTTCGTTGGAAAGAGGGTACCTCCATAGTGATCTCATTTAATTATGAAGAAAATCATCTACCTCTAAGGGTGGTTGTTCACGCTTGAAGATTCATTTTTATAAATAGCGCCTAAATTTTATTATAAGGAGCAATTATTTTAATGATTGATGCTCCCATTCAAGGTTTTTTTCTCTCAATATACTTTGAGTAGTGAGAACCGATTTTATTGTCTCCCGTGTCAAGTTCCGTACAGTTTCGAACTAGGGGATGAATCCGGGTTTGCGCGCTTTCCGGTAACCGATTTCAATAAAACTAGGCAAGTAGATGTAATTCCACGTACCTTTGAGGTCGGTTTTTTCAGTACTCTGTACTGAGATTATTTGATATTATTGTATATTTTTCTCACTGGAATAACTACATCAAGATAATATTTGATTGTTTCTAAATAACTATTCATTTTTTTCATTTGTGTCATCCGTATTTAAAATTATTCAATAAATTTGTAATCCTTATTTATTAAATAATTAAAATATATTTAATTATATTCAGTCCATTTCAGGACGAAATAGGAATTTTTGATCAACAATTTGTTATTAGTAAATAGTTATAAGTAATATTGTTAACAATTGTACGCGTGCAGCGCACAAGCAGTGCCTTTGCAGCACATTCGCCAGATCTGTAGGCACCCTTGAGCAAGCTGAAATAAAAAAGGAACTTTATTTTCTAAAATTATAAATTACAAGTCATTTTATGCCAATGTGTAGAGTTAGCACTTTTCTATCTACTCTTATCATTTTGATCCTTTTCAAACAATGTATTTTTTATTGCAAGAATCGGGCACGATCCGCTCAAAATCATGAGGAAAAAACAAAGAACATGGCCCCGCACCGTTGTTCGGTATCGGACCGAGTCAGGCGCCAATCTCCAGCTGCGAACAAAGTAATAAATTTATAATTAAATCTGAAAATAAATTAAAAACTCAGACTGCATTCGAGAGTTAACATATTAATTTATGTTCCAGAAAGTACTGAGTAAAAGGCCAGAAGTATCATCTCTCATTTCGAAAAATCAAGCTACAGTAAGTGGTTCCTTCGTATTTAAAAATTAGTTCAATATAGTTTAAATATGTAATTGCTAATTGTAAGTAAATAAATTTTTATTATTATTATTTATATAAAATGTATACTTTGTCGATTATGATTGGATCACAAGAGATAAACGACGTGAATCTGGATCGATTTCGACAAAACTATTGCAAGGGCAAAGTCCGAGTGAACCCAGTGTTGTATACATTAAACTCTTATTTATGTTTTTGCTATGAGTTGTATTTTGTTTGGCATAAAGTTCATGAAATAATATTAACTGTATTTTCAGAATCTCCAGCAAAAGATGCACGTGATGCATTCTAAGCAGCAACTACAAGTACGCTATCGTAGAAATATTTTTCATCTTTTCATTATAGAAAACATCTGGTACAAAAATATTTAATTTTAGCAAGGAAATTTTAAATTTAAAAATTAATTATTAATTTTAAAATTTTAAAATTCGTTGGCTTTAATTTTAATAACTTTTTCAATTATATTTTGTATTGGTTAAAAACATTTTTCTTTTTTAAACTAGGATGTACCAAAAGAGTACGATGAGTCAGAGCTGGACCACGATTTTAATGAAATGGTTTTAAATGCCACTGAAGAAGGTAAGCCTGTTGTCATTATCTGATTGCAACTATAAAGTATAGTATTTTTTAACCGAAAAGTATAACATTATTTCTTGCAATTTTTACCATTATTGCCTTGTTATCATTTACCATTGCCATTATTACCTTGTTACCATTTATCATTACCATTATTACCTTATTCATAATTAAACAAACCAAAATTTCAGACGAACACACACAAGATATGCCATCTGTGACAGAAGTAATGCTTGATTGGCAAGAGAAAAAAATGATATTTGATAAAATGAAAAGTGAACTGGAATCTCGACAGGTAGGCATAATTAATCGAATTAATAAGCTTTAGAGCCAATTTGTTCAATGAAAGTTTGAACATAACAAGTTCTTTTGTTACAATAGAATGAGATTATGGACTTGTATGCCGTTCTAAAGAAAGATAAAAGAGCAATGTCCGCTCATGGTCACCAATTACCTTCCACTGAAGAATTAAAGATTATGAACGTGGCAAGAATGTCTTCCTGTCAATTATTTCAGCTTTACACAGGCTCTAAAAAGATTGAAGGTAAGTTTTGCTTCGATTAAAACTGTCATGTACTATGTAACATTAGGTTTCTTTATTCGAGATCACGTTTAGGCAACAACTGAATATTTTTTGAAACTAGTCAGTGATATTGTCTTTTCAGACCCCCGCCAAGGAAAGGGCAATTTAAATATTGACGTAAATAAGTTTTACAATATGCCTAATAATATAATTGGTGTTTGCGACCAGACGTTAATAAAAAGAAAAGAAATTATCGATTGGTTTGAGACTTTGATAAAAGAAGAAAAGGTACGCACGTAACGAATTTTAGAGAATATATTATTTGACTATTACGTATCAACATATCAAATCAAACAAGTATACTATTTTATGTGGTCTGTGGGTACTATATTTAAGATCATTGGGTACTATAATAGAAATTTAGAGAGCAACTCGATCAATGTAAACTTTTCTTATCCACAACTAACCACACACGTGTATGTCACGCGATTATTCCCACCACAGACCACATAAATTTATTTCTTCCTTCCGTGTTTCCCACACTTATAAACCAATTTCGACGTCTGTTTTTTTGGAAAGTGAATACCTCAGCAGTGGTCTCATTCAATTTTCCAGAAAATACACCACTAAATTAGGGGATTTAAGGATTTATTGTACTGGTTTAATGGATTTTACCTACTTTCCGTTTACTCGATTGCAATAAAACTTGACAAATAGCTGCAATTCCACAAACTTGGAAGTGTTTTTTTATAAAAAGTATTATTTACTATTTGATGACCATTGGAATTCAATTTCAGGGTATAAGTACATACAAACTTACAAAGAAAATTAACCAATTCAATGCAGAAAATGAAGTACTCAAAAATTCATTACAAACCGTGAAAGCTGCACTTTTTCTGGAACTTGACGAAATTGTGGGTTACTTGAAGTAAGTTCAATTGATATTGAAACTTTTTGACAAATGTAAATTACGAATATATTGTAATCATAATGTGATTGTTGCAGGAAAAGCGTGAACGAGACCATAGCCTTTCAGCTGCGGACGGAAGATCTGACTTATGAGTTATCGGAACTAAATTCATTGAACGCTGACCTACGGAAACAACTTCATACCGCTGATAACATGAAGTCACCTACAATTAAATATAAAATTCAGGTTTTTATAAACCCAAGAATAAACTCGCAAAAGTCGTACTTAGGCACTCACTGATGTATCAATAATGAAATTGAATAATTACTACTTAGGACACGTGTTATTATGGTACAACATTACACAGAACTGCAGCGTTTCATACGTTACGCACTGCGACTTCTAAAAACAAATTCTGTACTTATACTACAAAAATGTATCTAGTTGGTGATCATTTACTTCTCATGTCCCATAGCCTTTCCAGAATCTCAATTTTTACTTTGATTTCAACACAATATTCCGTACAACTAAAATGAATTACGTTCCTGTCAACGTACTATTTAAATACTAGATTTCAATGAATAACGTTTTGTGTTTCTTTTTTTCCAACGAACATTTTTTAAAGTTTATTATTACCTACTAAAGTAAAAAAAAACGTTGAAACAAGGTTTTTTTAAGCACCTGAAAAAAATTCCGCCGATTTCACGCCGATTACTTCGCCACCATCAGACGCTGCTGCGACGACGATTTTACAATCGGCACGCATTATCTATAGTCGTGACTAAAAAAATGGGCAAAAATGAACTTTTTTTATTTAATCTGTATTTGTGTCATATTAGTGAACAATGTGTCTATGTATCGATCTAATAACATTATGTTCGTTTATAACGGTGTATTTTAACAGGAATTAGAGAAAGAACTAAAGGAGGAGAAATGCAACAAAAAAATGATCAGAGATAGATTAACTCGGGCAGAAGGTCAACTAAAAATTGGCAATGACCGCGTGACGCACCTCGAAGCTGCATTGGAACAGGCTCGCCAACAGAATTGGACACTAGAACGTACCGTGCAACAACTAAATGACCAGGTTAGCTATCCCCAGTGACGATTTAGCAGCATTATGCGCAGAATCGAGCCTCCCCTAACGAGTCGACGTACCATATCGCTCCCGCGCGTTTAGCACGCTCTGGGCAACAATCGGCAAGCACCTTACACCAATCAGCAAATCCTTTCACAGCGATAGCAAGCATTAGGGCGCATTTATTTCATCGCGCTCACGCCGCGTGCTTCTAACTGTCATGGCAAAATACGCTCTATTTGTTTAACTTTTACGTTTTAACTTAAATGAGCGTCCCGGGCACACGGGCGAGTCTGGCTTGAATTTGGCCTACGCAGCGGCCCGCGCGGCGGCCGGGCGTTGTATTGTTCTAAGGAATTTAAATGTTGTTGCCTAGTAAATAGAATTCAGATTCGCCATTAATGTGTTAATAATGTACATGAAGGAGTAATAACTGGCGTTCGCCGTGCGGCGACCGTGCGAAAACTTACGCCTCGTGTAACTGGGCTCTTATAGTGTATGCCATCGACACGATAAAGAGAAGAGACACGCCGTTCGCAAGTTCAATCCAAAATCAATGTGGCAACAGACATTGATTCGAGCCGGCATCGGCAGATCGAATGAATGTTATTTATATTGTTCGATCTTTGTATCATTGATAATAACAAACTAGTGTAGTAATTCACAAAAAATATGATGAGAAAAGTGAATATCTTGGTGGTAAAAATATAAATTTTATAAAATAAAATATAAATATCTTAACACTTTAATTTAGCACAAAATCAACAATTTTATTATATTTATTATTTATTCACCAGAACCAAAAATTACAATCAGAATTTGACAAAGAGTTAAACAAATTCACTGAGTCAATAAGAGTGAACACCGTGCATCTCGAAGAAATCGCAATGGCGCGAGAGAAACTGCAAATAGAGTATGTTACACAATACAACATTTATTATAAATTAATTGATACAAAATTATTATCATTTTTATCATGAATTATAGCAACAGAGTGCCTGATTGATAAGTTAGTTTCGTAGTAGAAGCACACACAACGCAGCCAAGTAGTATTTAGATAACCTTAGCACTCAATTCATCATATTATGAAGTGCTTAGAACTTGGGTATAATTTAGTATATATACTACAGAAAAGAAGACCTTGAGAAGCGTTTAGAAAAGTTATCGGACACATACAACAAATCGCTGGAAAAGATGCAACGGGAAGCTGATCTCAACTCAGAGAAACTTGCAGAAGCTGAAAAGAAGTTTGATGACGAAAAAGAAGATAGACAAAATTTGGACACAAAACTTAATAATATATGTGCACAACTGTTTGAATTGGAGTTACGTTACAAAGATACATTAAATCAATTGCAAGAGAAGGATATTCAGTACAGTAAGTTTTAGTTTATAGAAACAAACAGAGCTTGTATTATTCAACGATAGATCCTTTCTATTGGCTTGCTTCCTCTTTATTGTGTTCTGCACATGCAGGGGATGTAGTTTGCGATAATCACCAGGTCTAGAGTACGGTCGTCATATGAATTATTCATAATACTGATAATATTTTGCTTTAATGTAAATCACAGTAGTCATGCTAAGGCCTATTTGATGTACGGACGACAGCATATCAAGTTAAACCATAACGGATCTTATTCCGTTGCTATGGAGGTTATATTCCAACAAAAGTGTATAGCTTGGTGTGATATTATTAACTGTACGTTAAGCCGAGCGGCTTTATTTCAATATTGAAATCTAACTGACCAATGTTAAATATCAACGTGAACAATGTTAAGTCTTCATCAATAATCATTTTGGATGTAACGTTTGCATTTGATTTTATTCATTAGTTCCTGTAGCTGATGCTGTTGAGCGCTTTTCACCTAAACTTTTATTTCTCACATTCTAGCGCGATGATTAGATGTAAGTTTTTATTACACTTATAGAACAACTTATGAGATTTAATTATAAATACAAAGGTCGAACACTTCCGATCCGGGCGGATTCGTACCGACGTCTCCTAGCAAACCGTGGCAGACGCTATGCCTACTAAGTCTCGGAATGAACCAGCGTACCTCACGAATTTTTGTATGTGCTTGTTGTCGGATCTTTGTATTTGGTTTTCAACGATTTTTTGGCCGTAGCGCCATCTATGAGAAATGTAAGAAAGTATTTCGTCACCCAGTTACGTACCTTTACAGCTACCAGCCCTGGCTAGAGATTTTGCTATTAACTGTAACAAAATTTTTATTGAATGTCAGAATGTTTCACCACCATTCAATATCTTTTTGTGAAATTACTCCACTAGTTTGTTTTGTTTTGTGTCGTTCCGTGGCTTAGTTGGCATAACGTCTGGCACGGTTTTCTAGGAGACGTCATTTCGAATCCGGCCGGAAGACAGGAATTTTTTCTAAGGAATCTTTGTATTAATAATTATTACAGACTAATGTATTTCAAATATTTCATTTCGATATTTCTTAAGAGTGCTGCATAATCTTTTTTATCGGTTGTCTCACTTATCGAAATACCAAATAAAATTATTTCAAACACGGAAATTAGTGTGAAATAGTACAATAAAATAAATATCACTTACAGATGAAGCCATAAATAGCAAAAATCAACTAGAAGCTGCAGCACAAAAAGAAGTTTTAACAGTTACACAAGAACTGGAAGCTGCTAGACAAGACTTAGAATTAGCTAATATAGAACTTGATGATTATAGAAAACGTTTAATGAATCAGGGTGATACTATACGGGAAATAGAGGTTAGTTTCCACTTCTGAGTATCAGTAAAACATACGTATTGAATGACTTTGTTTAAGTTAAATATTATAAACATAATAGAAATGTTGGAGCATTTTTATACAATATCCGTCCGCATTATGGCGTATATTTTAGAAATTATAGGTTGGGAACGTGGGAACCTAAGCATGCGTTATTTATATAAATTACAAAGACATCATAGTCTAAATTTAGTCAAATATGAAATTGAAGATGTCCTTCAAAACATAAATTACAACGTTGAAACTAAAAGTAACCAAAAGAGAATAACTAAAATGCTTCTTTCTTAGGAACACTATTATACAAAATATAATACATATGTCAAATTTATACACGTTAGGAAAAGCAATTCCAAGTAAAGCCTTGTTGACAAAAAACTCATTGGTTACCTACTTGAAATCGCTTTTTCTCGCGATACTAGACTATAGACCTAACTATGAAATGCCTTACACATTGTCAGCACAACTTAAAAGAAACCATTAGCTTGGAGAAGAATTTGACAAATGAACTTAAAAGAAAAGAAGAGTACATTGAGGAACTCGTTAAAAAACAAACTATTTTAGAACAACAACTACAGGAAGGGTTAGTGATTTTTTTGCATTGTAATTATTTTTGTTAACGCCAAATACCTAGACAATATAAACGAGTAGAAAAAACTAACGCAACCGGAGGAAGCGATAGTATGTATATGCATATGATACCATAAATTGCAAAGTCAAGGTATTATGACGAAGTTTCAGGAATATCATACTTAGATGACAAAATGATAAACAATATGATAACAAAATTTAAATTATTAACTTTTGATTACAGTGAATCGAAGATGGAATCCTACGAAAAGCAAATGACATGTCTTAAAGAAAATATAAGTAAATTAAGAAAGGATTTCGGAGAATTTGAAAATTTGACTCAACTTCATGATATGGTAATTTAACATGAGATGCTTACATATTTCTAATTAATGAAAGAAAAGGCTCAAAAATATTTTATTTTCGCAGATGAACCAACAACGTACAAAATTGTTAGAGGCAACTCTACAGTGTAGCAAATTAGCGAATGCACTTGAAATGAAAGATCTTGAACTTGAAGGTCACTTACAACATATAACTGAACAAGAAGCCATCTTAGATCGACGCGATGGTCTAGTTAAACTTTTAAAAGATAAAGAAGTAGATCAAAATAATATGATAAAATTGTTAAAAGACAACTTGGAAATGCGCGCTCAAGCAGACACCGATGTAAGTTACATAACATAAGCATCAAAATGAGTGTATCTCATACAATTCACCAATATACTTCTGAATTATTCTTTTATTGCAGTTAAGTCAACAAATCGTACATAAGAACCGAGAAATCGAAACTCATATCGCAAACTTGGAAACAAGTAAACAACAAATATTACAATTAGAAAAAATCATTCTTGGTTTAGAAGATCAATTGCGGAAAATAAACTCGCTAAGAAGAAAAGATCAAGAGAGAATAAATTTATTAGACAAAACACTGAATGAACTTGAAGCTAGTCATACAGAATCCAACCGTTATATGGACACTCCTGTAGATAACCTTGATGACTTAATTAAAATACTTGAGGACGAATTAGGTACGTCGTGTCAACGCGAGTTTGAAGACCGACAGGTAAAAATTCTAAAAAAGCAGTACTTTGAAGATCGAAACAAGGAAAAACTTGACAAATATGAACATCAGGATGGAGATAATTCTTTGTACCAAGCGGAGCACGACAAAATGCCTACAAAAATTGTAATGGGCAATTTTGTCAAAAAGACATACTTGACATCAAGCGACGAAAAATATAAAGGGGAACTCGATCACAAGAAAGCAATTACAAGTATCGATGCGCAGAACTGGGTACCCCTTCATGCGGAAACTGAGTACGCTATAACTTCCGGTTCAAATGTAGACATGCTACTACCCCACAGAAGAACGATTCCGACAGCGCAAATTAAAGACCAATGTTTGTCGAGAAAGTTCCAGTTACTGACTTCTAATCAACGTGATGAAAAAAAGTGCAAAATGTTTAAATTGGCTGGGCATAGGCTCTAAAGCATTGACTTCGTGTTTTAGTTTTGTTTTTGTAACGTAATAAAAAACTGTAAAATATTTAAATTGGCGGGGCATAGGCTTTTTAAAGCTTTAAGTTATGTGTTTTAGGTTCATCATTCTTATAACGTAAATATAATAATATTTGCGACAACTATTGAATCTAATTTTAAAAAAAACATTACAAAACGCTAAAAGTAAAAATTTATTGAAATAATTAAGAAATTAACAAAGTAACGAGAGAAGCTAAATGATTGTGAGTTCGACGGCAAAGAATAGAGAGCGCGCTGCCGGCGTGGTGGGCTTAAATACAACGGCCCTCTCCGTTCACTCCATCGAATAGCGTGATGTTGCAGGTTGCGTCCACTAGACTAGGGTTTTCTCCTAGTACAGCCTCTCCTGACGTGTGGCCGTCCCCGGTCACATCTTCAGCCGATGAATCTCCTCTGGATGGACCGGGACATAATTTAAAGTGTGACCCCGGGCAACCCGTAGTTGATGGTCGTGAGCGGCCCGTGCTGAGTGATTCGGGCTCCTCATTGGACACTGTTTCACGAGTAATCACGAACCGTCTCGCGCGCTGATTCGATGACTTTCAGCCCCCCGAACAAGCCGGTTTCCGAAAGGGCTTCAGTACCATAGACCACATCCACACGCTGCGGCAGGTTATACAAAAGACCGAGGAGTATAAACCTGCCATTATGCTTAGCGTTTGTGGACTATGAGAAAGCCTTTGATTCGATCGAGATTTTAGCGGTGCTACAGTCTCTACAACGGTGCCACATTGACTATCGATATATCGAAGTGTTGAAGTGTTTATATAGAAACGCCACTATGTCAGTTCGACTACAGGACCAGTGCACACGGCCTATCCAGTTGCAAAGAGGAGTGCGACAGGGAGACGTAATTTCTCCGAAACTGTTCACCAATGCATTGGAAGATGCCTTCAAGTTACTGAACTGTAAAGTACTCGGCATCAACATCAATGGCGAGTACATGACTTGCCTTCGATTTGCTCACGATATCGTGGTCATGGCAGAATCGTTGGTAGAGCTTGGCACCGTGCTCGGTGATCTCAATAGAGTTTCTATAATCGTACCCCATAGTAGTACTCCGCACCTCATTGGGCGCTCGGCGCGCCTCCCTTCCCTCGTCTGGTAGAGCACCACCCTGTCCTCCAGGTAGTGCTTCACCAGAATACCCTTCTACCTGACCGTTCTCGTTATGCATATCGGGGGTGATAAAATGAATTTGACACCCTAGGTCACAAACTCACTTTTGGAAATCCGCGCTTTCAAACATACGTGCACGATCACATACGATTAACTTGGGTGTACCGAACAGTGATATAGCATTAGAAACCACCTGCTTCAATTCGTTCGAGTTTTGTTTTCTAACAGCATTAAGTAAACAATATTTAGAAAAAGCATCAACGGTGTTTATTACAAATTTAAAACCATGAGACTCGGGAAGAGTACCCAGTACATCCATATGAATGGTACTGAACGGAACATCGGGTTTATCCCATAAAGTCATAGGTTGGAGAGGTGCTCTATGGACTCGTTTAGAGGAGAGACAAATCAAGCAGTGACCAATATTCTTTTTGACAAAAGCTCGTAGACCAGAGAACCAGAAACGGCGTAATATTAAATCAACCGTGAACAGCGTGCGGTTAGGTATTAATTTGGTGGTAGTGCTTGTCTGACAATTAGTGTGTCGTGTTGTATGCAGCAAATACCAACCGCCTGCTGTGCATGAAATTGTGATAAAATGAAGATAAAAATATAAACTACCCTATTAACCCTAACGGTGAGATGTCAGGGATCGTTCCAATGAATTTATCTAATAGTGTAGCCCTACAACCTAACAGTGTATAGCTTAACCTAACCATAAATATATAAACGGAGAAATATATATGCAACATATGAACGGGAAGTCTGTCACCATGAGACCTAAGGTGTGGAACGGAAGGTTGGAAGGAGGTAAGGAAGTACATGTCGTGCAATGTTTACTGGAATGGTTTTCTCACTGCCGGTCAAGCAGACTCACAAGACCGATCTACTGATGGCTAAAGGTGTCTTGGCCACATTGAAAGGAGTAGCGGGTAGTACAAAGCAGGATGATGAGTTTGATGAGTTAAAATCAGATTGTAGTGGATAACTGAGTATATTTACAAATCTTATTACTATTTATACAATTTTTATAACTAATACAATAATGGTAGGTTGTTCTTAGTGTGCTATGTGTGTTGGTTGCCAACGAAGCTCTTTTCTGTTAAGTAGTGAATTATGTGGCACTGCAACTGTTATGGGCATGCGTGTAGCTTACCACCAGGCTCACGACTTGTTCGTCCCGTCACTTGGTATTATAAAAAAAAATAAAAATAAAAAAATGTCACTATGTTGCACTTGTTGCCTGATGATGAAGCCATTTCTTGTGAAAAAAGCAAAAGTTTTTAGTTCTTTATTGCCACAATATAAAGGGCAAGCGTTTAACAATTATTTCGAGACGAACTAGTCTGGTGAGGTTGCTGATGTATAAAACCGAGAGGGTAGGTAACCATCATAACGCAATATGTGTGTCATTTGTCATAAGTGGATCAAATTGTTTTAATTTGATTTATCTGAAGATTCAAAGGTTTTGCTATTGCTAATATTAAATTTAATATTTATGTTTCTGGTTTAAGTAGTGTTTGGTGACAATGAAAAGAGGGAGGAAGTTTGTTGTGCCACTCGATGAGCAAAAAAATGCATACTGGAAAAAAAAAATAAAAAAAAGTGTTTTTCCAATAAATATGATTTACCGCTGCCTAACGATCCACTATTTAGTAAAATTAGTACCCTTTTATTACATAAAATTTCCACACAGGCACTATATCTTTCTGTAAAGAAATATTTCGACTTTTTCTTCAGTGGCCCTGATAATCCTGCTATTCGTTATGAAGATCAAAACAAATATCTGTCTAATGATAATCAATCAAAAAAGGAATACAAGGACGAAGTAGCAGTCAGTAAAACAGTAATTTATAATTTTATTATTGATACCTATCAGTGGGAACGAATGCAACCGTTAAGTAAACGTATAAAGTTAAATCATGGACCTGAGACTGAATTTAGAATGAAACATCGCTTGCCTAAGCATCAGTTCGCCCATTTTTTGCTCGAAAAGATTTGGGAGGTTCATCCCATTGCACACAGTTGGATATTTAAACAGTATTCTATTTCTAAGAATAATAAAATAACGTGCAATGGAATTTGCAAAGAATGTAAGGCTAACACAAAAATTATAATTAACTGGCCTTCGAATAAAATAGTCCTGTGTAAGTGCACTGTAACAAACTACGATAAAAATTTTGTTCATACTTTAGCTAAAAAATTAAAACTATATAAATTTTTAACAAATATATAATTTCAACTAAATTCTTTGTTAATATTGCGTTATGATGGTTACCTACCCTCTTGGTTTTATACATTAGCAATCTCCCAGACTAGTTCGTCTCGAAGTAATTGTTGAACGCCTACCCTTTATATTATGGCAATAAAGCATTAAAAACTTTTGCTTGTTTAGTTTAGTCAGGCACTTTTTCGCAAAATTTTCAATCGGTTATATTTTTTAAATTAATGTAGATATGAAGCATATACCTTTAAATCGTGAAGGTAGCAAATAGGTAGCAATTATTGGTAATACATACTTCTGTAAAACCTGCTCCCTTCATGCTGAACAAAGAGGCGACCAGCCATCCTGATGTCAGAATGGCTAGTCAACATTTTTTTTTAATTTCTCCGAATATATCATAGGTAGCAATTATTTAGAAAAGGTAGCAAATAGTAGCAAATGGGTAGGAATTCTTGAATATACACTCGGTGCCAAGCGCCACAGGCGACCAGCCATCCTGACGGTCACACGTATTTGATATATTTTTTAATTCAATTCGTATACATTTGGGTTGTTAATGCACTTGAATGGTATAATTTTACGGATACATTTTTGTAAAAAACTTTTGTGGTAGTGGTTTTAGACAGTTAAAAATTTAAATAGTACTTACATGTGAAATGTACAATTCTGCGAGTTACATCCGGGCACTGAACACGTTACCATGACTAATAAACGAAACTAATAAGAATTCGACTAAATCTTGAGGCATCAGTTTGGCATTTGTTGCAGCTGCAACGAATCTGAGGGTCGGTTATACCACGTATTATAATAAAACAATTTGCAAACGTAATAGGGAGCGCCTAGAGTATTCCGCATACGTGGTATAATCGTCAGAGCTCGTACACATCACTTCAAACAAAATGTAAGAAATATTAATTCGCCTTGAGCAAAGAGGTTTAAAATCAGCTTTATAGTTCGTCCAGCTGCGTCAGCTGGGTCACTAACGACCACCCAATCGTTCAACCAGCTGTTAGCATCACCTTTTAAGCAATTAGCAATTCTAAACAAGCACTCATTGTCATCCCAGCAATTTAATTCGCGAGCCTTATCAACCTCTTCGCGCCAAGCGTCAATATCGTTTAAACTCGGATCAAAATTTGAAATGTAATAACGGGTAGATCTTACTTTTGTGAGAGCACTCAATGCACCGATGATTCTGTCCGTCGCGTCTACACTTTCCGCCGTCTCAACGGAGGTGTACCCTATGCTGCCACACGAGTCTGAGGGAGTGCAGTCGCGCGCCGACACGACGGCGCCACCGGCCGTGCCCGCCCCGTTATGGCACGAAAGGGCCGCCAACGCCGACGCACCGGCCGCTCCCGCGGGCCCGACGACGTTCCAGCGTGTTCAGACGCGTTAGGATAATTCCTAACTGCTCCTGTATAGTTTCTATATATATAGTTGAAGGCTCATAACCCGTAAGAACGCGCTGCCGACGTGGCGGGCTTAAATACAACTGCCCTCTCCGTTCTCTCCATCGAGTGACGTGATGTTGCAGGCCACGCCCACTAGACTAGGGTTTTCTTCTAATAATAATATAACATCATTAAAAAACAGTGTTTACAATTGGCTGGGTATAGGCCTTTTCAAGCTGTGTTATGTATTTTAGTTTCATCATTCATAAATACAATAAATACAATAATATAAATCAATAAAACAGTGTTTACGGTAGTGTAAATAATAATTATATTTGTGATTTTGTGACACTGGGCACGTGACAGACGAAAAGCACCCGCTTAGATTACCTATAGCAAAAAATGTCTTGGATCTGGAAAAAGAAAACAAATGATTGGACAAAACGAATTAATTTAATGAACACAGAACACCTATCATCATCATCAACCCATTTATATGTCTCACTGCTGGGCACGGGTCTCCTTTCAGACGAGAGTTTAGGCATAGTTATATATATATAGGCCACAACGCGGGTTTGGGACTTCACACGTTTTCCGAGGGTTGTGAAACTTCTTCAACGTGCAGGTTTCATCACGATGTTTTCCTTCACCGAAAAGCTTATGGTAAATCTCAAGTTAAATTTCGCACATAAATTCCGACAAACTCAGAGGTGCGAGCCCGGATTCGAACCTACGACCTTCTGCTTGAGAGGCAGTATTTCAAACCATTAGGCTACCACGGCTTCAGACTTTAAGAAAACCTATAAACAAAGATAATAAGTGAAGCAGAAAATTAAATTCCATTGAAGAGCAAAAGATCTACCAAAGCGTTCCTCATCATAGGACTGTGCTGCTGGGACGAAGTACAAGAATGATGTGTGCGGAGAACTTCTCTTTCGAGCAATGCGCGGCGGCGCTCGAGCTGCGTGCGTACGCGCCCTTCACGCTCGAGCTGCAGGCTCTGTGCAAGCACGGCGCTTTCTAGCCGTAGCACGCGGGCGCGCTCTGCTCGCAGTGCAGTCCATGTCTCCGCGGCCGTCGCACATACCGACGATAGTGACCGAGACATCTGCATAACAGGCATTTCCTATACGCTGATTCCATAACCCTAATTATTTCGAACGGGCTTTCTAACATTGGGAACGCAGAATTAAAGTCTACTTTAAAAATTGAAGTAATGCTACCTCAGCTTGATGGACGTCAGCAATGTGTTGTGGGTCAGAGCGACTTTCGAGCAGGGCAGCTAGATCTCTTCGTGCTCGAGTGACTCGTGCAAAGAGGTCGGCGGCGCGCTCGTGCCTCTCGAGCATCAGCGCACGTGACGCCGCCGCTGTCACCAACGCCGAACGCTCGCGCGTTAACGATTCCACTTGCATATGCATTTCGAGCAACTATATCCAACACTCTTTTGTATAAACACACTGTTAAGATAAATAAAATTCCTAATAGCAACGATCTTACCTCTGTTTCAATTTCTAGATATGGAACTTCTTTGGCATAACAGTCATAATTTCGTAACCTTTTTACCTCCAGTCGTAATGAAGCTAATTGATTTTCATATTGTGTCATACTGTTTTCCCTGTATTAATAAATAACATAAAACGTCAATTTCATAAAGCGTAAGAACTTACACAATTAAAAATAAGAAAAAAGTTTTTCTAACATTAATTTCTCGTTTTCTCGTAATTCGTCGATAATACGCTGCAGTTTAGCAATCTTTTGTTCTTTATCCAACAGTTCTGTTGCCATTTTGTCTTGTACGTTTTCTTGCCCCTCTTGCTGTAATGTGACAGTCCATTAGGGCTCTGTGCCTCTACCATGACTTTACTGTGACAGTTGTCGCTGGCGACTGCGTAAATTATTACATCACAATTTTGAATAGAATAGAATTAATTTATTACAAGAATCAATTTTGCATGGCATTTTATACAGCGTCTCTAGCTGTCACAAGAAGAAACTACATTTAGTATACAAACACATTTTACGCGGTCGCTAGCGATAACTGTACTGTAATCTCATCCAGAGTTCTTTAAAAAGTAAGACATACAGACAATTCCTCGTTTCGATCGCCAGAATAATTGTATCGATCCGTTGCTACATGCCTGGAGTTCAAATTAACGATATAAACATACACTGTCTGATCGTGAAGACAAATCACCCGTATATGAGAACCTTGACATTTTTGTGATTGTGATTGTGATTATCCACTATTTGTATAGCACTTAGTACAAATATAGTGGACACATAAGTGAGGGCACCGACTGTGCACTGCATTTTAAATTCTAAGCCCGTATGAAACTAGGGATTTATAAAGGGAGGTATAAAAATTATACTATATCGCTAATGACTCCAGGAATGTTAGTTAACTAGCTTTAAACTTTACCGCTATTCTCGAAAGCGTATTCAAGAAGCTGTCTTTGTCAGCACGACTCTGCTTGAGTTCTTCTTCCGCACGGGACAGTATAAGGCGGGTCGCTTGAAGCTCCTTCCATATTTCAGTTTCACGATCTGAAGGCTCGTTTTCTGTAAAGGATAACGTGTCAGATAATAAAAACAATATTCTCACATAGACTTAAACGAATAACTAATACGAAGAACCTTTGGATGGTACGTATTCTAAGCACCGTCTCCGTTCCATGTCCACAAGTCTGCCAGAACGCTCTCGTAGACTGTGTAATGTGTCTTCTAACTCCTTAACTTTGTTCTCCATTTCAGCAACTTTTAGTTCAGCCGCATCTCTTTTCCGTTCCTGAAATTGCAAATATCTGACAATAATTATATCCATAAACAGGAACTTGGTACGTTGAAAATTAAAATAGTAATGTGTCACGACTTTTGGCACCTGTTCGGCTACCTTCGCCTGGAAGTTCTCAGCACGAGCTTTTTGCTCCATTTCCCGAACTTCTGCAGCCCTTTCTGCTTTCATTGCAATTTCATGAAGTTCCTTCACCCTGCCGGCAAATTAATCATGATAATGTTGCTACTGCACTTACCCAAAATATAAAATTGATACACAATTTTAGTAGCAGTAAAGTTCCTGAGTTTGTCCAGGGAATGTCACCTATTACTGCCGTCAAGCAGTAATGTGAGCATTTCGGCGTTTCGGCTTAGGGTGCTGTTGGTGTTGTTTATCAACTTTGTAAGAGCGACGGGCGTAGTACCAGTGGCCTCAGATCATTGTGATTTAAATCTCCGCGTAATACTACAACTGCTATAGACAGGCGTATCGCTTGCCACAAGACGCACGATTTGTAAGTCGTGTCACTTGGTTTTACACACATAAATTATTTTTTATGTACAACCTGAGTTCGAGTGCGTCACGCTGGCGTGATAGTTGTTCGATTGTCATTTCCCCCGTTTTGGAAACTTCTAACAGTTTCTTCGACCGGGCATCGTAACTTGTTTCACGGTGTCGATACTGCTAGAACAAACATCATGGTATATCAAGTCGATATACACACAATATATTATTAAAGAGCTTAATTCCAATCGATAAACCCTATGTTTATCCTGAATATAATGGAATTTTGAAGGCCTAAGTACACTTCTAAAGATAATAATAAAGCTGTAATATCCATGTAAAAATATTGTCAAGATATTAGATATTGTCGGGTATTTTACAAGTTGTTCTAGATCTTTGTGCTTGCGACGCGCAGCCTCAAGTTCAGACTTGTTTTCCTTAAGGTGTCTCTCTAGGATGCTGATACGGGCGCGGGCTACACGAAGCATGCTCTCCGCTGCCGAGACAACGTCTTTTAAAGCTTCGCGAGCCGCACGTTCTTTCGCTAATTCATCGCTTAGCGCCTGCAAAGGAAATCGACGCTTAAAGTAAGATAAGTTAAAAAGTCACTAATTCACTCTACACAATTCAACCTGATAATTAGCCAGGCTGACATCTTGGCTTGGATTATTGTCTTTGCAATCAGGATATTCGTTCTTGTTGTACTCGTCTATCTTATGTTGCAACATCATATTCTCTTTTTGTAACCGCTCCATCTTCTTCGCGAGCGATTCCCGATCTAGCCAGGGTATTCTATAACATAGCGAATGGTTTAACATGTAAGTTTGTATAGCCAAAAATATTATACTTCTGTATAAATTTCAAACGTACTTTGAAAGTTCTAAAGAGTAACAAATTTTTGCTTTTAAGTTCTGAGCTATTGCAGTAATTTTTCGATGTAGTTTTTCTGTTTCTTGATCCAGCTCATTGTTCTTTGTTTTCCATTCCAAATTCTGCAAAACAAAAACTTTTATAAAATAATATTTGCATTAGCAGTAAGTTGTATTCACTACGATTTGTTTTCTATCTATAAATAATGAAGCCAAAAACAACGACCAAAATTTCTGCCGTAGCCCGTATTCGTATGAGAGAGACATATATAAATAGAGGTAACAAGTAAGTGGCTCAACACACACTGGCGCAGTTTTTCGCGTATAGCATATTTATATCTATTTTCCTATTATTAAGGTATAAATTTGTGTTATGCAAATATGGAATCGCGCGTCGACGCTTGGTTGAAGTCGAGGAGTTTCGCGCGTCGCTGTGCGTTATTCTGCGACTACGAACTGCGACGAGATGAGTGCGCGACAATGGGTGAAAACGAGAAATTAATTTACTTAATCCAAAAATATTAATATCTATATAACATAATAATCATACTGCTGCCACCTTTGGGATGGCTCTGCTACATATCAACTGGCCACTTTGAATTCAATTGACAACCGTGGCAAGAGGCTTATAGGTGACTCGGAATTAGTGGAAGTGAAGCTGCAGAGCCTTGAACACCGCCGTAAAGTTGCCTGCTTATCAGTATTTTACAGGATATATCACGGAGAGTGTGCGATGGAATTACACGATTTAATTCCGCCTTCCCCTTCCCATCACCGGGGGACTAGGCGTAGGCTTGGATTCGCACGAAGCGTTACGCTTCCACATTTATTTGGCGAACGACTATGGAGTGGAATTCCCTGCCTGCAGACTTGTTCCCTGAACGTTATAACTTGGGTCTTTTCAAGGCGATAGTGAATAGGCATTATTTAGGTGTTCATGCTCCATTGTCGACTTCATTGTCACTTTCCATCAGGTGAGATGGAGGTCAAATGCGCACTTATATTTTATAAAAAAAAATAAATCATAAAAATATCTATCTAGGCTTAAATTCGTTACTACAAAGTGTTATACGTCTTTAATTCCATAACTCATGAACCCAAAATTTCCATTTTCTTTTTCTCCCTTCAGCTTCTCATATAATTTCAGTTTAATTTCAGCACGAGCGCCTTTCACGAACTTTCAAAAGTCTCTGAACTGGTCCAGCACTGTGATCCGGGCGCGCTAATGCAAATGTCGTCGACGCGCATCGCCATGCGTTGTAGTTGAAAAACAGGACGAGACGCGACTCTGCGCCGGTGTGACTTGAGCCTAAATGTCACAACGTTAAAATCTAAGAAGTGGGTAAAACAATCAAAGCAAATTATGGCGTATTTAACGTGCATATTTAAGGCATTGCATTGTAGTCTAGTTTTGATTGTTCTATCTACAGTCATAGGAACTTACTGTAGAATAGGAATTGCGGTCGGTGCGGAGCTTTCCACGCAAAAAGTTGAGCAGGTCGATGTAGCGAGCCATCAGTTCTGCACCCAACGATAACACTTCCTCCGGGATAGGGTTCAGCTGCGCATGCAACTGCTGTACCACTTGCGGCCCTATGAAATAAGTTAGTATTATTAGCTTAAATGTCGCTACTGATGGTGACAATTCTTTCAACACACACATTCAAAAATAATAATTTCTCCACACGCGTATACCTAAGTGGGACATGCTTGCCATCGTGGTGAAGGCAAATGCCAATCGGCGTAATTGGTACTCTTCAATTAGTGCCCGGGGTGCGCCAGACGTAAAGAATAAAGAATGAACCAAACGTCGTCGGTAACCTATCACAAACTCGAAAATTTTTTTGTCCGAAATAATGTTTGTTCGAATTCTCATTACACCGAAAACCGAATTGTAACAAAACAATTGTTCTTTTAGGATTTGTTGAATGTTTATCGCAAAGGCACGATTAGGTTCGGTTAGATTAGTTTAAGTTAGGTTCAAGAGAAAAAGAAAAAAATTTCCTCTCAAAATCACTTTCGAGGTTATGAAATTTCGACCAAACGTCATTTCAGGAAAATATAATTTCGGACTACTAATAGGTACCTGTCACGTCATGCGGGGAGGCTGCTTTCGTGCACCCCTAGTGAGTCACAAAAAATATACGAACTAAATAAAACAATTTAGCATAAAAAGTTATCGACTAATCATTCCTTCGACAATTGTTAAACTTCTCCTGTGGTCTTATTACAGGGGTGCGAAATGTTATTCTACATTATTTTTTCTCGCTCATCAGTTTCTTACGGAAATTTAAACAAAAAAGTTTTGTAGTTTTAGACTAAGGGTGCCTTCGAATTAGGCGCTTATAGAGGCGCTATAAGCTACTACCACTACTAATTTTCATACCATATTTAAAAGCGCAGTTGCAGCGCCACAGACGTACACGCGCGCGCCACTTTTGTAGTCACTATTAGTGAACTAAAATGCTTAGCTGCCGCGCCACAGCGTCTAATGTGAAGGTTTATATTTAAGGTACAGAGATATTTTACATTTGAATTATTTACCGTTTTTCTTCAAAATATGTTGGTTAATACCAACACTTAAGATTTAAACTCAATTCTATGGTACTTACGATGAGAACGGTCTAAAGTTTCAATCGTAAATACTGATGATATACGGTTAATATTCAAGGTTATTTGTAAAATTCTAACAACCTCACAGGACTATATTATTAACGTTATAAACAACAGTTTTTGCTCCACGACTTTTAAAAATTCATCAGATTTTATTTTCGTACAAAAATATTTATATCGACCGCGTGATAACTCTGCGCGGTAGGAAAAGAAAGGACCCACCACCATAATTATTTTTATTAATGACAGCACGCGGTAGACGTTGCTAAAAAAATATAAATCCAAAAGTAAAAAGTTTCTTTTTGATACATTTATTATGTTTGGTATGAAGTCTTGGAAGAAAAGTTGTTGTTAATGATATTAGTAATATAGTCATTTGAGGTTGTTGGTATTTTACAATTAACTGTGTGTATTTAGTGACGTTTTACTGGAGTAGTTTCTCAATAATGTTATTTCGACTATTTCCGTAAAACTGAAATGATTCCGAAACTAAATGACTTACCGAAAACTCCCGATATCTCGGGATTGCGCAGCACTTCAAGGTCATCTCGAACTAGCAGTAGCAAATCGTGGGCTGGCCAGCCAGTGATAGACAATATCCGTACTTCACCTAGACTCTCGTCTACCGGAGCCCCCGAGCGTGCTTCTAAGTCCCTCACAGATGCATATAACTCCAACAGGTTATTCTGCGCATTAAAAATAATTGTACATTAGCAGCGTGACAAGCTCAAAATCTTCTTTATAATATTGGCTGTTTGCGAATCGATTTTTGACCAAAGGCATAGTTTTGTATTGAATTTTTTGTTTCAAAAAAGCGAAAACGTATTAGATATTTAAAAAAGAAAAAATAACTGACGGAGCTGGAGGCTAATGGAAAAAATAAAATGGATTGAGAAAATATCAAATAAGGGAGTTTTGAAAAGGGTTAGAAAGAAATAAATCTTTTAAATATAATAGAGAACAAAAAGGGAAAAACGTTTGGACAATAATTGTTAAGTAATGACGAATTTGCGAGAATGATAATTGAGGGGAAGGTAGAAGGGAAAAAAAAAATACCAAAAATGGCTTATAGTAAACAAATAGAGAAGATGATCAACGTGAACAGCTATAAGGAGGCGAAGGAGCTGACTATCCACCGCGAGGAGTGTAGGAGTCTGGTTCTTAAATAGGATAATGATGAGTGAAATAACCATCACGTCAGAACATTTTCTTATTTAGCATTTTAGAGTATCGTATGTCTTTAAAATGACAGTTCATTGCGCAAAAGTGTTCCCCGCTTGCAAGCAGCTAGTGATTGCAGTCGATAAATATTATATCGACTATCGAGTAAATGTAGGTTTCGCTTAAGAAATAAATAGCGGAACTTGTTTCACTATCGGAACTTGTTTCATGTCCAACTGCTGGGCAGAGGTTCATTTGAATTGTGGATTTTTCAAAATTCATACACTCATAAATACACTAAATTTAGCAGCATGTGTATAAAAATACAAATAGGAGACATATTCAAAGTTTTCATTTGAATTTAATATACATAATCAAATCCGCTTGTCATTATTAAAATGTGTATGACTAAAAACTTATTTCGATACTAATAGACCAACTGTCAAAGTAAGAATAAAGAATATAATAACGGCATTAGTAATCTTTAGAACGTCGTAACATTCACAATTCAGACATTTTTGGCAAAATTTTACCTACTCTAACAATATATCGACAAAACTATCGACAACAACTACATGCCTATTTAAAATTTTACGAAAATTGGCAACCCTGCTCATGCCATTTTACTCAATCTTTAAAAAAGACAGACTATAGAATAAGCATAAAATTGTCCGGAGAGATATTCGAAAATGAATAAAACCTAATTGCTAATGCATTCAATGACTTCAATTAGCTGGAGTGAAATTCCTGCCCCCAGACTTTTTCCCTGAACGTTATAACTTGGGGCTTTTCAAGGCAAGAGTGAATAGACGTAATTTAAATGTGCATGACCCATCGTCGGCCTCTTTGTTACTTTCCATCAGCACACATAATGTTATAAAAAGAATCCGATTCATTTAATTATTTGTTAAATGCTATAATGTATAATTGGTATAAATAATACGCAGTAGTAAGTAGTATACGCTAAAAATAAGCGATTTTAGCCATTAAGATATAAGCCTGTATACAGAGTTAGCGTAGGCAAGTGAAAAGATTTTGAACTCTCCATATAGTTTTTGTTACATTTGTGAAAAATTTTGCCGGAGAAACAACAAGCATTACATACATTGTGAAAATTGTTTTGAACGTGTATTTTAAACTTACCATCGGCAACCAGGACAAATCCTGGACACCTAGTAAACTTGTGCGACGTGTATCCGGGAACTTAATAGGGTATCAGATTCACATTAGCTGACATACAGCTGGTGTCCATTATACTTACTTGTTGTGTAATTATGGTCTTTCTCATTTTGATAAACTCTCTCTTTTTCGTCGACAATGTTCGGGTCATTTTTAATACCAAGCATTGTGGTAAAATTAAATCTTTCTCTGTAAAAAAATATTTTATATTAATTACTTTTCCTTCGACAGATCTTAAATAGGTCACCAAACTAAAGCCCCTCTACGAATGTACAAACGTATACGAGTGTTTAACGTTAAAGTTTTGGATATTTCTAGTTTTATTTATAAAAACTCATTGATGTCGTTTTACTTATTAGATAACGTATATCCGATATCAGTTTAAAGGTTTTTTATATTCTCTTATATTTAAGGAATAATCGCCTGGACACACTTAACCTAATGTCATAACGCTCTGTTAAACTACCTGTTTCGATCTGGCTATAATTTATAAACAAACCTTGTTCCTGCACAATCTTACAATTATGGTTTTCAGCGGTAACAGCAGCTGCGCCAGCTTCAATTGGAGTGAACCAATCGACAGACTTTTTTGCAAACTGTAAATTTGTGATTAAATATTAATGTTTGAAAAAAATTAAGTACGCACTATAACTTTACCGTATAAAGTAATTCATGTAAATAAAATACAGCAAGGTCTACTGGGATATTTGAAGACGACAAATAAAAAAGGAAATGAATGAAAATAATTTACTGCAAACTAACTTGGTCGGCTGGAAAATAAACGAACCAAATATTATATTGTTATCTTAAGGCGCGGACGACATCACACAGTTACATTAATTCACAGTACTTTACACCATTTGTTTCTATTCGTTATTCACGACTATACTCTAGCGAAATTCGATGTAGAATAAGTGTCAACAAACAAAAAAATATGATGTGATGATGAGGGTTTTCGCCACGGGCTGTTTTACATTTACCACAATTTAGATATTACTTCCCAGAAATTCGATTAGACTATTGATAATACTAATCTTAAAGCCATGTCTGTGATGAATTTTGTCCAACAGAACTTTCAAACCACTAGTAAGTAATTTGAAACCAACATAAAAAAATTATCAGTAGTTAATTATTTATAAAACTATGTCATCCCTAATTTTTTTTATTTGTAAAGAGAGATTGCAAATATTTCTAGTTCGGGTAGTAATAAGAAAGTAGTAACGTAATTCAGGGACTCTACTCTCGAAGCATGAAATTCGTAGTTGAGGCCTTTTCCCACTAACTACGGATAATCTACGGGACTACTCTCGAAGTCATCAACGAAAAGACAGGCCCATTCGAAACTGTCAAATCGCGTTATCATACATTCTTAGTTCTAGCCCCCAATCGAAACTCAAGTCTTGTAGGTCACCCACAGTGGAAAAACGGCCGAAACTACTTCGAAAGTATCGGAAATTGATGCTGAAAGTGATATGGAGGAAATTAATATTAAATAAAATCTTACAATTTTATTTCTTTTCATCTACCATTAACTACTATCTAGCTGGTAATATTAATAAGTATTTAATTTATAAACAAAAACTTATAGGAAATGAAGTTATTTTTCCTATGTGTAACAATCGCGAAAACCAGAACTCGATAACACTCGATAACTTAAATACTTTATTTATGAATTATACGTATCAATAGGTACTTTGCAAACAATAACAAATTAGCCTGGTAAGTATTACTTCTACACATCGAGTATATAACCAGATATAGAGACGTCATTTAATTTGTTTCAAAACTAATCTGCCAATGACAACTGCGCTCCGATTGGTCAGCCTGAATTCGAAACAATTGACGGGTGTCGTCAATTGTTTCACTTGAAATCGACCAGTTTAACTTGAGCTTTGCTATAATAGACAAAAATTGAAAAATTACATATTTAATATTCAATTACCGATGAAATGTGATTCCGTTTTGTTTTGTAATTAATTGTTTTGCTGTTTCCCACACCACTGAATATTTCCTCTGAATACTTCCCATAGTTAGAGATATTATCTTTAATAAAATAAATACAGAATATTTTTGGAATGTACGGAGACGTACACACAGGTCAATTGTTGGCGCTGTGCTATTTCAGTTTTCTAATTTGTGATTTCAGCACAAAGTAGAGTTGATATTCAAAAGTAATATCAGTACCATTTGACTGAAGAGTTGCCAGTGATGGATGGGCCTTATTTCGTCTCTGTTTCTGATTATATACTCGATGGTTCTACATAATCTTACATAACCCAATTTTTTTATTGTAGATAATTACGCGATGAGGCCGTTGATAGAATCAGCCTAAATATCATTATTTAGCATGTTTTGTCTATGCAAGAGCAGAGACAAAACGTGCTCTTTTCCTATGCCATGGTTAGTCGCCTAGTAACGTTTTATTATTAAACATTAGGTATGTCGGATTTGGCTAAAGTTGAATGTCGTGCTTACTGAAGGAGATAAACTCTGACACCGTCGACCGCGGACGTCTTTTCCACCATTGACGGCAGGTGCACTCTTCAACAAACAGAAATAAGTACAGGAACATATAAGCTGTTTCAAATAAATCCTTTAGTATTAAGTCTAAAACTACAAACATCTGAGATTTGTAAACTGTTCGTTCCAATCTAATATCTTTATAATCGCAATTGTTCACTCTCAATAAAAAACAAACCGAATTAATTCGGGTTCATATTTATTTAAAATAAGCATTAGAATCTTTTGTACTGGAAATGGCAAGAAACGACTAATTAAAAACTCTTTGCAAATGCTCTTAATGATGAGGTATTGGAAACATAAATTGAAACTAGAAAACGAAAATGGTGTACATCCTGCCAGGAGAAAATGAGAATCCGAAGGAGAATCTGCCACGCTCTACAAAAATTTAATAGATGATGAGAGCATTTTGCACTACACTATAGTCCAACGTTGACTACCCTCCCGTAGCCCGGTGAATACATTCACATTACGACATTTCGCGATCGGGCCGGGAAAAAATACTCGACGTCAAGCCGCGACCGTGTCTCGGCCGTGACAGGGACTCGCCCCAGTGTAGCATGAAATTCATAAAAAAGCATATCATCTGCTTAAAGGTAAAACCACATAAGTGACATTTTCCACAAAAAACTTCCAAATTGAATTCAATTCAATTCATTTATTCATTCATTATGTACCAGTTGTAAGAAATTCACCATCTTTCTGCAGATAAGCACTTATTAAGTTTATAGCTTTTTTATTATTGGGCTTCATGTGCAGAAAGGTGGTGTTCTTACCATAGCTATACATATAAATTAGACTTGTTGTGGAAAATGCCACTTATGTGGTTTTTCCTTTAACCAGACGATATATAAAACCGTATCACGGCCGGCGCACGCCCAGAGTACGGCCCGGCCCCGGCACGGTGTAAAATGAATCACCCTTAAATCGTGTAATTCCATCGCACACTCTCCCATAATATATCCTGTAAAATACCGGTAAGCAGGCAACTTTACGATGGTGTTCTAAGCTCTGCAGTTTTGCCTCCATTCATTCCGAGTCAAGACAAGGCAAGAGTCATCCCAAAGGTCATCTTTTTATAAAAAAGCATTCCTAAGGCCTGGCGCCCACTGACGGGTCGGGACAGCAAGGGAAGTTTTTTAGATGTCGAATAGTTATATTAAGGTACCTCTTAAGATTATGTCATTATAGTTACAATTTCAATCATAATGATCGTTGCTGTAAAACAAAGCTGCGGTATGCTTAGGGATGCCGAGCCGGCAGCCTCCGGAATACCTCGGCAGCTTGGGGATGCTTGGGAAGCCGAGTGCGACTATGCGTATGTGAGGCGAGGGGATCGAGACATGCACAGCAAGACTGATCTGAAGAGAGGCCAGGGAGGTGAACATGATGTCCTAATGAAACGCTTCGGCATGCTAAGATCGCTTAGGCATTCTTAAGGATGCCGCATCGTACCTAGGGATACCGTGTCATAATTGCTATCAGTGTGTGCTTGTATGTAGGGTTACCGAAGGATCCCCTGCCGAACCATCTCATCAGTTGGCGCCGGGCCTAACGCGTTCGGGCCCGTACCTTATCCGCTGTGACCTCGGGTTTGCTGGCACGCGTTTTTCTAGATTAGTTCAGTAGCATGATTCCTTTTACAAAAACATTGCTTACTTTAAATACAATAGTTACTAAAAAAAATTTAAAATAAAGAAACGACTACGTGGATTTTAATCTTTTAATACAGATAGATTAAAATCAAGCAATTTCAAACTATATTTTACCACCTCAGGTTTTACTTAAAAAAATGCAGATTTATTTTTATAGATTATCAGTAAGATGATGATTAATAACGATGATCTCACTTCAATATTGGAAAATAATTTGATAAGAACCGACAACAAAAGCGTTCAGAGGCTAATTTCTGAAATTGTGGCCTCAGTATTTCCTTTCTACAATTATAAAAATATATGGTCTGAATGCGACGCCTATTTCACCCAAAGAAGTTAGAGTAACATATATGGTAACTACCCTTGTATTTATTATCTTGGTACCTACGTGGGAGCTATCAACTGGTGTAAAATGAAGGCAAAGTCAAAATTATTAACTATATATGATATAGATAGTATAACAGTTATAAGTAAAATTTTGAGAGACTGGAACTCAAACTAGGCATTTTACATATTAAATATTCTTATTATTATTAGTTATTCAAGGAAAAATTGTAGTAGTCACATTATCTTATTTGTGCATGCATTTGCTGATTTTTTAAGCATAAAGTTACAATATAAAACATTTGTACTATTTTGTATTTTTGGCTCTATTATTACTGAACATTGTTGGTAGAGTTACACGAATGAAGAAGACGTGTGTTAAGAATTCTGTTATCTAATCAATCGAGTAACAATAAATTTGTCAAAATACGACTTTTTCAATGGAGAGTGCATTTGTCGTTCGTGTAAAATCGTTACGTAGGTATACGATGACTTACAAAAAAGCGGGTCCTATCGGTTAAATATTTTATAATCTCAGTAAAGAGTACTAAAAAACCGACCTCAAAAGTCATTCATCCGCTTGTTTGCCTCCCTTAGCGGTAGTATATGTTGTTGAAATTTAAAAGGACCACTACCGAAAACACTACCCTCTTTCCAACAAAAAAGAATCATCAAAATCGATACACAAATGCCGGGGCTATCGCGTAACATACACACAAAAAAAACAGTCGAATTGACAACTCCTCTTTTTTTGAAGTCGGTGTACCGACCAGCACGACTGCGTTGCAGACGTCGATTAGAAGCAAGATAAGTGCTCGCCGGGTTTTTTATGAGTTTGGACGCGTATTTTGAATGCTTTTTATAAAAAGGCAAGCAAGATAAACTCCAGGTAATTTTATACCAAAAAATAACTTTTTTCTGAACACTCGATATGATAATCTGACAATGAAGCACTGTTGATTTTGAGAAGGGAAGACGTAGGGAATGGCCCACAAACAAAGTTGTTTGGGATCCTGTTCAGATTCTACCGAGCATGATTTTTTCCAATACTTAAACCAATTTTGAGGTGGCTGCAATACAAAATCGACTTTATTTCTGTAATTATTGAACTTGCAGGACTGATTTATTCCACAAAAATAAAGACACGTCTGAACGCAACAAAAATAATAATAATAATAAGTCTGAAGTTTGAAGTCTTGGGATTGTTCAGAGTCCATGTTAGAAGTACTAACTATTATCATAAAAAAATACATTTGATATATGGGTTGTTGATGATATGATGATGATATTTATAATTTTATTTTATACATTCATTTTACTATAGTTTTTATATTTATTAGTGTATCAACATTTACTTAATACTTATACATATAATTATGTATTTATTGAGCATGTAGCACTTTATTTATTTATTTTTTATTGCCAACCCAGAAACCAACTTTCCTCTGAATTTTCGAAGGTTAGTTGGAAAAAATCCCTTTATGACATAAGCTCGCTTTTGTACACTAACATTTTAAATTATTTCTTCAAATTTGTAATTTGTTTCGTGGTGCAGTAAAGTGTTTACATGCATACATACATAAAGGAAGCGAAAAATTTAAAAAATCCTCCTTTTAAAAAGTATTAAATGGCCACACTAGATAAACCGTGTGTCCAGAAAAATTAAACTTGTTACTAGCCCTAATGCCAAAGCTCGGACACTTTACAATCAGATTTTATGATAAAGGATGACGAGTTGACTTGATTCTTAGAAGAATTTTTGGAAGATATTTTTTTATTTAATATATAAATATATTTAAGTGCGTTTGTCAACCTGTGATACTATAGTAAATCTTCTAACTAGAGATATAAAATCACGTGTGGGTAAATATTACAAAACAAAGTTAAATAGCTCTATAATTTAAACATTTTTTTCAACTTATACACAGATCAGTCTTGCAAAAGTGCTACTCTACTTTGGAAGTGATGGAAAGAAGCAGGAGTTATGCCTGGCAATGGAATACGCAAAATCGATGTTTGGAAAAGGACTACCAGGCAGAAATGGGACTGGGCTGGACACGTCTGCCGCATGCACACACAAAGATTGGCTTACACAGCCACTTGCTGGGTACCGGAGAACGACTAGCGACGACGAAGCAGACCAAGAAAATGGCGGGACTACTGGGACGCATATCAACTGTGAACTGGCAACCAATACTATCTCAATTTTATAAAGATTTCACTCTTTAATATCATTTTTACTATTTCATACTCCGCAGCGTTACAAGAAATTCCATTGTTTTAAATAACATGTGTAATAAAAATATTTAAAAACTACGTATTTTTATTTAATAAACCAGATGCTATATAAATGCCTCAAACAAGTTTTTTCATCACCTGTAAAGTTGTCAAATTTGAAATAGTACCGGTTGCCAGTTCACTGTCGATATGTAAAGGACTGGCCTAATAGTGCGTCAAACAGGGAACTGTAGAAGTCGAGAGGAGAGGTCTTTGCCAAGAAATAGGACATGGTAAGCTAATTTAAAAAAATAATATGTTAAGTATGTCATACCTTTGGTGTACATGGCACGGGGCTGGCACTCTGCGCTCTCTTGTTAATAATGGTTTGTCGTGTAAGATGCCTTTTCTTTGAAATACCGTCATCTTTATCTAAAAATATCACATCGAATCATACTCACGTTGAACCCTTAACGCAAACTGAAAAAAAAACGTTGTTGCCTACCGTATGTGTGAGCTTACAATGTCTAGATATTTTTTTACGCTAACTATAATGCATCAACCCTAAGAGCGACGTCACACGGGAGCCGCTCACGAACCTAGTGCCACACGAGCAATGCAGTGTCGCAACGTAAAGCTGCTTACTCATCGTCGCAGCGTACCACAGTGTCGCACCGCATTACCCCTCCCCGCTTTGTCTCCTGGCCCCTGGACCGAAGTGCACGCGCTCCGTTGCCGCGCGTCGTATTAACGCACCATGTGACATGTAGTGCGCAGCGTGGCATCGCTCTAATAAATCGATACGGAATCAAACGCCATGTTTTATAATTATTTTTTTTTTGTTCCCTCCGTACATAAGGATCATTCATTATCCTTAAGGCCAAGGCAATGAATACACCAATTATAAATATTATACAAAATAATATAATAAATATTATACTTACAAAGATGTACATACAAGCTAACTGCACAATACTACATTTTGTTTTCTCATACCATCTTGATAGATTACCAAATATTAGTTATCCTTAAAAAATATGACTAATTCACCAATTAATGCATATCAGTTAAGCAATGAAACATTATCAAAGAGTAATATAGAGATTGTCTTATAATTATCCGTGTTGCTAAAGAGACCATCAAAAATGATAATAAGATTTTGAAATAATCTCCTCCTGATTATATTCAAGGTTATGATAGTAGAAGTACAAAGCCGGCGTAATGTATTGAAAACAAGGTGAAAAAGTATGAACACCTCCAGCAAATAAAAAAAGGTCTATGGATATTTCGCACTCTTGGTGTAAACATCTGTAAAATGACACTTTTCAGGGGAGAAGTTTAAAGATTCTACGAACGAAATTAATCGATAACTTTTTATGCCGAAATAGCAAAGTTCAAAAATACCTATTCACAATTTGTTTCATATAGTTTTTATTATTTTTATTACTTTCATAATGATAAAATGGGTGACATGTACATTGTACAAATGCTCTTAAATAAATATATAAAAAGAATAAATAAGATAAAAGCACTTTTGACGTATAATCAAAATTATGTGGCTTTATTACCCCAAGGGTGCAATTTATTCGCAAAAGTTGTGATATTACAAGGGAGATTAAACTTTTTTTTCAGTTGTGAGATAAATTGTTCGTTGTGAGTTACATGCTCGTCATTCTATTTGATAGTTTATATCAAACCATATGCAACGTATAACAAAGAACTACTGCATAATTTGATGATAAATCGATTAGACAGATAAAAATCTACAATAAAATGCTCTGAATGTCTGTTTTGAAAAAGTTCATTGAAAGAACTCGGCACATATTAGAAATAGACTAGACAGTTTTTTACTCAAGTTTATGTTGTACTAACCAGAAATATGAGATCCTTTATACATTTTATTGTTTTTAGTTTTTATTTTTTTGATACAAAGACTAAATCAATTTACGAAACTGTTATTTATTTTACTGACATAGTTGATTCTTTGCTTGTCACAAACCACAAATGACGATGTGTTTTCGTTTAACTCCGCGAAGAGGCAGCATATTCTAAACTTAAAGTCTTTTTGTTAAGGCCTGAATCTAGTATGAAAAAAGAAAAAATAACAGTCATTGGTTTCCATTTTGAAGATTTTTTTAATGTATAGGATGAAAAAAAATAAAGAGCCCAAGATGGGATAATTTTTTTTCCATCCTTAGATTATCCTGGTCTATGAATTCTACATTTTCAAAAATTAAATGTTTATATATTTTTTCTTTTTTCTTGACTTTTCCGCGTTACTTTTTCGCTAGATACTTACAAGGTATTTGACTTTTATCTTTAGAACGAGGATAAGTTCCCCGTTTCTAAAGACAAAAGTATACAATCAAAGATTTTACTAAGTAAAATTAGCTACTTACAAAATTTTTGTTCATGATAATAAAAAAATGTGGTCACTCTACTACGATACAATAAATACGAAATCTTGTAAGTACTCTCTCACATAGTACTCTCTCACATAGTACTCCCACAATGAATAGCAGAACCTGCAGAGGCCCCTAAAATTTCTCAACGGAAAACTCAATACTGGTGATATCCTAAAAGGAAATGAAAGAGAAGACAAAAGAAAAAAAAAACTAAAAATTAAATTTGGAAACTGTGAAGAAACTGTGAAATGAAATTTACATTATAAACAATTATTCTAAATATAGGAGAAATATTACATTACTTATGCCACAGCAAAATGTTTATGTTGTTCTTTAAATAAATCTAGGCAGACAGATAGATTTCAGTAGCCGTAAAGCTCCTTGTGAAAGAGTTCGTCCAGGAAAGTACTGCCACCTTACCTATTTCTGACGCCAAGCAGTAATGTGAGCATTACTGCGTTCCTGTTTTGACGGGTAAGTGCGCTGGAGAAATTACAGGCACACGGGACTTGTCAACTTATGTCTCAAGGTGACGGCCGCAGTGGCAGTGCCCCTCAGATCTTTGCGATTTAAAGCTCTGTGTGTCTCTGCAACTGTTATGAACAGGCGTGTAACTTACCGTCCGTCCCGTCACTTGATAATATAAAAAAATGCTGTATTAAATAATATGTGGATAGTACCTACGTCTTGCACAATTTATCAACCAAAGACAAAATTGTTCTAAAGCTGTACATGATTTAAATAATCACCAATACAATAGACATCAAAGTACACCATCTCCGTTATCGCAAAGTTTGAGGAAGCAAACAGTCATTGATTTACAATTATATGGACGTCGGGTCCGCGCTAAAAAGTGTCCGCACTTGTAAGGCGCTAAAATCGTATACAGAGCGCCAAACTCCGCTTTAGTCTTCATTTGTTCGACTGACAGCGCGATACTGCGATGACATTACAATTTAAATTTCGAATAGGTTGACTTTTTGAACATTTTTTTCGTGGTTTTTATAGACCCGTCGTCCATTTATTTGTAAGTCAATGCAAACAGTGGATAATATTTTCTATATATTTTGCTAAAGGTTGATTGTATTAAAGAATATGGGACATACGTCTTGAGTAATTTATCAAGCAAAGACAAGATTGTTTAGAGAACTCTATAGGATTTAAATATGATCACCAGTACAAAAGATATCAACGTACGCCATCTTCGTCGTCGCAAAATTTTATGTAGCAAATACTAGTTTAAAGTCCGATTTCACTAACTCATTGACGTATCCGGAAGACCTTTATTACTTTTTCGTTTCATTACCTTGGCAAAGTTATTGGTGATATTGATAGTGTTATCATATTCTTGCGAATTCACTGTTTTTACAGACGCGTCAAGAACACAGATAAATGGGTAATATTGTTACGTTAACAATAATCAATTAACCTTATCTCTCCTAATTTATTTTCTTATGCAACTTAAGAGCTTAACACTTCCTCATTTGATACATTTTCAATAAACTACCTTGGTCAAGTATTGTTTAGAGCCGATCCCATTGTTATTATTCCCTCTTAAATAAAACCTAAGTTATAGGATAGTATATAAGCCGATCCCATTCATATACACAAACACACACACACATACACACACACATACACACCGTACTTTAGTTGATACATTTAAAATCAGTTATCTTGTAGAATGTAGAATAGATTTTATTATAAGCTTCTAATTTTGCACACGTGTAATATTATTATTATATCAAGTTAATTTATAATAATGGAGGGACGAAGTGAAGAAAGATCTCCGAGTCCTGCACACAGAGAAATGGGAGGAGATCGCATAAGATAGGGCGAGCTGGCGCCATCTCATATTGGAGGCCGGGTACACACTTCGGGTCGCTGAACCTCCGGAGTAAGTAAGTAAGTATTATTAAGAGAAATATTTTTAAGAGAAAAACGTTATAGTTTACACCATTTATGGTAATACATACAATACAAAACAGAATATTTAACAATATCATCAGAACAACAACAGTGCGTGGCGAAGGAACAGGCTCAATTTAATCCTTGTGGCTGTGTGTCACGCGCTACTGATTTTCAGCCTCGCCTCATTGACTCATTGTTTTTCTAACACAAACCAATTCAATTATACCTCCGTCACGATAAACATCGAATAGCCTTCCACTTGTAGAAACCGTTCTTAATAGCATTTAATATATAAATAAAATTATTATAAAATAAAATTATTTAGTAGCAGAAGAGCTCCTTGTGAAAGAGTTCGTCCAGGGAAGTACTGCCACCTTACATATTTCTGCCGCCAAGCACGAATGTCAGCATTACCGTGTTCCGATTTTGAAGAGTAAGGGTGCTGGTGAAATTACAGGCACATGGGACTTATCAATTTATAACTCAGGGTGACGGGCGCAATGGCAGTGCGCCTCAGATTGCGATTGAAAGCTCTGAGTGCCACTGCAACTGTTATGGACAGGCATGTAGTTTACCATCAGGCGTACGACTTGTTCGTCCCGTCACTTGATATTATAAAAAAAAAAAGATTGCACTCTTTTAAGAGGAAGTTTGTTAAGATATACTGAGAACAGATTGTGTCTATTCCTCACCTCAAAAAAAACCATGTCCTTGTAACATTGTACAATCTACAGTACATCAAGCTATACACTTTCGTTAAAATTTTGTTTCTTAACAGTATTTGACAGCATGCTTGAGTCAAAACGCGGCATCTTCAGTCGACAAACCGCACCGAAAAATCGACTACCAAGCAATCTATGAACCTTCTTTGATATGCAAGTTATATCATGTTTTGCTTAATAGTTTAAACCATAGGCCGCCACGAAGCCCTTATGCCGATTGGGGACATTATACATCTTTGAAAAGTTTGGTAAACCTGCTCCGTCATACAAGTTTCATTACAATCACAGTATTTTCCTTTACCATGAAATATCGATTTCATAACAAACGTATTTTGACTTACGATGTTAATCACAAAATTATCTTTGACCCAAATACTGAAATGTACTTGAAAACATTAACTAAACTGGTTACAATTGAAAAGCAATTGTGTAAGTGGCAATCGTAAGTGACAAAATAAATATTTACACTTGTCTAGTGTCCTTAATCTTTAAAGTCCTTTTCAATACACGTGTAGCGTAGGTATCACTCTATGTATAATCAGTACCGCGTTTACGAATGGTGGGTCCATTATGTTGGAGCTGTGGTCCTCTCAAGAAGAGGCTTAAGTTCGATTCCGGGCTCGCACCACTGAGTTTTTGGAATTTATGCACGAAATTTAATTTGAAGTTTACCATGAGCTTTGCGATGAAGGAAACCTTCGTGATGAAACTTGCACGTCGAAGAAGGTTCACCACCCTCGAAAAACGTATGAAGTTCCCAACACCGTGGCGGACTATGCCCTAAACGCTCGGCTGAGAGGAGGCCCATGCCCAGCAGTGGGACGTATAAATGAGTTGACGATGATGATGATGAACTTGGACCCAACCCGATCTGTAGTAGCCCTAAAAATCATTCATAGAAAAGCTACGAAAGGTCCATCTTGGCTTTTTGCTTTACCTAAAATTATAATAATCTGAAAACTGTAATTCGGGACGCCTACACCCAGCAGTGGCTGAAATCATGCTGTGGATGATGATGATGATAATGATGAAAACTATATTTATGATTATCTATATTTATTTATCTATTTTTTTCCAATAAATTACTATGGCCTCAAAGTCAATGTGGTCACGGGCCTTAAAACGGCTTAAGAGGGCTCTGTTTGTAATGTTAATAGCTCATTTACTTTACTTCCAACAACGCTTGCAAGCGCTGCATAATGCATTTATGGGCTTCTTGCATTGGTTTTTTTATAACTAATCGATTTGATTTAGTACACCACTTAGAGGTAAAATAATATGAAAATTTTCATTTATGTAAATAGCGGCAACTACTAACTACCTTATCAATCAAAATTATAAGTTCAAATGTCGCATTTTATTTGTTACTAAACACGTGGATAAGATGTGTCGCAATTTATTCAAATTACTGTAAATAATTTATGCTATTTATAACCATCGTCATCAATTTTAATACAATCATTGACCTGCCAACGAATATAATGTTAAAATATCTCCATAAATCTGTGTGTAAATCATGTGTAAATGTTAACCATAGATCACCAATACCTACTAAGAAATGAGATAGGTAGTTTTAGTTTTCTTTTTTTGTAGCAACTCGTCTAAAAAGCTCTTAAACTTTGGGAAATTGAAAATCGAAGGTCATAGGTACTTTTTTGTTTTTTCATTTTGAGAACCGATGCAAAAGATGCGTTTTTCAATTGAATGTTTATTATTTGGTGGTTTCAAATCACTTATTTTATGTTTGTAAAATGTAAACGAGACGAAAAGCTACAATTTGGCATTAAAATCTCAATTTGTGAGTTTTAACAGCACCCAATTATCTTTCTGGGCATAAAAAAATTCATACTTCCATTTCAGAAATGTTTGGCGATCGTGCTTAA